GTTTAAGCGGAGGATTATAATCAAGAAAACAGCTATTCTTTTCGTTTTTTTTTTACTTTAGAGATAAATTGCCATGTTGGCTACAGTAAAGAAAAAGTACAAATATCGATCTTTGTCATCTCAGAACGACGGGGAAAAAAGATTGTAATCGTTTACATCGACATTATTATAATAATCCTTTTTTGTTTCAATAGGTTAAATCTCAACACCTTTATTTAAAATGAAAACATTTAACACCGTAAAATATTTATTGTTGGACTCTAATAATCAATTACTGACAGTTTTAAAGGAAAAATTTGCATGTTCCGTGAAGCGCACTTTTTAATTTAGGCTAAATTGATTTTTGATTTGGCTGTATAGATTAATATAAATCCGTGATATATTATGATTATTTTATTCCATGTGCTTAATTAACAAACAAACGAGGGCCATGATGGCCCTGAGGTCGCTCACCTGTACTATATAGCCCCCAACCACCCACCCCGGGCTAATTTTTACCCAAGGGCTTTTATTTGAACACACTTGGTAGACACCCATAAGAAGATGTTTCATTGCTAAACATCTAAGTTCTAGCTCATTTGGGTTTTTAAAAGAAGATTTTTTTTTTAAGTTTTTTTACTATACACATATAGTTTAAAAACAATGACACCCTGGCAGGCCAGTTTTGACCCCAGGCTTTTATTTGAACAAACTTTGTAGATATTTACTTAAAGATGTTTCATGCTTTTAATATCTAAACTCTAGCTATTTGGGTTTTTTCAAAGAAGATTTTTAAGTTTTTGCTATTACACATATAAGGAAAATCAATGGACCCCCGGGGCGGGGCCAGTTTTGACCCCAGGGCTTTTTTTGAACTTACTTGGTAGACACCAATTTGAACATGTTTCATGCTAAATATCTTAGCTCTAGCTCTTTGAGTTCTTTAAAAGAAGATTTTTTAAGTTTTTACTCTATGCATATAGGGAAAATCAATGACCCCCTGGGGCGGGGCCAATTTTGATCCCCGGGCTTTTATTTGAACAAACTTGGTAGACACTCATTAGAAGATGTTTCATGCTAAATATCTTAGCTCTAGCTCTTTGGGTTCTTTAAAAGAAGATTTTTTAACTTTTTACTATATGCATATAGGGAAAATCAATGACCCCTAGGGGCGGGCCAATTTTGACCCAGGGCTTTATTTGTTACTCAAACTCGGTAGGACACTCACTAGAAGATGTTTCATGCCAAATATCTTAGCTCTAGCTCTTTGGGTTCTTTAAAAGAAGATTTTTTAAGTTTTTGCTATATACATATAGGGAAAAATCTATGACCCCCTGGGGCAATGGCCAATTTGACCTCAGGGCTTTTTATTTGAACAAACTTGGTAGACACTCATTAGAAGATGTTTCATGCCAAAATATCTTAGCTCTAGCTCTTTGGGTCTCTTTAAAAGAAGATTTTTTTAAGTTTTTACTATATGCATGATAGTCAATGACCCCCTGGGCGGGGCCAATTTTGACCCCAGGGGCTTTTATTTGAACAAACTTGGTAAGACATTCACTAGAAGATGTTTCATGCCAAATATCTAAGCTCTAGCTCTTAGGGTTTTTTAAAAGAAGATTTTTTAAATTTTTACTATATGCATATAGGGAAAATCAATGACCCCCCGGGGCGGGGCCAATTTTGACCCCAGGGCTTTTATTTGAACAAACTTGGTAGACACTTACTAGAAAATGTTTCATGCCAAATATCTTAGCTCTAGCTCTTTGGGTTCTTTAAAAGAAGATTTTTTAAGTTTTTACTATATGCATATATGGAAAATCTTATGACCCCCTGGGGCAGGGCCAATTTTGACCCCAGGGCTTTTATTTGAACAAACTTGGTAGACACTCACTAGAAGATGTTTCATGCAAAAAAAATCTTAGCTCTAGCTCTTTGGGTTCTTTAAAAAAATTTTTTTAAGTTTTTACTATATGCATATAGGGAAAATCAATGACCCCCTCATTAGAAGATGATTCATGCCAAATATCTAAGCTCTAGCTCTTAGGGTTGTTTAAAAGAAGATATTTAAAGATTTTTCTTTCGGTTGCCATGGCAACCAGAGTTCTGCATGGAATTAAATTCTTTGAACAATTTTTAAAGGTGACCACCAAAGGAACATTCCTGTGAAGTTTGGATGAAATTGGCTCAGTGGTTTATGAGGAGATGTCATTTAAAGCAAAAGTTTACGGATGGACGGACGGACGGACAGACGCCGGACGAAAAGCGATCACAAAAGCTCACCCTGTCACTTTGTGACAGGTGAGCTAAAAATGAATAAATAATTTACTTTCATACAAATAAAACAACAAATCATAAGCATAAAAAACACGACGTTAATTATCACTTAAATATTTATTATCATTTAATCATAAATATAACTTTTCATACACATATACAACGAATGTACTTTGAATTATTATGCGTCATGTAACTTTGACACTTTTAACAAGATGACAACGCTTGTATTTCCATCGTATTCTTTTTTTTGACAAAATGGTGGAGCATTTAAAGTGGACAAATGCGGATTCTTGGATAAAATACCGGTCTTAAGATACAAAATAAACAAAACACATTTTCAACATTCATATAATTTTGAAAAAATGCCGTACGGCTAGACAATACAATGTGCCCTGGCTAGCCGTACGTGACTCACGTACATCTAGACCTTTTGGCTAGCCGTACGGGCCCGTACGGCTAGCCACTTCCTTTGACAAAATCACAAAATTTCGTGTCCAAGAAATTAAGTGAATTCAATTCATTGTGCTAACTACAGGTATTGTTATAAGTCATGTTTAACCATATTAATAAAAGCAAATGGATCAAAAATGTTCAAAGAAACTATATGCCTGCTTGCCTGTGGCTGGAATATGAGCTAAGTAAAACAGTTCAATGTTTTCATCCCTCCCTTTCCCTTTTTGCTTGTAGGGAGAAAAAGAGTTTGATCAATTTCCAGTCTAACTGGAATTCTGTATGGCTTATGTCGGCCACCATTCTAAATTCTATTTCTTTTTCCATCCATGGCAAGAAAATATTGTCATTCTAACAATATGTAATTGATTATGTCACTTCTGCTGCAGACATAACAATTTTATATACATATACATGTACATATACATATCATGCAGAATACATTCAAGAAGAGATATAAAAGTATAAAGCAAGAAAGTTCGATATGAATTTTGATATATCGTACCTGCATTTGTGACACTGGAACACATTCTCGCCACAATTACCACACACGCCAGGGTTGGCAGGGACAGAGGCACTGCAGCGGGGACATTGTAATGTCTCACTTGTGGCTTGTAGGTTGTCATAGAAATCAGCATATTCTATCATCAGGTTGCACGCCACTATAGGTATTGGAAACTCGACCTGAAAATGTAATATACATCAATGATATATCAGTATTGTATTATTTAGACGACTGGAACTCACGTTTGTAAAATAGTATATTTCAATTAATATCATTATTGTTCTACAAAAAGTTTTTTGTTTAACAACAGTGCTTATTAGGTCTTTAAATTTGAAACTAAATTATTTTATAATTGAATCACAGCTTACAACTCTGAATACTTGAAGTTAAATATAACCAAACCGTTAATCTATACAACCATTATTAACACCAGAGTCTTAATTAAATTTTACACTATACTTTGCACACTAAGCAAAGTCTCCTTCCAGTAATAAAAATAACTTTGATAGCATTGGCACAGGGGTGTATTCTATGCTTAATGAGCGTACATCCACCCTTTCAGGCACTGAGAGTATGGACCCCTGTCACTGAGGTCTGACAAATTTTGGTTTTTATGATAGACAGCCGATCTTCAATAAACAAACTCCCCAACTTTCATTTGATAAGAATATTTAATTTAATCAATTACCTTGACATCTGTTTGACCTGCAGTTAGGGTCATCTTTCTGGCCTTGTGCCAAAGTCCTGGTCTGAAAAATCAAGAAAACAAATGTGTCAATATTTGTTCTTACACAAAAAAAAGAGTTCAATTACAAAGTCTTTGCACTATGTGCAGACTCCAGTCAACTTGTCAATTTCATTTCCTAGAAAATTTATTAAAATGAAAGCTTACTTGTTCTTCAGTTCGACTACTGCCTGAACCGTCCTGTTATTGTAGTAGATGTTCATCACTCGTACCTGGAGATAAAATAAAACTCACCAAGTTAAAAATGGATGGAAAATTACACAGAAAAAGTATGAGTTTTAACTTATGATATCAGGTAATCAAAGCATTAATACTGCCATAAGAGGGGGATGTGGATAATCTTGTAATCAGACATGCAATTACTACATTACTTTTTTTGTTTTTATACATTTTTTGTATATATCAGTATCAATACAATTAAACCAACCATTTTAGTTCTCTTGAGTTCTGTAATCCTCAGAGATATCTTGGAGATGGTGTAACTTCCAACCAATTTAACAATCTGTGTGGTTGTGGTGAACTTTGAATCCACCTTGATGTTGGACAACTTGAGACTCTGAAAACAATTTATAAAATGTACTGTTATACATGTATAATAAGGGGCATCTGTGGCCGAGTGGTTAAGGGTGTCAACTTCAAACCACTTGCCCATCACTGCTGTGGGTTTGGACTTTGGATTTATAGTGTTGGTGTGCCTTAAATTCCAATGACAACACCAACAATTTATCATGATTTAGTCGTCATTTAGAAAATTTAACTTTTAAAATCTGTAAACTAATAATGAAACATAACTAATACATACCGTATAAGGAACCTCAGGGTTGTTACAGACTAGGCAAGGATCACTTTCCAGGTAGTAACCATCAAAATCCACCAGGCCTTGCAGCATACTGAAAATTTAAATTCATAAAATCAAGAAAAACTAGAACAAAACGAATCTAGAATTCGAAAACCGTAATCAAATCTGAAATAAAAGTTTAACAGTTAACAAAATTGTTTATTCTTGTGAAATAAAGGGAGGTAACTTACTTGTAAATCTGTGCATTAGGATGTTTAGCCAGTATCTGGTTCTCATCCTTCAGTAGGTCAATGGCTCTATCAAGATACTCTTTTGTCTGAAATATATGTTTTACACACATACATTTCTGCACCTTAAGACACATTTATACATGATTTACAGTCATATATGCATCATTTAAAAACATATTGATACATCATTTTCACAATTATTTATGCATCATTTAGACACACATTTATGCATCATTTTTACAGATATTTAATGTCATACATAAACAATTATGCATAATAAAGCATTACTGCATTTTAATGAAAAACATAAATTTAACATTACAGTCAACTATCGTTATCTCGACATCGCTTTTCTCGATATTTCGTTATCTTGATGAAATTTTGAAAGTCCCGATTTTCTTCCTTCTTTATCTATAATGGAAATATTTGTTTATCTCGATATTTTTATTTCGATATTTTCAGTATCTCGATGTAAAATTTCAGCCCCAACAGTTATTTTCACACTTTTATCCTTTGTTTATCTCGACTTCGTATGTTCCTTTCAGACGTGTGAAAAACACAATCTAGACGATAATTGCCCAATTAATAGCGCGCGTCATAATGACGATTATGTTTGTAACAAGTTTAGCTGTTTTTATAAAAGTTAATCTGTTTAGCGTGTTGATTGAGTTATGTCCAAAATGAGTGAATTTTACATTCTTCTTAAATATTCGAAAACTGTATCAATTCATTATGACTTTAAATGTAAATGAAATAGTGAAAGTATAGAAACACTATCGTTGCAATATTGTTTCACAACATCACCACCAAATCAATTAGCGTTGGAACAATCTCGAGAAAGACCCGATAAATAACCCGGGAAGATAACCGGGTCAACCATATCCGATATCCTATTCACTATATTGGTGTATTATTGAGTAAACCTCACTATGTGTTTTTAACACAGACACCCGTATTTCCGCTGGTAAACATCCGCTTATGTTACTTTGTTAAATATTGACTAGGTCTATGAAAACAAGACATTGGGACACTATAGTTTATTTGAATTAAGTTATGCACATGTCTTATGTAAAAATCAGTTTCGCCTTGTTCTAACCCTAATATGTTTATCTCGACATTTCGTTATCTCGATATTTTTTGGACGGTCCCAATGACTTCGAGATAACGAGAGTCGACTGTATAATCTTTATATACATTTATGCATATCTTTATATACATTTATGCATCATTTACAAAAAGAAAAATTATTATTTTAAACAAACATTTATAATTACTTAAACATTTTATGCATCATTATGGGTTCGATTCCCGGGCTGGCCAACTAAAATTACTAATCAGTCTTTCAATCGAGGTATGGGTGCTTAAACACTTGGCACGCTAAAGAACCAGGAGATGCTTCTGGAATTGGGACATCTTTCTGTATCTGTAATTGCACTATCCTTCAAAATCTAAAATTACTAATACTTTTCTGGAGGACTCGCCCATATGGGCAACAGGTGGCGAGTAAAAATTAACGCAAATACACACACATACCTTTTTCTCTGATGTTTGTGGTGTAACCAACACAAAGTAGCCAAGGAGGTCTACAAACTGAGATGCCTTCCTTCCATACAATGGTAGTTCCTTCCACAAAGTCCACAACTGATCTAAAACTCCATCTTGTTCTTGCAGACTGGAATTCCTGAAAAGAGATTTATTTACGTCTGAAAACTACATTTATAATAATAGCAGATCAGTTACCAAATAATTCTTAAAAAGTCAATGGTGAACTACTTATTGGTAAGTTTAAGAGTTTTATTACATAAACCGCAGTGGGGGAGTATAATAAAACCATTTAATGAAAACGATATTACACTAGTGTAAAAACACATGACGTTGTTTGCGTTATCTATAAACATTATGTTAAAGCCGCTAATGTTAGCATTACACTATAGGTGTGCCAATGAAAAATGACTCTTTTTAACAGTCTACTATTTTTATTTATATTACGTGATAAAAAAGAATATTATATTCGTGTAGACTCGATACTAAATTTATTGAACTCGTTGAATATAACAATATTATGCTCGCCAGAGGCTTGCATAATATGATATTATTGAACTTGTTCAATAACTTTTGTACTAAACCTACACTCATTCAATATCCTCTATTTCTAACAATAGGAGATTAGTACTAAACATCAATGGTGAGTATTAATTGGTAAGTTAAGGTCTTGTATAATACTTGTACTTACTTGTAAATCTGGTGTATAAGGGAATGAGCCTGCCATCTGATAGACGTGGAGTTAGATTCCAGCAGGAATGTCCTAACAAAGTGCATCATCAAATCTCTGTCTATAGTTCTGTTTAAAAGCTGTATGAGTGTTGAACAAAGAGACTCATCGTGTTTCTGTCCGTCATCAGAATCTGAGAAAAAATAAGTTTTAAAGATCAGTTTACCAAATTGGTATGATATACGCCTTTGGCTGTTTACAAATATTACTATGATGTCCTTAGTGATTGGTATATGATACAAAAAGAGATCTAAATACAGTCAAACATGTGTTTAAGACCACCTCTGAATTAAGGCCACCCTGTAAATAAAGGCCATTCTCAGACAATTCTTTTTGTCTGATTGGGTTGTACGACACACCGACACAGTATAGGTCATATGGCGACATTCCAGGTTTACTGGTGGAGGAAAACCTAAGGTGCCCTTCTGTACATTATTTCAGGCATGAATAGGCACCTGAGTAGAACCCCGCATTCTGTAAGCCAGCTAAAAAGCTTCCTCACATGAAAGAATCCAAAGGCTCTAACGGGAATCGAACCCACAGAGGTTAGGGGCAAGTGGTTGAAGTCAACAATCTGAACCACTTGGGTCACTGAAGCCCCAAGAATTTATTGCTTTTACCCATAACCTGCTGGCGGCAACTGATTCTACCCATGCAACCAGTGCAGACTAAGATTAGCAAGCATTTTCTTGCCGTCTGAACATGGTTTGCACTGTTTGCTATTCAGTCAGTACATATTTTGAAATTATTTCTAAAAATGCTAAATGGTTTGTTTGGAATTAAAGATGGACAAGTCCATTTCAGATATAATGTGTGATAAATGTAAAATAAGTGGACAGTAAAAATTTCAATATGAAATATATTAATACCATCATTTTTATCTTTGTCTTTATCTTTGTCCTTCTTCTGTTTGTTTGGTGATGTTCCCAAGGCAATGTCTTGCGACTGTGCCACCTTGACGATAGCTGTTCCACATATAGCACATTGTAACAGTTGTAGAAGTGTAGGTGCCACGCCTTCGTCCAATGAGATACTTGCTTTTACAAGGAATGGTATGACATCTGAAATTATGACATTCTTAACTATAGATTTACATAAATGGTGTTATACACAAACAAAACGACATACAGTAAGCTTCAAATGAATATTTTAAGTGGTTGTGGACTTATTAAGCTATTTTTTTTCATTGTTAAAATGAGCCGACTAGATTATATATTCCAAATGATTGACTGTTATGCTGTTGACCAACAAATGATATTGGAAAATTAGGATAAAATATAAATCTGCCTAAAAAATTAAATGACTGCCCCAGTCTTTTTATAAATTGAAAATTACAGGAAATTTTCAAAGGATATTTATAGAAATTTCCTTGAGCCACTTGAGTTATTTATTATTTATGCGAAGTAAATTATCAAATCGAAAGTAAATATGGGAAAATATAAATTCATTTTGACTTTCACCTGTTCACTCACTAAATACTCTATAATGTCACTTTAAAGTTGCATACAAAACATTAATCAAAATATTTAAAATATAAAACAGAGGTATAACTCAGACAATTACCATGCTAGAGTTATGAATCTTACATACTTACATGTAGAAAATTTACACATTAAAAAGTCTAATACATTTCACTTAAGACATGGGTTCAAGCCCTACTCATCCCACCAGGTTCCAGCTGTGACAGAAAACAGAATTGAGCAAGTTTTAATTTAGCTTTAAGCTTTCATCACAAACTCACTCCCTCCAAAAAAAAGTAAAATATATCAAAGTAAACTAATCATCAAACAATATCAAGGTCTTACCTTGGTTTGCAGTGCAGTATTTCTGCCAGTTGACTGGTCTACTTGCAGCTATATCAGCGCATGCCTTCAAATGTTCAATCTGTGTAATGTTAAAGTACATTCATTACTGCAAGTAGTACTGTATACATAATTTTTCTAAAACAATATCTGTTAGAGCACCTACATGTATAAAATATGAATAACACAACATTAAGTTACATAAAACCTAAGTTTAATCAGATACAAGGTCCTAGATTATCCCACACAAAATGTATCACTAAATGCAGTATACTGACAAGATATTGGTCGGAAATATAACTGAGCTATGTGTTTGAGGCACAAGCTTGTGATGACCTGAGACCAGAATTTTTTAAAGGTCTTGATAAACAGTGACAAGATGATGACTGAGATGAACAACTGTGCTGTGTTTTCAAGATTCACGCTTTTGATGTCTGAGTGAAATTTGATGATTGAGTGAAACCAGAACAGGTAAATAAACACACTCTTTGCACACAAACTAACATCAAAAATTCACTTCAGTCACAGGGCCTTGATGACATTAACAAAAACTTTGTCCAACATCTTAATTGTTTAAAACATATATGTAAATACATATTTTTTTTGCAATATCATATTTCACATAAACAACATAAAAATCAAATTTCATCACTAAATCAAGAGCTTACGAGAACGAGGAGAGAGTCGTAAGGTAGTATGACACTGTGTGGAGCTATCTCTGATGTGGATAATCCACTCTTGTTGCACTGCTCTATGACAGCATTCAAGTTTTTCTCTATAGAGTATAGATCACGTATCTCACGATACCTTTCTCGAGATCCACTGATAAACAACAGTAACTGAAATATAAACAAAAATGTTGTTAACACTGATAAACACTGATGAATAGCTAGACGATACACTGATAAACAACAGTAACTGAAATATGAACAAAATTATTGTTAACACTAATAATGAATAGCTAGATAATATAGCTTTGATAAGGCTTAAACCTAGCCTTACTATGGGGGAATATACAAACAAATCTATTTTTCACCTTCAAAAAATTTACTTGAAACAGTATTCATTGGTAAAGTTCATGAAAGTTAGCAATATACCATTTATCTAATTTGTCAGTGAATAAATAAAGATATTATGAGAAAAAGTAAGCAAATGTTACAGAATGACAAAGAATAACTATTGCTTGTTTAGTTTACATGCCAATTTTAACACATTTTGGTCATACACTGTATCTTGGCAGACAATATTCCTAACAGGTTTTTCTGGATAACTAACAAATTAATTACAAATTTCTACAGAAGTGACAACCTACTTATCCTTCATGATTTCATGATGAGAAGTGACAGACAAATGACCATTAGACTCAATATCCAAGGTCAGTTGAAATTTCTTCCCGCTCTAGGATTGAACCAACGACCTTGAATTTCAAATTCAATGCTCTGCCTATTTAGCTAAGAAAGCCGACAAAAAATGATCAACTGGCAAGTATATACAATATTTGGTGACTTACAAGCCCCTTGGGCTGAGCTGGGTATTCTCACTGTTCATCAAGACTTGTATATACACTTGTCACAAACTACTTACTAACTATTCATCTGTTCATTAATATCTAATACCTATTGAGCTAAATTAAGTTTTGCACTATGTTCATACTGGTACAGTATGTATTAACCATTAATTTCATACATGATTATATTTTGAAAAAGAAATTATTTATTTATATAGTAAAACTTACTTTTCTAGCTTGTTTCTTAACAAATGGTGTTCTCTGAGTCATCATGTACTCTGCCAGTGTTGTGTTCCACGCTGGATCAAACGTGGCCGTGGCCACACCTTGAACACTGTCCCCAATCTTCTTCAACTAGAGTTAAATATAATAAACATACATTTATATTTCATATAGGCCTTTTGACACTTGATAGTGAGTCTTTCTCAGTAAATAGAAAACTGCTTCTTTAAAGGTTTTCATTAAAGACGGAAACTAAATATATATATAACTTACTTCATAATTTGCATCACAGTCACACCACTGCACAAACATCATTTTTAAGAAATTGTGACATCTTAAAACATTTAATTTTGCCAAAATTGTTTCAAGAGAGCAATAAAAAGGCTGGTTTAAAGTGAAATATTTTAAATAAAATGGTCTTTTTGAAGAGGATATCCTAACATAAATTATCTGACTATATTTTATTTTTACTTTTTCTTACTTTAGAAACTAATTCTTAAAATATGAAGACTGTAGGTTGTAATGGCATGCATACAGGCTGACACAAAACTATAATTTTTATTACTAAAAGCCCTATGTAATAAGTGGACTGAACCAAATTTGAATCAGGGCACCTCCATTATACAATAAATATTGGGATGGGTTACAACTGAAGTACATAAAGTATTAAGATATCATTAACAAAAATAATTTTATATTAGAAATAATATTTTACAGTACAAACCTGATGCGGAAGTCTAAGGGCCATCTCTGTCAACAACTGAGGATAGTCTTCAAAAACATCATTTGCATGTCCTTTAACATATTCCCTAAGGAAGAATGGGCTCATATCTGGGGGTGGTGATGTTGGGCGTGGCTTCAACAGTTGTCCTGGCAATGGAGCTGTTTCCTCCTAAAAACAAAGAAAAATTACAAAATTACCTTATGTAAAGCCTTTTTTCCCCCTCCATTTTATTTAAGTCACACCTATACTGTTAAAATCCTATGGTGAAATGCCATTTTAAGGGGGGGGAGAAGACCCCCAGGGGGCCTCGGAATTTTAGACAAGAGGACGAAAACAGAGAGAACCCGGTATTTTTAACCCGTGGATGGCTTCTTTACATGAAAGAATTCAAAGTCCCTGGCAGTTTTTGAAGCTATATTTGTAATGGGCAAGTTGTTTGAAGTCAATCATGTTAGATATTCAACAATTGAAAAAAGTAGTGCTGAACACACAGTAATGTCGTAAAGGTAGCAAAGTGTAATCAAAATGTTGTAAAAGTATCAAAATGTAATCAAAGTAGTATTTTGACTTCCAAACAAATTACTCATTCACCAAATATACCATTTGCAAACAGAACAAAAGAAGCAAAAGATAGTTAATGTATATGGCAAATGAGTAATTTTTTTGAAACTGTGATAAGATACCAAAGTTAGCAAGTTTTTGACAAACATAAATTATAGCATTTCTAAGGCTTACAGGGCCTTTAAGCTGAAAAACTTCAATGGTTGTGTCAGAATTGAAATCTCTTAAATTTCTGTATCAGCACTGAGAGACAAATGACCATAATTCGAGGGTTGATTGCAAAACTGTTGTAAGTCCTTCTTTATTTCATATTAGTTACTGCAGTTTTGCGGTGAACCCTCAATATTTTGTAACAATATATTATACCTCTGCTGGATTGTAGTTTCTCCAGTATGGTAGAAGATTCTGTAGTATGGTCAAACAGTAAGTGATTGTTCCACTGGACAACAAGGCATTGGCTGTTGTGTTACTCACAAATGATGACGACTGTAAAATAAAAATAAATATTATAACCTTTCAGTTTATACAAAATTTATTAAAGTTTGATTGTGAAGGAGGCTATAAGCTTTGAGACACACGTTGTTATTCATTCCTTGAACAAACCAGTATTAAGCAATGATTGTTAAGTTTCTTGCTTAAGGAAACAACAGTTTGACCCTATCAGGGTTTGAACCCACTTGACCAGCAGTCCTCTGATTATTTTTTTAATATTTTGTCTGTCATCATATTTAAGTGTTGACTACTAGAGGAGGACATTTTTAAGAGTCTTGGTAGCTTAGTCCAAAGATCTCTGAAACTGTATTTTGAGAGTCCAAAGTTCCAGTCAAGGACAGGCTGACAAATTTTTATCACCTGTGACATTTCATTTAAAAAGAATTCTAAAATTCACACTCCACTTAACAAGACAAGGTCCAAAAAAATCAAAACCAGTCAACAATCTTACCTCGGTAGATGGTTTTGTCCCTGCCTTAGTCCTTGATAGTAGTACACTTAATAGTCTCATGTACACGAGTTTCACTTCCATCGCCTTACTCCTGCATGACACAGTGTCGAGCCCGGCACCGGACAGATCCAGTTCCACCAACAACGCCTGCAGCATGTTATCTAGTGCTGTGCGATCTTTTTCCTCCTCAGCGTCAAGGTCAGAGGTCAACATTAGCAAGACCTAGAAAAATGTAAATCTAATTTTAGAAATTTCTAGAAAAGGGGATGTATCCCTATACAGCAAATGAAAAATAAAAGTTATAATGTGAACATTGAAGACTGTTTCAGTCAGTTCATGAGAGATAATGAGGAGTATTTCTGAAAACTCAACAATATTCCTGAGGCACTAATTATTTTTTTGCAAGTTTCGTGGATAGGTCAATCCATAAATAAAAGATCCAATGAAATAAAGTTACATGCTTCCAAAGTTCAAGTTCCACAATAACTTTCTGCATTAAGCCAGGAACAAGATCAAAGTAGAACTATCAATCACCTACGTGCCAGGTGGGTAGCTCATGAATATGGAACAGTTTGCACCTTTCTTAAATGCACCTCGCTGGGGGGAAAAAACTCAACATAGTCACATTAACAACTAGACTTCTCAATAATGAAAAAGGCCAAAAATTGCTCATCAAGGTCATATTAACTAATAACCGTTGCAAAAACATGTGAAAAATTTAGTGCTTTGAAATTTACATGCTTTTAAATATACAAAAAATGTATTTTAAATACATATGCAATGTATCTAAGACCATAATGCATCAATATTTGTATATGCATAGTGTATCTGAGACCATATTGCATCAAGATTTGTATATACAAAGTATACACTACCTGCATAAATGGAATAGCAGCCACACCACCTTGCTTTGAAACACTTGGCAAGAACTGTAACAACTTCTCTAATAAGTTCAAACGAAGACTGTGTAATCTGAAAAAAAAAATAGGTGGAAACTGATACTCGTAAACTGCTCGACAGCCTGCCCAGGGATGATTCAGTGGCTGAACTGTGCTCTCATAAATTCAATGTGGCTTACTGCCATGATCCTGAGTGAAAAATACCAACATCACCACCAATAAAGAATTATTTGATTAGAAAATATTTTTGAAAATTAGGGTGAAGTCAATGTGTTTATCTTGACTTTCTTAAGCAATAAAGATATAATTAAACCATGTACTGGATTCCGATTCAAAATACTTCAAATTTCAAATACTTTCTGCTATGGATGAACCCTCAATACTGCGGTTGACCGCAAGACTGTTGTAGGTCCTTCTTTATTTCATTTAAGTTACTGCAGTTTTGCTGTCAACCCTCGATATGGCAACATTTCAGTTTTAATGATGGTAGAATACCTCAGGTGTCACACCAGGCATTACTTCAGGCCTACAGACACTTCAGTAGAACCATCTACTCTCTGTTAGCTAGCTGGATAGCTTCCTCACACAAAAAAAAGAATCTAGTAAAGTCTCTAACGGGATTCAAACCCTTAATGTTAAAGGGATAAGTAAAACGTACCTTGAGGAGTTATCCCGTTCTGTTTCTGTTTCATTCACATCATGAGGCATTGTACCACTAGGTGCTCCAAGACTGCTGGTCTCACTTCTAGGTCCACGGTCCCTGTCCCCGTACATACTGCTTCGTCCACTAGCTGTTATAGTAATAAATGTCATAAAATATACTCAAAATTGTTTAAAAAAAATATATATATACAGTCAAATCTCACATTGAAGGACATTACAAATTGAGTTGGACTTCAATGTTTAACCCTCAATCTTTAATGGACTTGTTCAGCTTCCCATTCTGGAACTGTCAATTATCAATCTTTGGAAGTTATCAATATGAAAATTTAAAGTTGGTAGCCAAAAAATTTGCCAGCTGGCCTAGCTCAATATTGGTGGCGAAGGCTAATCACTTTTTTAAGTTAGGTTCTAGAATGGCCTTTATCCACATGTTTTACAGTGTCAGTAAATGTTTAACTCAGTGTCCTGCAGTAACAGGTGTTCCCTTTAGTCCACTGTTATTTTTTTTACTTCACAATTTAACAGAATCATTGCTTTTTTGTGGAATTTATGTGAAATTTATCATACAATATATTCAACAAATCCTGATCCCGTCTCTTATCATATAAAATAAAAACCACATCTTTCATAGAAAGTTATTTTGACATTATCAAAATGTTTAAACTTAACAAAAAAACAAGAGCTTAACGACATAATATTCAATCAAACTAACCATTATGTTCTCCAGAGATAGATTCCTCTGCACTGCCGCCACTCTCCGAGCCTCCGCTACCAGCATGATCGGCCGGCGACGTCCGCAGTGTTGACCCATCAGTGGCAGCATTGCTCCCTATCTCATCATCACTACCTGGGGCCGAGGCCGTCGTGTCCGACATCTGACTGTCCTCATAGTTCCCAACATTCTGGAAAAAAAAACAACAACATGAAGTCTTGGTATAACCTCTTGGTGCTTTTAATGCCGCCATGATAAAACCAAAAATACGCCCTTAACATGAAGAAATGCAGGAAAGAGGAAAAGGTGGAATATCTGTTGGTTTTGTTTTTATGCTGATTTTTAAGACATTTTTATTCATATTTCAGTGGTTGGTCCATATAAAAGGCTTTCCTGTATACCTAACCACTGATTATTAATTTCTCAGCAAGTGACTAACTACTTGTCCCACATGATTTTTGAATCAGCTGTGAGAGACAAGACAGTGACCATAAGACTTACGGCTTAGATAACTTGTCACAGAGAAATTTCACCTCACCTGTGGATCTTACCAGCAACCAATGGATTTCAAATCCAATTCTCTCCTTATTGAGCAAAGCAGGTAGATTGTAGGAATATTTATTTTCAATAAAAGATACATTGATATTGCTCAGAGAGTTTAGTTGTACTGATGGTGCAAACACATCAAATTTCTAAGATATTAGTCAATAAAATTAGGAGTCGACAAACTATAAAATTAGGCTCCATCGAAAAATTTCGGCAGCATAAAAATTCATTCAATTGTTTATCTAGTCTGTATATTGTAAAGGTCAAAAGGACAAATAAACTTAGAAGCTGTTATTATTACATTCTCATTAAGTTTTACCTGTTGTTGACTTGCCAATCTCAACCCTTGCAATCCAAGGCCACCACCACTCTGTAATTATATCATAACATCAAAAGGAATAATGAAACAATCTTCAGGTTAAAAATTGTACATTTCATTTGGTCATTGAGAACGGAAGTGCCAATCTGTACATTTATCACATACAAACTCTAGAATCAACCAACAACAAGCATGTGGGATATGTTAACTAAGTTTAAACTAGAAATGTGTCCACAGGACACAAATGCCTCCATTTCCCACAATTTTGTCATTCTCAGGATGTGCGGCAGGATGGATGTTCAACCAAAAATGGAATAAAGGATCATTTCTTTGTTTTCCAGAGGGTCATTGGCTTATTCTACTGTTACGGAATGAACTCTGAAGTTCTCTTTTTGTTCTGTTTACAGTTAGAAAGCCCCCTATTTATTTTCCATAGTGCTGCCAGACAAGAGCAAATCTATGTCCCCATATGCCCCCCACCCCCCAAATGTGGGGACATCAAAATTTACCTGATCTTGAAGACTAAGAGCTATAGCCAATTCTACCATAGTTTCATCATCAGCATCTGGGGGAATATCAACTACTGGGTTAAAGTTAGCCCCTCTCTGTAACAGGGCCTGTAGCGGGTGACCTTGACCTGGTTCTGAGGGCTCCAAAACCATGGGCTCATTTCCCTCCTGTAAAAAATGAAAAATTGTGTAAGAAATGACAGTCAACAAAAATTAATATTAATCATTCATACAATATTATACTTTATTCCCTGCGGTCCGGAGACCGCAGGGTATTGGTACGCGTTTTACTTTTGAGGCATGGAGGAGCACGTGACCAGTTTTCGGTACATGGAGGAGCATGTGATATGTAAACCGTACACAATTGGTTAATTGACCTTTTCGATAACCTGGCTAAATACCGTTTGTCGTTACTTTACGGAATTACGCTCTAAGGAATTAGTCAGAATAAAACCTAATTAAGAAACAAAAAACCTATTACGTGATATTTTCTAATTTTTCTATAATTATTTTACCGTTTAAGGTGGAAAAACTTGAATGATTTATTTGAAAATTATCAATTGTTTTCTTTAATATATGTATCTCAAATTTTACAAACAATAAATTGTTTATACTGAAAATCTACAAAATTAAAATATCCGTAGTGGCATCTGCCATAATAGATAGAATTATTTTCTACGTAAACTTGTGTGTTTTACTTTTTTTTTTTTTGCTTTTAATTATTCATAATCTGGTAGGCCTATTTAATCAATTTTCTTAAAAAGAATAATTGTGTTATGTTCGACCTTCTCCGGTCGTTTTTTATCACGGTCACCAGTTTCGAAAAGACCTTCTTTTATGTTGATCGATTATTGTCAACTATATTCCTGATAAAAACGTTTATTTATTCCCCTCTGCCAAAACGGTGTTGAAAATAGTTAAATGAAATATCTTTATATCATGAAAAATATTCCCCGCAGGAAACCATTTTACTTGTACAGACATTACATGAAGAAATGAAAACTTAAATATACAATGTCTATATAACATGGTCAGGCCTTCATGTCAAAATCAGTCAACTCAAGTATACAAAGCTTTTAAGCTCTTATTCACTTTAAAAATTCATCACATCAGCATTAAAAAGCCAGGCTATCAAACAACAATACATGATTCATCCAAACAATATTTTGAAATACACATATTTATATAGGGGTTAAGTTTAAACAGATATAATTAACAATAAACTTACTACAATTTCATACTGCTCCAAATCATCAGCATCTGGGGCTTCACTTATAGTAAGGGACTGAATCATGGTTGGTTCTTGTTTATCTCCCTTGGCAGCACCTTCTTCATCTTCCTCACCTGTAGTCAAATATTTAAAACATTTCTCACAATCATACAATCACTATGAGATGATAGACTAGTACAAAACAGCAATTTTCCAAGCTTCATAAAGTATGTACTATTTTGACCAGTTAAAGGGAATCCATAGAGGTTTTGTTTGACATAAAGGGACTTAAAGTATTTTTTCAAGAATTGTGTACCATTTGAGCAATGTCTGGACTAATACCTTATACAGGTAAACTGACTTCTATTAATCAGTCTAGTAAATTGAATGTTTATAAAAATAATTTCAAACACTAAACTGCACTGCTCTTGACCAATTCAATTCTGTAAATACTTACAAATTAAAACTAGCCTAAAGATGAAAGTTCAGAACCTTGTTTCTTTTTTATTTAAACTTTCCTTTGAAAGTATAAACGTAATTTCAATACTCAAATCGCCTTTATATTGTATGTATTTTTATTAGGGTTTTGTTTTTTCTATTGTTATGTATATCTATATATGTCATGTACAATGTCTATTATACAGTTTAAGTTATGATTAAAAAATCAACTTACCAGGGGAGCTACACCTAGGTGGAGATGGTATATACACTCTTTTCCTTCTCGCTCGTGTTCTCAGAGATCGAATCATAGCTTGCTTGCAGGCGAAGCTTACAACATGATCTTGGTGCAGGAGAAGCTTGGAATATAGTTTTGTCGCCAACGGTAGATTGTCCAGGTCGGATAATGTGAAGGCGTGAATAACCTCTACCAGTGCCAAAACTGTGGCATCCACATGGGCAAGACCTAGAATATTAATTACGCCATTAAATAAAATTCTAACTAATTATGCTGGCTATGCCATACTAGTATTCTATTGTTACCACTTTGCTTTGTAGAGGCAGTCATAACTCATACATGTATTGTCTGAACGGGTACAGAAAACATGCAAATCCATGCCGACTGTCAAAACTATATATTATGTACACTGCTGGTTTGTGAGATTTATTTTTGTAATACCCCCTTACCCTGCTGGGATTGAATGATTAGACTTATATCATTATAAAGCCTGGCCAGCCTGATCTTCTGTGCAGTTTTACCAGGCTGTAAACTGCTGGCTGACTGGCTTCAAATTTTTATCAAGACATCCCCGAAAATGTTTGTTTGTTTCATTTTTCGCCTTTTCCCAACAGTATTTCAGTTATATAGGCAGGTAGTTTCCTAACCATCATTCCTGGAGAGTTACACCAGTACTAGACTACCTTCCTCCGCGCTAAACTACCAAAGCATCTCCCGGGGATCGAACCCACACCAGAGAGGTAACTGGATTAGAAGTCATTCCCCGAAAATGGAAGCTACCCAAGCAATTTAAGAAATTTGTAAGGATATTATGGGCTTACATTTCCATTCAATCATAATAAATTTGTTTCTTTACCAAGAACTATATTCTTCAAAACTACCATTCCCATAGACATATAAATCTAAATGAAACGGTCTCGTACTTAAGATATCTACTACTAAACCATGGGTTGTGGGTTCAAGCCCCACTGGTTAACAGTCAAGTGTCATCCCATTAAAACTAGGACTAGTGAGTTCCAGGAAAAGAACTTGAGACAAGTTCAAAATTATCCTAAGCTTTCTATTTAACTGAGTTTAATAAATATCTTGTACATGTATAATTTTCCTTTGAATATTTACTTCAATTATAATGTAAAGATGTTAAAGACACCAACCTGGTAAACAAACAGGTGCTAGCATAGGATTAGGTGGTCTTGATGACAGAAGTTTCCAGAAGGAATTCATCAACTGGGTAACAAAATGGCAGCCTTCCTGAGGCTCTAGCTCACCTACTGTCACTACTGCGTCCTCTTTCTCCAAATCTGTTACCTCTAATACTGTGGAAAATATAGAAAAAGAATTTCTTATTTTTTACTAAGCTTACAAGTGAAAATGTCTCGCAAACACTATGCCATATAGTGACTTGTCTGGGTGATGTCATGGCATTGTTAATGCCTTTCTGAATATCAATCTCGGCATCAACATTTTACATGCTATATCACGATGCCAATACCACATGACTTTTTGTGATCAATAAATAAATATGACGGTCCAAGTAACATTTTCTTTTTGAAATTCTTTTATTTATTCATTAACAATTTTTCTTTAATTATTCATTATCAATTTCTCTTTAATTATTCATTATCAATTTTTTTTTAATTATTCATTATCAATTTCTCTTTAATTATTCATTATCAATTTTTTCATATATATATATTTTTTTGTCAAAAATTTTCATAAATTTTTCTATGTGATAAAAGCAGGTTATTTTATTGAGTAACCCCATACAGAGAATGATTCTTGTGGAAAAATAAGTACTTTGTATATTGATAGTAAAATGAAAATATTTACTTGAGCCACCAGAATTAAATATGTTTCACCATTTTATCAGTCTACAGAAAGGCTCACAGACTGACATGAAAAATATAGCAGCCTCACAGACTGACAAGAAAAAGCTAATCTATATCCCCAAACCAACTAAGTAGTGGGGACATCAAAGTTATTTCATTTCTGTTCTATAGACATATAATATCCAGTAAATGATAATTAGCAAATGAAACCTTCCCTTACCTTCTTTGTCTTCGTCGGAACCAGCTGGTCTGTTAGCAAATTTCACCAAATTTTGAGGCCGGGCCACAGCTACAGATCGGGCAGTAACCAGGAGTCTTTGGAATGCTTCCACATCCATTGCATGTCCATCCTGGTTGCCACGGAGACTTTGCATTACATGACAGAGCTCAGTCTCATCCTGTATTTATCACAACAATGACACAAAGTTAGTCTAAACAATTATAGAATGACTCATAAATGATCCTACATTGTATATTAAAGGATTGCAAACCCTAATGAGCATGTAAATTAGCAGTCATAATGGAAAATTATTAAACACTTTTTTATTTTGGTATATATTTCTTTTAAAGTTTTTTTTTCATGACATTTTAATGTAAATGTAAGGGTTTAAGCCGGTTAATAATCTAGAGTAATATCTATTCACCTTTTGAAATCAATAACATGCAACCTTTGCAGAACAACACCTTTTGGAAGACAACGATTTGGGTTTGTTGCCAAGAAATTTATTAGTATAATCCATTTTAAAGGGATTTTTTGACAATGATGGGACTGAAACATTTTTTTTTTTCAAGATTAATGTTCCATTTGATGAAGGTCTAGACCACTAACTCTTGTGCTAAATTTCAGATTATTCACTCTCTCAGTTTTTCTAGAATTAATTATTCTAATTGTTCAAAATGACCCAAAATTGATAAGGGTTTCACTCAAATTGGGCTAATAATAACACAAAAATAGGTTTTTCACTTAATTCTTAAGTATATTTCTTCATTATCCTTCGCATAATTTTCATTTTAAGTGTCCCAGTTGATATATGCAAGAACTTATAATTATTTCAACGCTTCTGGGCCTCAGTGGAGTGCCTTTAAAGTCTACTTTGAAAATAATGTGGTAAAAACTGATACTGTTGTTGTAAAGAGGTAATTGGTCTTCTGAGTGGTCACATTGCACAGGTTGCATTGTATGATAAAATAATGATAAAATCTACCTTATGTCCATGGTATACTGTCTTGTTAAGGAATAGGGAAGCTAATAAAGCTTTTGTGTGTTGTTGTACACTTGATGGTGTTGGCAGTGTCAGTAGATTAGTGGCCGTTTTCAAAGTTTTCTCTCTTAGTGGATCCTGAAAGATAACGTTGCTGAAGTGCATATTCCAATTTTGATGGTAAAAAAAAAGGTTATAAGATTTCTCTCCTTAGTACAATATCACATAATAAATACTGCACTCAAAAGCAACCTAAATTTTTTTTTTTTTAATCTGCCCATCCACACATTATTTTTGGCACATGCAGGCATCTGAGTAAAAGCGTCAACGTTTCTGACTTAACTGGTGGTGAAAAGACCTCAGATGCCCCTCTGAGCACCACAAACATTCTGTATGTTAGCTGGATAAAATATAAGCTCAGATAAGGTAGAAAACTCTATGTCCTATTCAATACAATAACTAACCAGTAATTACAAATTTCTCCACCAGTGTCTGACTACTATACCACATGATTTTTGAATCAGCAGTGAGGTGAGAGACAAATGACCATTAGACTCAATGTCCGCTGTGAATTGTCAAGGAAAACTTTCGCCTCGCCTAAGATCGAACCAGCAACATCTGTATTGTTAACTTCATGCTCCCACTATCGAGTTAAGCTAGTGGAATGGAAACTTTTAAATCAGAGTTATTATAAAGGAAACTACCTTTTCATCAGCCGGTAGAGCTGAGAATGCCCCATCCAAAACTTCCAAAGAGCTGCTCAGTAACCTACAATGTGTAACATAAATTAAAGTCTGACATGCCCTATGGCAGCATTTCAATCTCTCCAAAAGAAAAACTTCAGCATTTTTAATGTACAGTCGACTCTCATTATCTCGAAGTCATCGGGACCGTCCAAAAAATATCGAGATAACGAAATGTCGAGATAAACATATTAGGGTTTGAATAAGGCATTTACCGATTTTTACAAAAGACATGTGCATACCTTATGTCAAATAAACTATGATATCCCCAAGTCTTGTTTTCATAGGCCTAGCCAATATTTAACAAAGTAACATTATAGCGGATGTTTACCAGCGGAAATACGGGTGTCTGTCATAAAAACACATAGTGAGGTTTACTCAGTAATACACCAATAGAGTGAAAACATTGTTTTCATGGTGGTTGATCCGGATATCCTCCCGGGTTATTTATCGGGGATTTCTCGAGATTGTTCGACCGCTGATTGATTTGGTGGCGATATTGCAAAACAATATTGCAACGATAGCGTTTCTATACTTTCACTATTTCATTTACATTTAAAGTCATAATGAATTAATACAGTGTTCGAATATTTATAAAGAACGTAAAATTCACTCATTTTGGACATAAGTCAATCAATACGCTAAATAGATTAACTTACATAAAAACATCTAAACTAAAGTCTTGTTACAAACATAATCATCATTATGACACACGCTATTGAGCAATTATCGTCTAGTTTGTGTTTTTCACACGCCTGAAGGGAACAGACGAAAGAAACTATAAGTCGAGATAAACAAAGGATAATAGTGTGAAAATATCTATTGGGGCTGAAATTTTACATCGAGATACTGAAAATATCGAAATAAAAATATCGAGATAAACACATATTTCCAATATAGATAAAGAAGGAAGAATATCGGGACTTTCAAAATTTCATCGAGATAACGAAATATCGAGAAAAGCGATGTCGAGATAACGATAGTCGACTGTATTAAACTTTACCACCTAAACCTGCTAGACTACCCTTTGTCACCAGTATAGACCAGGTCCATTACTGGTGGCTGACTAACTAGGTTTTAATCATGATATCCCCACAAGGGATAATGGACAGTTCAAAAAATTGGAAGCTGGACAGGTCCATTTAAGAAATTGAGATAGCCAAGGGTTAAACTAACGCCAAATTGCCACTGAGTATATAGCTAGTGTAGCAACTGTGCCCTTGGGTTTACAATTGGATAGTCTGGCAATAGTTCTAGACATCAGTGTCCAACATAGATGCAAGCAAAATAAGAAGCAATTTAATAGCATTTGTTATAAAAGGGAAATATAGTAAAGATTGCCCTTGGTAAATGATATTTGGGAAATTTACATTTTGGTCTTTCAATATATGTTCAAGTAAAGTTATCTAGTTAAGAATTATATAGAGAACATTAAATAAGTAAAACATATTGAACAAGCTCCGGCCAGCTTCTAACCATTTTTGAGTTTAACAAATTCAATATGAAATCTACACAAATATAATCCTATAAATATTGAGAAAAAATATCATGTTGATGTATAACAAAAGTGACACATACGCAACAAGGCTAATTTGCTTATAAAATGCCAAGCTACGCCCGCGTCAAAAAAAGCAGTCCAGGTATGTATTAAAAACAAGCCATTACTTACTTGTCAGCTGAAGTTAGAGGCATGTAAGCTAGTGCCGAGGTCACTGTGTCCATTTCAGAAGTATTCGGTAAAGCAGACACCACTGATGGAGTCGGTTTCGGTGCTGATTGTTCGGTAAACTCGTCCGGTTCCTCTGGCCAGCCAAACGCTTCCTTTGTTTTTGTAAACACCTTGATCGAGTCAACCATTGTCACACCTGCCGGATCCGTACTTGGGCCAACTAAATAGATGATGTATCATTTAGAAAACGTGTTGTTCATTTCAGTGTAAATAGCAAAAGCAGTAACAATTTTCTGTTTTGGCTCGAATGTCTCGTATAAATTTGAACAAAAGCACCATACGCAAAAGTTAATGCTTGTCTGTTAACATAACCATTTTTGACAAAAATTCTTAGTAAAAAAAAAAAAAGAGGCATAACTAGCATGATGACGACAACTATGCTGCAGTTGCCATTTCCAACCATATTATAAATAATAACCATATATCAAATAGAAAAGCTCCCTGCAAAGGCTATAAAATTCACTTTCAAAACATCACACTTCTAAGCCTAAGAAACTATTAACTGAGAGTATTTTTTCCATTCCTCAAATCTGACTGGAATTTACAAGTTTGATTTTCAACTTACTGAATAGGGAGAATTTCTTGTCTGTATTTAATGACTCCTCCCTGGTAAATGGTAGATCTACCCATCTAGGTTTTAAACACTGGACCTGCACTGTCCTGCCAAATACCTCCAGGTATGTGGGTGCTCGCTCCACCGACTGGCTCCCAACAGAGACTCGCACCCCTACCATGACTGTTGTGGCGCTTGTGTTTGTCATCTCAATAGTAAACCCAGCTGGCTGCAAGTTAATTTTTTTTTTAAATCTTTAATCTAAGCAGAATGTAAATTAACTTAAAAATCTTTTTAAAAATCTTTTTTTTATTAATTTAAACTTTGTATTCTGGATTGCATTATGCTGTTTTTTTATCACTTTCAAATATTTTTCCTGGACTTGCCAGCAATAAAGTCAATAAGGAGAACTGGAGGCCACTTGTGTAGGGCTTGAATCCGAAACCTTGGGTTGGGATGATTGTCAACATAGTTTATATTAAGTGTTTATATAATTCTGATTTGTATAAATCCTACAATATCATTATCTTCAGATAATTCAGCAAGGGTGTTACAGCTGAAAGTTATTCATTTTAAGATATTTATAATTACAATATACAATATTTCATTTTTTTGAAAGGCACATTATGTCTCAGAAAGCCAGATTTATTAAATTCTTAAGAAATATCAAGAATGTTTAAATAATGGAGTTAGTGCATGTTGATGTTTAACAACTGACAAGAGTAGCACTGAACATGCAACTGTAGCAAAATGTAAACAAAGTAGTATTTTTACTTCCATACAAAAAAGTATATAGCTGTAATTATACAAATCACCAACAGAGCAACAGAAGCAAAAATAGTTCATCTATACAAAAAATGATCAAGATTTTGGTAACTGTAACTAGATATCAAAAATAGAAAGTTTTAGAGAAATAAAAATGATAACAATGATAGCATTTTTGAGGCATAATGTGCCTTTAAGTTATACAGCTTAACTCTTAGAATGCTTATGGCAACTAAATTTACCCATTCTACCAGTACAGACTAAGACCGAATGGTACATGACCTGCAATATTCGCTTTTCAGTGGTTTAAACACATTTATTTAAGCTCGATTGCGAAATGAAGTTCTTGAAACTTATATTAATCACTTTCCACTCCGCTTCCTGGAACCAACAAGTACTGGTGTCATATGACGAAATATGATTGTGACCCAATTAGGGCTCAAACCCATGATCCCTGGGCTGAGAGGTAGACACCCTAACCACAAGGCCACCACTCCCTCACCTTTTCAGTCAGTACATACTTTGAAAATTTCCCTAAAAAACAGTGGTTTTGTCCAGATTGAAAGATGGACAAGTTAATTTCACATATCTAATATGTGGTAATGGATTAATACAATTTCACTTAAAATAATCCACTATATGTTTGTACGCACTTTAGTACTGGCGATATACATTCCTGTAGTATTAAGTCTATGTTTCACTTGTTGTATGTTATAAATCTGTAAAACGTCGTTCCCTCCGTACTCAATATCATTCGACTGCTGACAATTCTCGAAGAAGTCAATTGGAAAATTTACCGAGCCAGTTGGCCGTCCTAAAAAATAAAAGATATGTAAATTAAAATGTCATGAAAAAAAAACTTAAAAGAGATGCATAACAAGAGTTTTAAAATCATATACATATTTCAAAATGCATGTGATGCTCATAATGAATAATAAACAGAATTACTAACATGTACTTGTTGCTAATGGCATAAATACACTTAATCGTACAATTTTCAATAATGACTTTTTCATTAAGAATTTTTTTTTTTAAATTTAGTATAAGATTGGCGATGTCTGAGCATGCTCAATTAAAAAAAAAACTTAACCATTTTCTTACTAAAAAACACAGAGAAAAGAAACTTTCCTTAAGAAATCATTGTAACCATAACCTTCTGAATTTCATGAATGGACTTGTCCAGCTTCCATTTTGGAACTGTCCATTATCAACTTTGGGGGATTTTAAGATGTAAATTTCAATTGGTAATCTGACAGTATAGAACCTGGTCAGACTGCACAGATGTGCAGGCTGGCTTGGCTCGATACTGGTGGCAAAGGCTAATCACTTTCCGTTCCAGTAGATTTAATGAGAAGGTTTAAGGTTCAAGTCCACAGACAAGATAGGAAATACATTTTGCTTACCAGATTTTGTTGTCTTTTTCTTCTTGGTGGGTTTGAGTACAGATATGGGACTCTGTGGCTGTAGGGTAGGTGACAGCCAATAGTTGGTATTGTCAACATTCGCCATGTATATCCTCAGACTCCCGTCCTCACATAATAGTATCATTGTGGTTCTTTGCTAAAATATACCAAAATTTATACCTTTTAAACCTGTATGTCTTTTCTAATTTGTGATTTAAACCTACCTGTCTTTATATATTTTGGTTTGAATCTACTAGTCTTTACTTTTTCAAGATTTAAACCTACTAGTCTTTATATATTCAAGATTTAAACCTACTTGTCTTTACTTATTCAGGATTTAAACCTACTTGTTTTTACTTACTCAGGATTTAAATGCACTTGTCTACATATTCAGGATTTAATCTTACTTGTCTTAACTTATTTTGGATTTAAACCTACTTGTCTTTTCTTATTCATGATTTAATCTTAATTGTCTTTACTAATTCAGGATTTAAACCTTTAAAACCTACTTGTCTTTCCTTATTTAAGAATCCTACTTGTCTTTACTTATTTGTGATTTAAATTTACTTTGTCTTTACTTATTAAGGATTTAACTTACTTGTCTTTACTTATTTGTGATTTAAACTTACTTTGTCTTTACTTATTCAGGATTTAACTTACTTGTCTTTACTTACATGTATTTGTGATTTAAACTTACTTGTCTTTACTTATTCAGGATTTAACTTACTTGTCTTTACTTATTTGGGATTTAAAGCAACTTGTCTTTACTGGTATATCAAATGTACTTGTTTTTACTTATTCAGGATCTAAACCTTTTCAACCTAATTGTGTTTACTTATTCAAAAATCCAACTTTCTTCACTTATTTGGGATTTAAACCTATGATTGTGGTTAGTTTGTAGTTCTTATAACTGAGCAGGCATTGGCAAATTATCAAGATTATTGGCCCAAATAAATCTCATAAAGCATACCTGATCCGAGTTGGATGCATTATGCCTGATAGCCACTACATCTTGTATCTTTGCCTTGGCTGGTACCACCTTTATTTCTTGTATCATCAGAGTGTCTGGTTTTATCATGAGGACTACCGGGTTGTTGGTGGCCTGGGTCATACAGTACAGTAGACCTGTGTGGCCTGGTACCTCTGACCACTGGACCAAGGCTTGATGCCCTGTGTTACCTTTTCCTCCACCATTTGAACTGGGAAAAAGAAAGTATTTTATTTTTATGTTCTTTTCAAATGTGAAAATTGTATTTCATTGGTTCCTTTCACACAGTAAATAAAAACCATTGGTAAATCATGATAAAAGTAAAAATACTTTTTCTATATTTATTTGTTGTGTTTCACATCGCACCAACACAGCAAATGTCATATGGTGACTTAACAGCATAAATGGTTTAAAAAGACCTAAGGTCCCCCTAAGTGTAATAAGTACAAACATGAACATGAGTAGAACCACCAAAACAGGAACTCAAGTAAAACCACTGATGATAAGTTAGCTGAATAGCTTCCTCAAATGAAATAATCCAAAGTCCCTGTCAGGATTCAACCCACCAGCAGTAAGGGGCAAGTGGTTTGAAGTCAAAAACTTAACCACTCAGACACGGATACCCCTTTTCAAATACTTTAAAACGTCAGTAAACATAAAGAAAGGCTCTATGGAAAATAGCCAGTAAGTGTCATAAATTTTTTTTTTTTTAATTGAATGGACTAATATTAACAAGCAATTATTGCATATTCAATAACATACCTTTTGAAAGTTATCGGGAACACAACAGGTGTAGAGGACAGGTCTTTTGCTAAAGGTGCACAAAAACTCTTCCCTAAGAGGACAAGAAATGATGTAATGAGATGTACTATGTATTATTTATATCAGGCAAAATTAAAACTTGAAAATATTTTGCTAAGCACTACCATAAATTCAATTCAAAGTATCATGACATCATAAAATATGTAAATTATGTTTGTTATTCCACTAAATCAGCTTACATACCTTTATGTTTGAGAAACAGTTTTCATAATTACCGTATGCTTTACTGAAAAAGTCTATGGAATATATTTTCTTCTAAATTAAATTGAGTTGGTAGCAAAGAAGTAATGAGGGTGGGGGTAGTAGTAAATCCCCTGACTTGACCTTAACACCATAAAAAATGGTTTTTAAACTTAGATTTCATATATATCATACATTTTTTCAAAATAAAATTGGGCAAAGGGAATTTTGGGAAACCCGGATTATTGATTTGCTGGAGGGGAATTTGCCCCTTTGTTTGAAACAAGCATTTAAAAAAAGATGTGGTAGGGGAAGGAGCTCGACTTTTTTAGTTTCTTGAAAAGTAAAAAAAAGCCTTTTAAAAAGTTTTCTCCTCCTTTAATTTTGGGGCTGAGGGGGAAAAGGGGTTCAAAGTTTCAAAGCCCAAAGTAAAAGGGCTTTTAAAAAATTTGAAAAATTACAAAAAATTTTGTAAATTCTAAGTCGAAAAAGGGCAAATTTTTGGGCAAAAAGCTTTTATTTGGTTTCCTCCTTTCCCGTTTTCAGGTTGGGGGCAAGATGTTGAACAATGTGCAAATTTTTTGAACTGGTTTTTAAAATTTTAAAAATTTTTTCAAAAAATTTTTAAAGAAATTCTAAAATTTAAAAGGGCATAATTTGGGAAAAAAGCTTCAAAACCCCCGCCCGTTAAGGTTGGGGGCATATTTTAAAAAGTGTGCAAAGTTTTAAAAATATGTTTGGGCTTTGAAAAAATTGAAAAAAAATTTTTAAAATTTAAATCGAAAAAAAGGGATAATTTTCAAAATGTTGGGTAGAGTTAAAATCCCCCTGTCTAAAAGGGGGGGTCAGATGGGTGGAAAAAAGTGTGCAAAATTTCAAAGCCCTATGTAATGGAATTTTTAAAAACTAACAAAAACTTTAAATTTAAAATTTAAGTAAAAAGGGGGATAAAATTTTCAAAAAATTGATAAGAGTTACCTCCTCCTGTCTACAGGTTGGGGTCATTATTGGTGACTACAAGTGTGCAAAAGTTTTAAAAGCCATATGGTCAATGGACTTTGAAAAATTTTTGAACTATTTTACAAAACTTAAACGTAAATTCTAAGTCGAAAAAGGGTGCAATAATTTTGTCAAAATGCTTTTGAATAGAAGTTAAACCTCCTCTATGTCTACAGGTTGGGTCATGAATGGTGAACAAGCTGTTGCAAAAGTTTCAAAGCCAATAATAGTCAAAATGAACTTTGAAAATATTTTGAACTATTACAAAAACTTTTAAATAAGTGGTTTGCCCGCACGACAGCTCGGTTGACTGCAATGCTCTACTTTATTCTTAATTCGAATGTCGAATAGAAAAAAATGTACCATAGTTGTGGTACCATGTGACATAAGCATTGATAAATAAGACTTTTTTTAAAATTATAATAATTTCTTTTTACAGTTTTGATAAAGTGATTACATCAAAATTTTAAGCCATATTTTAAATCAAGTGCCAGCTCACCACTTTAAATTTCCAAAATTCATTTTTTTATCCCAAATTTAAAAATAAAAAAAAAAATCAAATTTTTTTTGATTAAAGAATTTTTCCCACAAAAAATAAAGCCTTCACTGTTTTCTGCATTTTTTTAAGCATTTTTTAGGTTAATTTCCCAGAATTTTCCCCCAAAAAGGTCATAACCACTTTTTTTCTGGGGAGGGAAAGGGTAATTTCCCCCCTTTTAATTTTTTTCAGGCATAAAAAAGGTCTTTTGAAACCCACATTTTCCCAAACTAGCTGGGGTGCTTTTAAACAGAAAAATCAAAAAATGCTGGGTTAAAAATTAAAAAGATTAAAGGGGGGGGAAAAATTTTTCCTTTTAAGGTCATTTTTTAAAAGGGGATATAGAACGGGGTCCATGTTTAGGCCCCTCTGCCCGTCCCCCCATTAATTTAAAGTAAAAAATTTCCCCGGGAAAAATTAGAAAAATGTTTGCGACTTTTTCTGTTTAAAAACAAAAGTGGCATCAGTTTTAAAAAAAAGGGAAATTTGTGGACTGATGGCATAACCCGACAGGTTTTAGATTAAAAATATTAAAAAAAAAAATTTTAAAATTCAAGCCTTTAAAAAACAAAACTAAAATATTTTAAAAAAAACAAACTTTAAAAAAAGTTTTTAAAAAATCGGGCTAAAATAAAAAAAAAAATATGTAAAATACCCAAACTTTTTTTTTTGAAAATTTCAACATTTAACTTACATGCTAAATTTGTATTATGAAAAGGATCTTTTTTTATTTTAAAGATACTGAAACAAACAAGGGTACCTTAAACAATGGTTTTAAAAAATTTGAGCGCGTCGTCATGGGACCAAAACCAACACAGTGCGTTTTGCGACAAGCATGGATCCAGACCAGCCTGCACCTCCGTTGCAGTCTGATCAGGATCCATTGCTGTTTTTTCCCTATCAAGTTTCTCTACTTGTAATAGGGTTTGTAAGCGAAACAGCATGGATCCTGATCAGACTGCGCGGATGCGCAGGCTGGTCTGGATCCATGCTGGTCGCAAACGCATTACGTTGGTTTTGTTGTGACGCGGCTCATTTATAGATGGTAATATTTTTAAATCCATCTATCAATGACAGAATTGTTGACCGAACACAAACATCAGTGCATCTATTACAAAATTTACTTTGAAGTCAAAGTGTGAACTGGACCTGTTAGCTACAGACCTAGATCTTGCACATGACATGGTCCTTAGATGGCAGCTTCACATCTATTACAATATTACTTAAAAAAATCATTTCAATACATGACGAAGCTATGAGGCAACACAAAGTTTCCAGATGGAAAAACGACAGACAGATGGATTTTAAGGATGGACGGACGCTACAAAAAATATATACTTTTACATGTTGGGGGATATAAAGCAAAATTTAAGCAATAAGCAATAAAGTCAATGCCATTAAATACTTAATTACATACATATATCCCTTTAAAACTAGAATTCTCTAAGACAAAAACATACATGACTTTAGCAGCAACAAATACTTTAAACTTAATCAGCAAATTAAGCATCGGATATAGCTTAATAATACAATTGTCAGAATAATTCCTTGATCTTAAAAGAGATTAAAAGTAATTTTTGAAGAGAAATGAAGCAAATGATTTACCTTGACAAAATCGGCTGTTACTATGGCTAGTTCTGTCTGGGTGCCTGGCAACCACAAGGCTTTGATGATGTAGTTTCCAGAGGCCAAGGTCGGATGCAGTACCAGGTGATCAGATACTGACCCAGAACTTGTGAACGTCAGAACGTGGCAGTCCTTGAAATTGAGAAAAAAAAAACATTTCAATTCTTCTTTTTATCAATCACAAAATTAATTAAAACAATTAAATCTTATGTCAATCATAAGATAAGGCTTTGCAATTTATGGGAAATAAATGGTACATAATGAGGTAATGATTTTCTTCCAGTTTCAACATGTTGATGAAGACCACAGATGCCACTCTATGAATTATTTTTAGGCACAACTGATAGTAGATCCACTGACCTTCTGTAAGCTTACAGGCTAGATTCCTTAAATAAAAGAATACAAAGACCCTTCCTTTCAATTTGAAACCAGGTCTGTTGCAGACATATCAACATTTAACAATGATTTTTTTTTTTTACAAAGTGCACTTGTAGATGCCAAAATCATACTGATTTACATCAACAGTGATGAACGGCAAGTGGTTCAGGGTCTGAACTGTCTCATAGGAACTACATGTATAATGCTTAAAATAGCATATAAAGATGCATTTTTCCAAAAGGGCTGTTTTTTTTCATGGTTTTAAAGTGGGGTTTTAAAAACAGGTTTTTTTACAATTTCTTTTTGGTGGGCCAAACCCACAAGCCTTTTTTAGATTTTCAACCAAAAAATTGCCCAATTTTCTCTGCAAGGGCGACATTTCCCAATGATGTTTTTTATGGGGGGTTTCCTACCCTTTATTTTTTAAATTTATTTCACACATAGAAATGAATACATTAATAATGAGACATATACCTTTAAGCCACACACTGCTAGGTAATCCTCATTGCATGGGTTTCCATTAATAGACAACACAGTGAATGGTATAGGAGCTGATGCTAGTCTCTGAAATACAACAATAAATTAAAAAGAGTGGCGGCATGGCTGAGTGGTTAACGCAACTGACTAGTAATCTAATGATCGGAAGACACATGAATTCAAACTCTTGTCAGGGGTAAGCTGTTGTTTTCTTGAGCAAGAACTTTGCATTCATTGCTCAGTAAAAAACCTGATTCAAAAGTGTGTCTATAAGCTTATAGCTTCCTACAATCGAACTAAAATAAATTCTGTATAAACCAAAAATAAATACAAATATCTTCATATTATAAAATTTGAGGCCAAATTGATAATATTTACTGTCATATGGTTAATAATCTGTGCTTAAACTTATCTCTAGCCAGACAGCAAAGAAAAACTAGTAGATTTCCCTTGGGTCAGTAACAATTTCAATTCACAGTGAAAATTGCCAAGTTACTAGTTAAACTTGCTTGTAAATTTATAATCCTAATTAAGACTGCTTTTACTATGGTTTATAGCCATAATACTGCCATGAGCTACTGTACAAAAATTTTAATGTACAAAATTGAAAATAATGTATAAATGACCTTATAAGTAAGAATGTACAGAATGTACATGTGATGTGTTAATGTACAAAATGAGCCACAATGAGCTAATATATACAAATATTCAGATGTACAAAATGAACTACTGCTGTACAAAATCAAAATCAAATGTATAGAACTAGCTAAAGCACAAAGTAAGTTTATATACAAAATGTTTACTTACTGTAAGAGTTAACTTCTTTTTGCTCGAGTCGGCCTGTTTAAGAAGGGCGGACAACTGTAGAATGGTTATCTTTCCTTTTTCATGACTCACTGCTAGGTGTTGTCTTTTACCATGTGGGGATGCCAATACGCACATCGCAACACGACGTAGCATGTGAGATGTAATCAACTGGCGAATCTGTAGTCCCTGGTCGCCCACATACGTCATTCGCACATTTTCAAATGCACCCTCTTGGGATCCCAACGTAACAGCCTAAAACGAACAACATTTTCCATATCACAGTCATGTAAACATAATAAGCTCATCTACCATCATAACATCATAGAATTTAAGTGTGAAAGTTCTGGATTTTGGGAGGAGTATCTCCATGACAACAGCCATTACAACTTACATAATTATGCTTGGTTACTGCAGCCCATACACTTTTAATGACCTGGGGACCTCTAATTTGAACCTTTTATTGATATTTTCTAAATTCAAATAATACAATGCTTATATTCAAATAATACAATGCTAAATTTTGTATAATTTGAATAAGCAACACTATGTTCTACTAAACTACTTTGTTTTTTGTCAGGTATATTATCACATTTACATTGTTCATTGTTGTTGCTACTTTACAGCTTTTACTGGCCCAGTCAAGGAACCCACAAAATGCAGGTCTATGCATAATTTAAAGCAAAATTGGACACCTGAATACAATCAGCAACCTTCATTATGCTAATTGAACAGCCTATCCCACCCCCACCCCTAACAAGAGGGAATTCTGAATGGAGTAAAATTTTCAGCATTGAAAAAGGGTGAAGGAAGTCAAAAACGTTTTAATCAGCAAACTAAAAATCTATTCAAAATTGCATCTTTAGGAAAATTGGGTTGGGGGGGGGGGGGGTCAATGTTAAGGAGTCAAGGGCTTGGGGCATTCAGTTTTACAAGGGAATTTCAAATCAGCCGCCTAAAAATCTATACATTACTTACCATAAGTTGGTCAGTTGTCTCGGTAGTTTTGGCATGTGTATGTAAATCATTGAGAGCAGACTGTGCCCTCTGTAGACTTCCCATTGGTGACATTGTCTGGTAATTCTCTGTCAAAGATGGTAGGATACAGTCTAACATGTCTAACACAGTCTGAATTGTTTCTGAACCAGTCTGCAAAAGTTTTAAAACAGTTTCTATAAATAACTCAACAATATAGAAAATATTCAAGTAATAATAAATTAAAATTGAAAAGATTCAATAATAATTGAAAGGATAATAAAGAAATAAATAGAAAAATTGATAGTTTGTGCAGTTCTTAGATAAAAGGGTTTCAACGCTTTTCATTTTTAGTTGACATTGGATGATAAAAATCGACTATTCTAGAAAAACTGGGTGAAAAACATGACTCGAAATTTTGCAAACAAATTTGGTTTGGTTAAAAAAATTTGGAAACTGTTTCCGTTCCTGTCATGTCAAAATACCTTAGTAAAGTCACATAAAAGGGCCTCCACTTAGGTTTTTTTTTTTGACATATCAGGATTTTTATAAATATTTCCAAAGATTTTTGTTCCATTTGATTCAAGTCGGAACAAATAACTTGTGTGCAGATTTTCAGATCACCCCTTCATCCAGTTTTTTTTCCAGAATATTAATTTTTATTGTGCAAAATACCCAAAAAATGATTAGCTGGCCTTGTAAGAGAAATTGAGCTTAAAATTGCAATAACTACCAATTTACAGTTTCATTCTTAGTATATTTCTTTAGTATCTTTTGCATGTCTTCCTGTTTCATGTGCCTAAGTAGATCTATGTAAAAAAACTCAAATTTTATGTTTTTAGGCTTTTGGACTTCAGTCAAGTTCCTTTAATAAATAAAAGAAAGAAATTAATACAAATAAAATGTACTACACTTACCAATGTGCTAATAAGCTGTTCTTTACTTCCCTGAAAACAGACATTGTACTTTTCATTGATTGATTGATAATATCTACTCGTTCTGTTTCATTAACAATGAAATATATGTCCAGAGTAAAGATTTGGTTATATGAAATGGAGATTTATCAATATGTTAATACATATTTGGTTATGTAAAAGATCTGGTTTTATGAAATGGAAATTAACTTAACCTCAAGAAGAAAAACGTAAGCCTCACCCTATCTACATATATTTTTGTTAGGAGGAAAAAAACCCCGACAAAACAATAAATATGCTTCCAATTTACTTACATGTATGTTAAGGTCTTAAAAATCTTGCATTGTATTTAATTTCTATTGAGCTTTATGTTTCAACTTGAATTAAAGCGACGTTCAGCTTTATTTAACGTTATATATGTTATTTTTAAATAAAATGTTTCATATAAATGTCAAATCAGAAAAATTAAGGTAATGAAATTTGCCGTCAATAAAATATATAAATAATAAGGAAACCCTTCCATATATCTAATTTACCAATCCGCTCCCTGTATGTAAAGCAAACGATTTGATTCCTGATCTTCTATTTTTAGGAATAAAAGTCACTGACACGTTATAAATAATTCTCGGAATGCTATGTTGAAAAAGACCTAACAGTGATATGATGCACTTTTCCATGCACTTTTCCAAGATAAAATTACTGAAATACTTAGTTTAAAACAACACAGAATTGTTTTTTCCCACATAGGGCAATTTAAGAATTTTAACTTGTAAACAAACCTCTAACTGCTGACATAGTATTTTCCTTGCTTTTCCAATCTGATCTTTAGTTTCATCCATTCTCTTATCGGCCTGAAGTGGGGATGACAGACGTCGTCGCAGGGAACTCGGCAATGTGGTTTCCATGGAGAACGGAGAAGGTGAGCTGTTTATTTCACCGTTGTGTAAACCACTCTGTGCTGTACGCTTTACCAGAGCCTGAAATGATGATAGATTTAAGCATTTGAGGAAATTTAACCTAAAGAAACAAAAATATTCAAGTGAATTGATATGATTTAGATCACAAAAAAAATCAAAGGGACATAATCAAGGGAGATAAAAACTAAGGGAGATAATCTATTGTAAAAATTTATTAAAGAAGCAAAAGCTGTCTTAAAGTATAACTAGAAATGTGTTTAGTGACATGGATGCTACAACATATTAGTTTTTTCTTGCATATCAGACTGGCTTTTTCGTTAGTTTTACCCATGCCGGAAATTTCATCTGGCATAGGGGGTTCCAGATGAGTCGCGTGCTGTACAATGGCACGATAAAGATGACGTCATTTTACCGTTATGAATGATTTTGTAATTCATACGCTGTTGAATGAAAGTAGTTACGGTTGTAATGATATACATTTTCATTGAAAATAAAGATTAAGAATTTAAAATATAATGGAATATGGTAGAATATGCAAGAAAAAATATCTTACATATGTTTGCGGTTCGGATCGGAATATCCGTCCCTCGGTCACCCGCCCATGGGCGGGTCACCTCGGGACGGATATTCCGATCGAACCGCAAAATATGACAGATATTATTAGTCAATCTAGGGATGGACAGTAGGACAACAGGATGGACATATGAAAATTTCTTTACCCCCCCCCTCCCTCTCAACCCAATGTGAAGCAATAAAACTAGCTGAAAGAATTGTAAAAAAATTTAGGAACAACAGAAAGTTTAATAAGTTAGTTTGAAAATTCAATAATCAAATTCACTGCTTAGTACTGGTTGGTTGGTTCCAAGAACAGATTTGAGAATGTTTCAATAAGCTTACAGCCTACAACACAATCTAACTAAAATAAATTTGCATAAACTAAATTCGATACAACCTCTTTAGGGCAACACTTTGACTTGGTTGCTGGTAAGAAGTCTTCAAGTGTTGCCCTAGACATATAAAATTGTTTGTGAAGTCTGACTTTGGGAAAAATGGTACTCTTTTTGTAACGAGGTGAATGGTCTAAAGAGGGGCCAGTCTGCTGAGGATGTACTGTACATATACAAATACAGACTATATACAGAAAAGGGTGATGTATTTTGACATTATACAATTTAAACACTTACTTTGCAACTGCCATCTTCTTTTGCGCCGCAGTCACAGAAGAACGATCCAAACTTGGCGTAAGTGAGATCATGGTCTTTGTGGCACACCTTCGCACACACAGTGCACACGCCCACACCATCTACCATCTTACATGTGTGACAATGATACCTTTTATAGAGAGATGGAAAGTCTTAAAATTGAATCGTTAGAAATTATCATCATGGACATATATTTCACACTTTCTTCAAACAACGCTTCTTGGTGTCTTGTAAAAAAATATAATGGATATGGTACACAATCTACCTAAGTTTCTACAAAGGAATCTATCAGTACTGCTGCAGTCATTTGTAACCCTGATCTCCTCAGCTATCAAGGTATATCATTTACTTTTACACAACTCGGGTTATCCAATCTAAGTACTCTGGATTTCTAGTACCAGTGTACTCTATATAAGTATTTTAGCAATATAGACAAGTTGTGGATGACAAATAAATTTGCCAACAAACGATATTCATTAAAATACAATGTTCAAGGCCCTAACTCCGAAAAGTTTCCATATCCTTTCACATGAAACTCTACTCAAAGTAGTATTAAACAAGGATGGCCTTCACAACCGCAAAGCAAACAAGTTTTATACTGTAGAAATTATTGGTAAGTTAATTACACTAATTCAGTTGAATAAGGCTTGATTAACAATTTGAATTATATTAATCCAAAATAAACCTACCAATGCTGGTTCATAAACTCCTTTTGAGTAACTGTAAATGTGCACAGCTTGTTGTTCAATGATTCTTCATCCTGAAAACAAATTTTCTGTTTGTTTAGTTAGATTTTAAATGACATCAATACTGCAAAAGGCATATGACATTTTTCTAGCTTTACTGATGGGGGAAGACCTCAGTTGCCCCTTTGTGCACTATTTCAGGCATGAGCAGGCACCTGAGCAGAACCTCCTACGATATGCTAGCCAGCTGGATAGCTACCACGCATGAAAAAACAACAGTAAAGGGGGAAACAGTTCAAAGTTAACAACCTTAACCGAATCGCCACAGATGCCCATTTGACAGAAATATGTATCTATTTATTTCAGGTTGAAAGAAACTCTTCAACAAATCTTTCTCAGGTTTTGGCGTTCTCGCATTTCATATTTCAGTCTGGTTACCATACTTTAGTTGCAAGTTATGTTTCATATTGATTTACCTCCTTAAGTTGCAAGTAATATTTCATACTGGTTTACCAAACTTAAGTTGTGATTAATGTTTCTTATTTGTTACTTCCCTTAGTAGCAAGTAATATTTCAGACTGGTTCACCATACTTTAGATGCAAGAAATGTTTCACACTGGTTTACTTCATTTCACATTTCAGACTAATTATTTATACTTTTTAGTAAAAAAATATTGTTTCATACTGAATAACCATACTGAAGATGCATTTTATATTTCAGACTGGTTAAGAATATTTTAGCTGCAAGTAATATTTCATATTTTAGACTGGTTTAGCATATTTTCAGACTGGTTTACTTACAGAATCTTCACCAGCAGTATCATCATCATCATGACTCAGATCTTCCTCCCAGTCACTGTCAATCTCCTGGGCGATACTGATCTCATGTTCTATTGGTGGAGAGGTAGAACCAGTCTGGTCCCCGGATTTCTTCAACGCAACCAGTATCTCTCCAATGTATGACAGCAAACAGCATAATGAATTCATCAAATTCTGAAAATTTAACACGTTTTATGTCAATTTGATGATGAAATAATGTAAAATTAAAAATTTGTAGAAATGCAAATATTTACAATTAAACAACAAACATTTCAGACAGGAAAAGGAAATGACTTAAATCTAATACCAAATGAAACATCTTTGGGGAACTCCTACTTTTACAAAGATTTATATTCTAAGGTGTTAATTTCTATAACCTCTTCATTTACGTCTTTTTTTAACTGGGTTATAGAACATATAGCTGACCTAAGGTCGGATTTTATCAAAAATTAAAATATTCATTTTTAAAAGTGATTCATTGCAGAACAATTTTCTTTCTTTTAGATCACACAAGTTACGTTTATTCAAAATCAAATTTTCAAAATGAATTTGTATCTGTAGGTGTGAAAAATGATTGGGGTAATATATTACCTTTCCAGACTTGCTGTTAAGTAACATTTTCTCTTGAACGTCCTTTTGCGCCACATGAACTGTGCTGAAAAGATTATAAGAAACAACACTATTATAAACACTCAGGCATTCACAACTGTCTACAATATAAAATGATACTAACATTTAAAATCTAATTACCTGAGTTTACCTGTTTGAAAACCTGGTTAACCAATCAACATCCAACACTGTATACCAAATTTTAGCACGCTTCACACTATTCCCCTATCAAACAAATAGGGCAATCAAATGCATTACTACAACAAATATGCACAGTATAAAAAACGAATGCTTACATGCCATATGACATCAATGAACCAATGAACCAGTAAAATTACTCCTAAACTCCATGAAGTTCATCATATATTTATCAATTCCCTTTTTTTATAAGCATGTTAGAACGGAAATATATATCAATTTTGAGTGCATTGTTGTAGTAGAATTATGCACAGTTAGAGTTCAAATGGTTAGGAATATAATCACGAAGGCCGACACTTGATCTAAACCTTTAACCTGCTGAATCTGTATAATGGGTTTGCCCTGCTTTTAATTTGGGATAGTCCATTCAAAATTAAAAGGATTTCAATAACAAAGTACAACAAGAGAACTACAAACAGAGTTAAGCCTGGTCGGACAGCACAAAAGTGTAAGCTGGCCTGGCTCTATACTGGCGGCGAAAGCTTATTACTTTTGGTTCTAGCAGTTGGGTTAAAAGAAATATAATAATATTGATGCAAAGTTAATACATACCAGAGTTTAAGCCAAGTTGTTGCTGCTTGAAATAATATAAGATGTCCGCTCCTTCCGTACTCCCCAGTGTATGATAACAACCATTTTTCTAAAAAGCCGCTAGCTCCCCGTTGTTGTGGAATCGTGTTTCACCCAAGGGACAGGCGCAGTATGGCATGGGTACTGCCTCATTCGTATTTAGCTTTGAAAAAGGTACAAAGTGAAGGTCTGAAACATTTTGAGGGCCCCAGTTCCTCCGCTTTTTTTAATAGATAAAAATAGCATTTCAATCAAGCAATACTTTCTGTAGCTGATATATGGCTTTATACACTTAAATATATACTACAACAAACAGTCTTAACATAGTATTCTCCTTTGAATACATAAGTAAAGATTCTGAATGACAAAAAGTGAGCATGAACTTAATTTCAGGAATCCCAAACCTATTATGATAACATTTCTGCTAAAATGTAATTTCCACCAATCAGTTCAATAGATACTTTGTAATTGGTTAAGTTAGCGATGCTGAAATATTGGGGAATTTTGCCAATTCACGAAAATGGTTAAAATTTACTCTAGTGTGAATATCCAACAATTTGTTCTCAGTATTTACGCTACTCTGAGGGCAGCGATTTGCTTATACTTTCTCACGCATAATATCTGGACTTTTAAATTTGCTACCTTTTCAACACACACAAATATCCACTTATACAGTATCGAGCGGACCAAAGTTGCTAACGGACAGACAGTCAGGGGCTTAACATTTCATGCCAATATTCTTTTAGGCAAATAAAAAATGTCTTACTTTTGGTAGAACAACAAACTTAGAGAGCCAAGCTTGTAGAAGTGCTATGTCCATGTCTGCTAGTCTGTTTAGTGACTTACACAAGTCCTTGTATGTCTGACTATTCTTATTTCCATCAGCTGTAACACAAAACGTAACACATTTGGTAAGAAAATTACATTCTCGTCATTTAATTTTGAAGGTAACTTATCAAGTTTTTGTTTGTCTGTTTGTTTCATTTTACGCCTTTTCCCAACAGTATTTCAGTCATATAGGCGGGTAGTTTCCTAACCATCGTTCCTAGAGAGTTACACCAGTACTAGACTACCTTCCTTCGTGCTAAACTACCAAAGCATCTCACGGGGATCAAACCCACGCCACAGAGGTAACTGGATTAGAAGTCACCGACTCTAACCCCTCGACCACGGAGGCGGTCAACTTATCAAGTAAATGACATAATTTGACACTAACTTACCAAATAAATGACAAAGTTCTGATGCTAACATAAAGTACATGACTTAATTTTAATGCTTACTAATTTACCAAGTAAATGACATAATTCTAAGGCTAATTTATCAAGTGAAAGACATATTTTCTTTAGGATAATGATATATTTTTTAAGCTAACTTACCAAATAAATGACAAATTTCTGATGTTAACTTACCAAGTTAAAGATAAGATTTCAATGTTAACTTACCAAGTGAAAGTAATTTATTGAAGAACTTGAGCACATGGCCAGCAAATGTTGGAGAGAGGTTCTCTTTAGCAGATGACAGTAACACTGCTGTCAAATCTAGAACAACAAATTATACAGATAAACATACAGCAGAAAGTAGTCGCATACTGGGGGAATCATATCACCTAATTATACATTAAAACAGATAGCAGAAAAATAAATGGCAGATTGGGGGAATCATATCACCTGAATTATTCATTTAAACAGATAGCAGAAAGTTAAGTGGCATTGTAGGGGGAATCACATGACAAGCTTGAAGGTGAAAACAAAATTATGTAAATCTATAACAAAGAACATTGATGTTCTTTTTCTTGGTCAGACCAACACTGCATGGTGATTTTTCCAGCTTTTTAAAGTCCCATCACAACTCTTCTAAGGCCATAATAATTTTATTATAGCAACATCACAGCTGGTGAGGGATGACCTCAGATGTCTCTTTGCACATCATTTCAGGTATGAACTGACACCGGAGTAGAACCACGGACGTTCCGTAAATAATGACATAAACCTTACTATCAGTTTAAAGCATATAATTCATCAAAAGTTGGACCAAACTCTTATAATATAACTTTTGGATGCTGAACTATATCATTTGATTTTGAAAATCCAGTTGACTAGTCTAAATTCAAGGATGACCTAGACAAAAAAAGTTTCCCTTAAATCAGTATGGTAAAGAAACATGTTAACACAATAATTTTAATCATAACTATAAGCTTCTTCCTTCAATTAAAAAAATTCAATGGAGTGAATCGATTGATTAGTGCAAAACGGACATAACTCCTTCAATGTGTAATATATGTCACAGCTGTAGTGCAGGAAACCCACAATCTATCAATCAAACATTCTAGAACAAAATGATTTGGGTAAGTCCGAAGAAAAACAACCTACCATTGGTTGAGTAGAACTTCTCAAAAGATTTGTACGCTGTTTGTTTGTCTAGGTGGTTCTCCATAAACTTCAGGCAATCACAGAAAACTTTTTCATCCAGTTTGCTGAAATTGTTAGTGTTTATTTTTATATATATAAGAAACACAACATTTGCTTTCTTTTCTGCACTTAAATTCACCAATAAAATAACTAGACTTTTCCATTCAACATGGAATATATAGTATACCATGATTAAGGTAACAGTTTTTCAATAGCATCTGCTTTGCATGCCACTAAATCAAGTCTTTCATAATTTACTTCAAAATTGTTAAAGGGACTCCACTGAGGTGCAAAAGCGAAAAAAACATAAAATTAGAATTTCTTGCACAGAACAGCTGGGTCACTTACAATGGAAAGATATGCAAAAGATAAGTAAGAAAATAATAAACTCAAAAATAAATTGAAATTTTGGTATTTTTTGTGCTATACATAGCCCGATTTGAGTGAAAGCAATGCTTTTCTACTTGGGTCATATTCCAAAGTTAGAATAAATATTCTGTAAGCAAATGATCTGAACAAACAAGTTATCAGTGTAATCTAACCTACATCAACTAGAACATTAATCTCGAAAAAAATATTTTCAAACCCATGATGTAAAACAAAAAACCCTCAGTGAAGTCCCTTTAATGCAGAAATGCAATAGAATGGTATTAATGGCAGTCTGTCATTCAAGTAGTCCGAAAAAACATCTTGGTTTGAACACTATTCATGTGAATTTCAAAACTTCATAAATGCCACTATACACCAAAGTTATACACATTTTATTTCTTGCATAACATGAATGTTTTAAAACTCGATCCAATTTAAATATAATTATTATCTTGTCAATTCTTTAAATCTTGGCTGTATCAATTAAAGATCTACTGTAAATTCTGAAATCTTCCAGAGTGATTAAATTTTCCAAATTTGCAATTAAAAGTTTTTCATAAAAATTAATATTCAAAGTATGAATCAAACAGAACTGGATGTAGAACAAGAGCTGTCCGTAAGACAGCGCGCTCGACTTTTTTATTGCTTGCCAATAAAAAAAGTTTTTGCAGTAAAAGGCAATACAAGAATCTCTGTATTTTTAAAGTGAACAATGGCCATGAGCATTAAGATATTTAGTGAAGAATTATTTTACTGAATTGTGCACCAATCAAATAGGCGAGATAAAATGTGAAATATGCATATACTACTGATTTTAATTTCAAGTACAAAAAGAGAAAAATAACTAGTTGTTTGATACCCTTGAATATTACAGCAATGTTTATATGACATAATTTATGGTAAAGTGAACAAGTGGATAGGAATGAATTTTTTTAGATTTTTTTAAGTTTTTTAGTGCTTGCCTATAATACAAAACATTGACAGTTAAGGGCCATAATTCAAATAAAATCTTTGACAGAATTACCTTCTCCTGGACATGTTTGGGAATCATGATTGTAAACAAGTATTCCAACTTTCAAATTAATATCTCAAACAGTTCAGTCAAAAAGTGGACTGGTACTAAAACTTAACCAAGATTCTAAGTCGATAAAAGGCCTTAATTTTTAAAACAAATCCTTGACAGAGTTACCTTCTCTTGCGTACAGATGGGGGTAATGATGTGAAATAGCATTAAAAGTTTCAAAGCAAATATCTCAAAGGGTTAAGGCAATAAGTGGATTTTTACCCATATTCAATGTATTTTCTAAGTCAAAAAGGGGCATAATTCTGTCAAAAACCTTGACAGAGTTATGTCCTCTTGTCTGTTGATGAAGGTCGTGATGGTAAACAAGTATGGTCAGTTTCAAAGCAATACCTCCAATGGTTTTGAAATAAAGTGAGGTGGTACAAAAAACTTAACCAAGCTCAATACACTTTCTAAGTCAAAAAAGGGCCATAATTCTGTCAAAAACCTTGACAGAGTTATGTACTCTTGTCTGTAGATGGAGGTTATGATGGTGAACAAGTATGGTAAGTTTCAAAGCCATACTTGTAATACTTCTGAAATAAAGTGGGGTGGTACGAAAAACTTAACCAAGGTGTGACGCCAACGCCGACGCCGACGCCGGGGCGAGTAGGATAGCTCCCCTTTTCATAGAAAAGTCGAGCTAAAAATCAAGAATATTTAACCTCATCAAATTGTAGGAAAAGTCTGACAACATGTTATACTATCAAAGTACTAAAGTTATTTACACAGTTTTATATCAAAATCTAATAAAATGTCTCCAGTGAATCGATTATTAAATTGAGCCGTGTCATGACAAAACCAATATAGTGCGTTCGCGACCAGCATGGATCCAGACCAGCCTGTGCATCCGCGCAGTCTGATCAAGATCCATGCTGTTCGCTCACAAACCCTATTACAAGTAGAGAAATTGATAGCGAACAGCATGGATCCTGATCAGACTGCGCAGGCTGGTCTAGATCCATGCTGGTCGCAAACCCACTATGTTGGTTTTGTCATAACACGGTTCAATTTTTAATGTATTTATTGTGACTTGAAAAATACAAACCTCTCGGTGTCCGTATATTCTGTGATAAGTTTATGACAGACGGAGATTACATGCATGTACATCTCCTCAGTAAACTTCTCCCCATCAATCGGTCCAAGGTAATTATCCAATGACTGTGTTATCTGTTTGAAAAAAACAAAAAAAAACAAAACGTTTATCTTATCATATCTTGGAAATAGAGAATTCGCAAATTTTTTTCAAAAATATTCTTGTTAGTCAATGATCTGTATGCATTTCAATAACAACATAAAGGCAATGTCACAATCACATCTGAATAATCACCATAAAAAAAATTATTGTTACGAAAAAGCACCACTTTCCAGAAAGTCAAATCAAAGGCGAATAAAAGCGATAGAGGTAATTGAGTCAAACATTTATTTATGTTCAATTTTACTATACAACATACCATTTCCGCTAGATATTCAGTTGAAACATCAAATACGAGAGGGAACATCACTCTCACCAACTCTGTACTGCTTTCATTGTCATGACACCAGCTACAAATATATACAATATCATGGCTAGAGACAAAATTAATGCACATATGTCAGGTTAGGATAACCATATCCATTGAGTAAGATAGCAGTTGATAGTATGAAATATTCAATAAAGGTAAACTAAGGCTTAAATGATCAATGAACATAAACTGAGGAATGAATGACAAACAAATGTATACTGAGGCTTAAATGAGGGTATACTGAGGAACAACTGAGGGTAAGAAGGCTTAAATGACCAGTAAAGATATAGTAAGAAAGATACCTCAGGGTATACTGAGACATGAATGAGAATACTCTAAGGCTTGACTGACCAGCAAATTTGTATACTGAGGCTTGAATGACCAATGAAGGTATACTGAGGCTTAAATAACCAATTTATGAAGATATAAAGCAGGATATGGGTTAATTATTATGCCTCAATTTTCATCCATTGGTAAAAACTACATATACATATATTCAAAAGTGATTGTCAAGGCAAATACACTTCAAACACTTCTGCAGCAGTAAACTGTAACCCAGCCCTCCCCCTCCTCACGCCATTTTCAATGGATGTTGAATGTGGGACAAATAAGTTTTCACTTTCTGTCTATCCAAGTACAGCAGACAAGTCACTGCAGATTCCATCATTCAAAAGTCAAAGTTGAAACTATTCCTAATGAATTTAGCATGGAACAATTTTTAAATTGACTTAGTGGTATAACTTACCATCTGTCCTACACCCTTAAATGTCTTTCTTAAATCTTATACGAAGATACTAAACAAATACACTTACGTGAACAAGTCAAAAGCCAGTTTACACAGGGCATGTAATAAATGCCTCATTGATGAATTCACCGTAAACTTTCCCTCTGAAATACAAACAAAGCTTCAATGAATGATCTGTTTGACAAAGAAAATAATCACAAAAAAAAATGGTTTTCTTTAAACAACTAAGATCTTCTTTAATTGAGTTTGGCTCAAGTTTTAGTTTTACAGACTTCAGTCATAAATCAACAGGCCATAGTTTAACAGCTGTTCATGAGCTCTGAAACAATTTTTTTTTTCCTCTCAACAAAAAAATGCCAACTTCCCCACAAACATCAATTAAAGCATCTGAGGGAGGACACATGGCATACACCAGATTATCGTTTACAAACTTTTCTTGTAGAAATATGCACTCACAAATTTACAGTCTGCTAATTTTGGGCTAATTGAGCACTAGCCTGCCGGAATAACTTACAGATTCTAGTAGATTTTCTCTCGGGCATGTTAAAAAAACCCAGCAATTTATAGTGCCTAATTATTAACTTGACTTGCTTGTAAATCTTAACTCTTATACTTGCTTATAAATCTTAATTCTTATACTTGCTTGTAAATCTTATGCTTGCTTGAAAATCTTAATTCTTATACATGCTTGTAAATCTTAATTCTTATACATGCTTGTAAATCTTAATTCTTATACATGCTTGTAAATCTTAATTCTTGTATTTGCTTGTAAATCTTATACTTGCTTGTAAATCTTAATTCTCATACATGCTTGTAAATCTTAATTCTTATACATGCTTGTAAATCTTAATTCTTGAATTTGCGTGTAAATATGAATTCTTATACTTGCTTGTAAATCTAACATCTTCTACTTGCTTGTAAATCTTAATTCTTATACTTGCTGGTAAATCTTAATTCTTATACTTGCTTGTCAATCTGAATTCTAATACTTGCTTGTAAATTTAATTTCTTATTTATCTGACCATGGGCAAGAAAGAATTATAATGTCACTGGTTTTCAGAGAGGTATGAAATTTCAAATGGGTGTGATGCGGGAATGAAGCAAGAAAAAAGATATCTTAACACAGGATTTTCATTTTTATCTGAGGCAACAAATGTGCTCAAAAAAACAATCGAATTGTCCAAGGGTCAAGGGCAATATTTCATTCTACAGGCTGAAAAATACAACCAAATTTAACAGCATTTCAACCAATCATATGGATTGCCAATTTGTTAATAATGAAAACCAAGTATACATACCAGATAGTTTTCCAATATGAGCTTTTTGCAAGGCATCAGTATAACTTTCACCAGGTAAAATATCATTGGCAAATGCATTCCTCTGTAAATAAAAGAAACAAACACATTTTGAAAAACTAGGCCCAAAAATAATGGGAAAAAGTTTTAAAAATTCACTTGCCTTAACAAGAAATTCTAAAATATAAAGTGCATTAAAAGGTGCTCAGAAGAACATAAACACATCAATTCAGGTGTGAGTCATAAGATGAAAAATCTGCTTTTGGAATTAAATCATATCTCTTATGTAAATGTTTAATGCTTTGAAGTATAATGGCCGCAATTACACACACATCCCACAAATACAGACATCTGAGCACTTTGTTAAAGCTCGCCACTGTTAGATGTTTAATTTTAGTAAACTGCTGAATATATGTAATGGACCTGCCCTTCTTTAAATTTGGAAGAATCCATTCAAAGTTATAGGGGATTTTAATATCAAAATAAGAAAATTGAGTTACAAACAGTATACAAATATTAAGAATGGTAAAGAACCACCCATGGATAATTCCTGTATCTTATAAACCACACCACTGGCTAAGTGGTTAGGGAGGAGATATTGTTTGAAGCAGTTGTTGACAACAGGCAATGCAAGGTAACTCTGGCTGATCATTACACTGTAAACACCTCTCCTAAGCACACCAATAATTACAGTCAAACATGTGTTAGAGGCCACCTTTGAATAAAGATTACCCTGTGAATAAAAAAACATTTTTCAACAACCGTTTAGTGATTTAATAGAACACAGTAACCCCCAAATAAAGACCACTTGTCTATAAAGGCCATATTTGGCCCCTCCTTTAGGTGGCCTTTGTTTACAGGTTTGCCTGTAAATGTTCAAGACTTACCCAGCTTCCAATACTAGGATAATCTGTGTTTGCCGAGCTATTCCATGCCTCTATCATTGTCTTAATCGGGTTCGGTAGGGAGGATATAAGTTCTGCACCCAGAACCGACACCTTGCTGGCACGACTTGACGATATGCTCATCACCAAGGAGATAGCTTCTAGTTGCCGTGGTGACAGTGTGTTCTCCTCCAATACGGAGAGTTGACTTAGAATGCTCGATCTGAAATCCCGAAACATTTTCAACTACAGTCTCAGAAACCAGATTAAATTTAAAAGGGAACAAATTCTTATTATTTTTGATAATAAACTTAAAGAACAAGGCCAAAAGATGATCATAACTGCGAATTTGAAAACTTGGAAAATTTTTTTAAAAAATTAATATAACGAGCCCAAAAGATTGAAAGGGTTTTAACAATGCGAGGGGGATCCAAAGAAAATATCCCTGACCCATACTGATCGTTTGAACGGGGAGAATAAATGGGGTCACCCTTATTGTTGGGACCAAAATGAAAAGGCTTTTTAAATTGGAAACTTAATATGATAGCCATAAGAATCATTTTTTTGATAATACATTCATAACAGAAAAGCCACATATAGTCACCTTAGTGCAATAACTGATTAACTCCTATTAAATAAGACAGACTTAACCTGTAACTGCACTAAGGTTGATGATATGCGTTTACAGTTGTGCTGCTTGAAGGAAATTTAAAAAAAAAAATGGCATTCTTTAATTGTGAAAACATCTTCATCAAATATTTACTTTATGCAAAAAAGTGACATCAAAAATTACCTCTGAATGGTCCAATGGTAAACATATTTGACTAATAATCTACGGATTGCTGACTGTGTGGGTTAAAACCCCATCAATAGGCAAGTTCTTGCTGCCTTGAGCTAGAAACTACACTGGTTGCTTTTTACGGGCTAGTTCCAGGAACGGATCCAAGTGTGTGTCTATAAGCTTACAGCTTTCTACACAATCATACTAAAATAAAATTCTGCAGAACCTAAAATTTACCTGACAAAGACACTGTAGGATTCCACTAGTAGTAATGTGGCAGGTATCAATTCTTGGGCAATATCCATGGACTTGTGGGGGTCTGTTTCAGTCTGGAAAAAAGCAAAGGAATTCATTGACTGATTGATAAAAAATACATATTTAGCCCCTAATCTGCAGAATTTGTTTAACAGATTTGAATAGTTTTGAGTTTTAAGGGATTTCAATGTAAAAATACAAAGATTAAGCTACGAGCAGTATAGAGCTTGGTCAGACTGTGCGGATGTGCAGGCTGGCCTGGGTCTATACTGGTGGCAATGACTAATTACTGTCAGTTCCAGCGGGTAAAGGGTTAGACGTGGATATTATCAAACCAAAAAGGATGTAGCTGACTTTTTTGACATAACCAGCAAATCAACATCCCAGAGAGTTTGTGTATTTGATTGTTTAGTTTCACTGCGCACAAATACAAAGTCATATGGTGCTAAAACAGGAAAGATGATTTTGGCTAACCTCGGGTGTTACACACAACACCAGGCCGAGGGGTCAAAACCAACTCCCATTCTGGAGCTAAGAGATGCATAGACTCCAGTTATTCCAACCCATTTAGTCACCTGTTACAATCACACAAGGATAAATGGTGGCTGCAATCTTATGACTCGACTATGAAAGGCAATCCCTCAGCAAATAGAGAGGCAACAGATTCAAACCTAATTACCTTAACATGTTAAGCTTCAAAGCCTGTAATTATACTATTTTGCAACAATCTAATCCAATTTATATACATATCATTTCACTAAAAGTTATAATCAAATTTGATGGAGAGTTAGGTAGAACCAGTATTATTCTGTTGACTTTCAAGTTATGGTTTGCACTGATTTAAAAAAAAAAAGCAAAATTTGACTACATGTATATACATAAAATAAAACGCCCATACTTACTGTAACATTGCTGAAAGTTTCATCAAGAGAGACCTGTAGTTTCGCCACGACAATGTCCAGCAGTAAAGTTAACTGGAGACCAGGTAGTCGCTCTGATGGTATAATGTCTTTCTGTGACGTCATGGGTAAACTGGTGATCTAAATATAAACAAGAGAATGGGTAAAAACAAAGGATGCTCCAAAAATGTTTCTTTTTATTTTATTTACTTTTATTTGGTGGAGTTTTTACGTCGCAGCAACACAGTTTAGGTCATATACTTTCCAGTTTTTACTGGTGAAGGAAGACCTTAGGTGTCATTGTGCTTTATTTCAGTCACAAATGGGCTTCTGAGTAGAACCACTGACATTCCGTAAGCTAGCTGGATAACTTCCTCACATGAAAGAATCAAAAGTTCCTATCAAGATACAAACCAGCAGCGATGAGGAGCAAGTGGTTTGAAGTTTGAAGTCAATGACCTGTACCACTTGTTCGCAGATGCCTCTAGGACAAAACCTTATTCATGGCCTCACAACAAAAATTACTATATAAATCTTCATATAAAATAGACCTAATGATCTTGTGTACATGTTTTCATTCTTGTTAGTGTGAACTGTCACATTTTGTTCCTATACATGGGTTTCTTTCCATTATTCAGAATTCATTTTTTCTTTCCAACAAACAGAATTTTGTCTTTAATAGAAAGCAGTTAAAAGATTGTTTTACTTTAGACATTATGTCCTACATTTCTGGGTGCTGGGGAATGCTCAATAAGAAGAGTTTCTTTTTAAGTCAGAGCATACAGCTATTTTGTTTGGAATCTCAATCAAAAGGATGGTTTTGTTTGTTTTGGGTTTTACGTCACATCGACACAGTATAGGTCATATTGCGACATTCCAGCTTTACTGGTGAAGGAAGACCTCAGGTGCCCTTCCGTGCATTATTTCAGGCACGAACAGGTACCTGAGTAGAACCACCGACGCTCCCAAAAGGATGGTAATCATGTTCTTATATCCCTCAATACAAAGGGAGGTAATAATGTTTAATCTTACCAGATCTTGAATGAAATTCATGCTCAATCTCACGTCAAAGTTCACACAGTTTGCAGCTTTGTTTGCTCCTGAAACTAGAGACTCACTCTGCTGGGTTGTCAGTCCTTGCTTCACCAAACTATCCTGTAAAAATGTAGGATTTCTTTGTATAATAAAGTTACCAAGAATATAGCTACTCTGGTTCTCGGCTAATGTAGGGTTTTCCCCCCAATCATATCCCAGGGTAAAAGGAAACTGTAAGTCACAATTTGGTAACAAGAAATGTTGAACGACTCATATGCCCCCCTTTCTAGCCCTTGACTCACATTATTGGTAATTTTGTTATATAAACTTGCAATAAATGGGTAAGTGGAAGTGTTCAATTATGGAAAAAAGAAAAATAATGAAGACTTTGTGATAAATAGTTTTCAAGATAATGAGACATTTAAGGCCCCTGTGACCTAGACCTTTGAACTAGTGACCCAAAATTAATAGGGGTCATTTAAAAGTTATGACCAATCAATATTAGAAATATGAAGACTAGATAAATAGCTCTCAAGATAATGAGTGGAAAACATACTAACCTTTCAAGCACCCTGTGACCTTGACCTTTGCACCCAAAATCAATAGGGGTCACTTTATAGTTATGACCAATCACTATGTGAAATATGAAGACTTTGTGATAAATAGTTTTCAAGATAATCAGCGGAAACAATGTTGTCTACCGGCGGACAGACCGACATTAGCAAAACATAATACACTCTCTTCTTGGAAGGGGGGCATAAAAATATCGAAAAGTTAGTGCAATGCATTCATCCCTTTAATGTTAACGCAAATTCCCCGTGAAATGGTGAGCTAGTAAATTAACACTGTTGCCCTTTGGTACCTTTTAAAGCTCCATGCCTCCAGATGAGCCAAATGTTTTTCAAGAAAATCAACTTTGAGAAAGATATACCTGTACTAAGAATTTTAAAAAAAGTAAGAATATTCACAATTCAAGTAATGACTTACATAAAATATGCAATTGATTACTGATTTTGCAGTATTATCACCATATTTCTACTGCATTACTACCACAGTGCGGACTATTTCTGAATATTTTGACCTTTATATGAAAATCTACTTGGACTGAAAGTGTTGTTTCTAATGTGTAAGCTACTTTCTTTGTTCACTTGACAAATAATTGTACTAATAAATGCATTTTCAAAATTTTCATGAAAATTAGCATGAATCTGGAGGTATGCTGCTTTTAAAAAAAAAAAGGAAACAAGAGGGCCATGATGGCCCTGAGGTCGCTCACCTGTATATAGCCCCCCCCCTCGGCCCAATTTTTACCCAAGGGCTTTTATTTGAACAGACTTGGTAGATACCCATAAGAAGATGTTTCATGCAAAACATCTAAGTTCTAGCTCATTGGGTTTTTTAAAAGAAGATTTTTAAGTTTTTACTATACACATATAGTTAAAAACAATGACACCCCTCGGGCAGGGCCAGTTTTGACCCCTGGGCTTTTATTTGAACAAACTTTGTAGATATTTACTTAAAGATGTTTTCATGCTTAACCCATTACTTCATTATACACGCCTTTTAACGCCTTTTTTCACCCCCCCCCCTTTTTTTGTTTGTCTCAAATGATGAAAAAAATGCCTTATTTAGGCCCAAAACACTTGTTTTTTGTTGAGAAATGTTGTTAAAAAAAGTGACCTCTTTTTCGGCGCGGCCCCCAACCAAAAGATACATCAGGGGGTTGCCAGAAGGGGGATGTGCCCCCTTCTGTTTGGGGGGTTTGAAGGGGGGCGGAGTCCCCCTCATCGCCAAGAAAAATATTGGACTTGTGAGAGGCTGTAAATGACCCCAGATTGATCATAAGGTAACGTGTAACCAACGCTGAAAAGCATTTGACTCTATCTCAATCCATTGAGAAGTTGCAGCACTTTGAAATCAATTTTGATGGAAAAAATCAACGCAAAATAGTGATTTTTGGCAATTTTGAGATGTCCCCTCGTTGCCATGGTAACAGAAAATTTAAGCCTGAGCATGTTGTTGCAAGGGCAATGGTCCAGTCAACATTTGTGCCAAGTTTGATTAGTGTTGAAGCAGTTTTTATAGTATTATAGCAATTTGAACTTGTAACGGGAGACTTTTCAATGAAAACAGCCATTTTTCACAAAATGCTCATGAAGCAATGGGTTAATATCTAAACTCTAGTTATTTGGGTTTTTTCAAAGAAGATTTTCAAGTTTTTGCTATGTATATAAGGAAAATCAATGACCCCCGGGGCGGAGCCAGTTTTGACCCCAGGGCTTTTATTTGAACATACTTGGTAGACACCCATTAGAACATGTCTCATGCTAAATATCTTAGCTCTAGCTCTTTGGGTTCTTTAAAAGAAGATTTTTTAAGTTTTTACTATATGCATATAAGGAAAATCAATGACCCCCTGGGGCGGGGCCAATTTTGACCCCAGGGCTTTTATTTGAACAAACTTGGTAGACATTCACTAGAAGATGTTTCATGCCAAATATCTAAGCTCTAGCTCTTACGGTTTCTTTAAAAGAAGATTTTTTAAGTTTTTACTATATGCATATAGGGAAAATCAATGACCCCCCCCTGGGGCCGGGCCAATTTTCACCCCAGGGCTTTTATTTGAAACTACCTTGGTAGACATTCACTAGAAGATGTTTCATGCCAAATATCTTAGCTCTAGCTCTTTGGGTTCTTTTAAAAGAAGATTTTTTAAGTTTTTACTATATGCATATAGGGAAAATCAATGACCCCTGGGGCGGGCCAATTTGGACCCCAGGGCTTTTATTTGAACAAACTTGGTAGACATTCACTAGAAGATGTTTTATGCCAAATATCTAAGCTCTAGCTCTTACGGTTCTTTAAAAGAAGATTTTTTAAGTTTTTACTATATGCATATAGGGAAAATCAATGACCCCCAGGGCGGGGCCAATTTTGACCCCAGGGCTTTGATTTGAACATACTTGGTAGACATTCACTAGAAGATGTTTCATGCCAAATATCTTAGCTCTAGCTCTTTGGGTTCTTTAACAGAAGATTTTTTAAGTTTTTACTATATGCATATAGGGAAAATCAATGACCCCCTGGGGCGGGGCCAATTTTGACCCCAGGGCTTTTATTTGAACAAACTTGGTAGACATTCACTAGAAGATGTTTCATGCCAAATATCTAAGCTCTAGCTCTTACAGTTCTTTAAAAGAAGATTTTTTAAGTTTTTACTATATGCATATAGGGAAAATCAATGACCCCCCGGGCGGGGCCAATTTTGACCCCAGGGCTTTTATTTGAACAAACTTGGTAGACACTCACTAGAAGATGTTTCATGCCAAATATCTAAGCTCTAGCTCTTACAGTTCTTTAAAAGAAGATTTTTTAAGTTTTTACTATATGCATATAGGGAAAATCAATGACCCCCCGGGCGGGGCCAATTTTGACCCCAGGGCTTTTATTTGAACAAACTTGGTAGACACTCATTAGAAGATGTTTCATGCCAAATATCTAAGCTCTAGCTCTTAGGGTTGTTTTAAAAGAAGATATTTAAAGATTTTTCTTTCGGTTGCCATGGCAACCAGAGTTCTGCATGGAATTAAATTCTTTGAACAATTTTTAAAGGTGACCACCAAAGGAACATTCCTGTGAAGTTTGGATGAAATTGGCTCAGTGGTTTATGAGGAGATGTCATTTAAAGCAAAAGTTTACGGACGGACGACGGACGGACGGACGCCGGACGAAAAGCGATCACAAAAGCTCACCCTGTCACTTTGTGACAGGTGAGCTAAAAAGGACAGAATTTCCTCGTGACAACATGAGACCTTACCTTTATCCAACCAATGTACACTTTATGCCCTAACCGTTGGGCCCATCTCAATGAATGTAAAACATATGCATTGGACATTTGAATAGTGTTACTTTCTAGAAGCCAGAGAAACTCCACTGATGGAGGTAGGCATGACAACAGGTTCCACATGATGTTAAAATGGTACTGTATCATACAAGATTCCTGGAAGAAAATAACAATGACAGTTGAGATATTAAAAGCAATAGATTTTTTTTTTTACAATTTAACAAAATTTTCTTACAATCCATTTACATTAGATTCAAGTCGGTTTGTTATTTTTAATGATATTTGTAAAAATAAGAATAAACTGCATTCCGTTGAGTCCTAAAATTATTACTTTTGTGTAAAAAGAGCTGATTTCAGTTTTATTTATACATGTAAAATGAAAAAGTAACACCAGACTGGTTTTTTAATCTATTTCAAGACTGTCACTCAGTGTATAAAAATGCTTCCAAACTGGTTTTGATCTATTCCTAAACTGTTACTTAAAATGTCCAAGTGTTTCACGACTGGTTTTGATTTAAATTCCCCACAGTTATGTATGGCAAATATTTTCAGACTGGCACTTAAAATATAAAAAAAATTTAAAATTCCAGACTGTGTCAGTTTTTCCATACAGACTGGTACCTACCAGTATAGTTAGTTTGTCCTTGACCTTATCTGCTCCAGTGCCTGCCAGAAACAATGACACACATGCATTATATAGGCGACCATAGTCCAGCTGATCTGATGTGGACAACAGGAAACTACATGCCAGTCCATCCACTTTTGGCGTCTGCTGGCTATTCACAATATTGGGACCAATCTGGTAGAATCTAGGCTTAAGCGCTCCGACTGAAAGTATTAAAACAATATAATATTTGATGATACAACAGTCGTGTGTAGCTTTGGGTACAAAAATCAATGAAGCAAATTGATGACAGAAAAAGACAATTAGCGTGACAGGTGCCTGATAGGATCTGATCGGTTAACATTACTAGCAGTTATTTGAAAGTGATAAATTTTTTCCTCGAGTTTGAAGATGCATGGACGCTGTTAATGTCATGATATGGCAACATTCTATCTTTACAGGTGTAGGGAAATCTAAAGTGTCCCTTTGTGCACTATTAAAAGCACAAACTACTGGTACTCCCCCCCCCCCCCCCCCCCCCCCCCCCCCCCCCTCAAACATTCTATAAGCTAGCTAGATAGCTTCCATAAGGAGGTCAAAACCCACAGCAGCAATGGAAGTTAAAATAAGGGATTACAGTCAATACACATCGTTGAATATGAAATTAAACTGAGTCCATAAAGAAAGCCCAAAACAACAAAATTGAAAATGTTGCAGAATTGGTTTGATTGCGCCTGTTCACGGACAGTACTGAAAAGTGCAAGCTACCCTTCACTCCACCTAGCACAGACTTAAGCAGAATTCCACATCTAACATGAACTATTTGTAATATTACATTTAAATCTGAGAGAGGTGCTAGGCAGGATTGTACTTGGCACTTATGCAAATTTAGAAGAAAACGTGAGAGATGCAGGTCTTTAATAGACTGGAATCATTTAAATATCTTTGGCAGAAATTCATACAAGGCACATATTAGGTAAGTTTCATAAAAAATTTAGCCCAGTGGTTTCAAAGCAGTTGCTGTTATATGGAATGTTTATCATATACGTACACACACACACACACATACATGACAATGTACAAAAAGCCACCACAAAAGCTCACCCACCCATCCACTCTCTGCAAAGTGAGTAAAAAAAGAAAACATCAAATAAGTAGCTAAAATATTTCTGACACTAACCATCAGTGACCTCCTGAGGTGTAAGGTACTTCCTAAAGTTGTCCTCAATTTCCGGTATCTGAAACCACATGCTATGCTTGGGCAGGTTCAAGTCCTGGTCAGCTCCCTGATTCAGTGTGTGCACAGTAAACAGGTTCCATTGTACCTGGGTAATGGTAGAAATTAGTCAATTATAAATGTGAAATAATGATTTAAAATTAATAATGCAGGGCCTTTTCACTAGTTTTGGGGAAGGCGCCCTAGCCCTTTTTGTGGGGAAAAAATGCGCGGTTTTCATACTTTTGGGGAAAATAATCATATTTTCCACTAGCAGTTTAACCATTATTACTATAAATAAAGACTTATTTAAATCACACATTTGGGGGAAATATCATAATATATTTGCATATTTTCCTCAAAACACACTTATTTCAGGAGCTTTCTGCCCAACATAAGTAATTATTAAAGGGATTTTTTTACAGATCAATTTATTGCCACTTTATATTTGCCCAGGAATACATTGACTCATCTTTCCTAATTATAGAAAATTTACGTAGGACATGTGAGGGTTCTTGATTTGATTCAGAGGGAACATTATTATTAGTTCCCACCGTATCACTATTACTGGAACTGTTGTGCTAGACTCGCTATTTCCCACACTTGGGCATGTTGTGCTACTCGGACACATGAACTTGCGAGTGGATACATGTATTGGATTCTCTTGGACTTACAGGAAGGTCAACAATTTGTCCAATTTTTCATAAACAATTACAAATGTCACTCAATCGTCTGGTTCTGTGACATTGTTTACATTTGTGACATCGTAAATCGGTCGCCGTATTGTCGTAAAAAAATCACGTGTGCAGCGGGGTGTTCCCCAATCTCCACACAGTGATCTCCCCTTAATTCTTCGGCGTAGATTACAATTCTGCCAAGGGAGGTAATCACTGTGAGGAGTTTGGGTTTTCCCATGTTGCTTTCAGCCTGAGGCTGTGAGTAAACATCAATTGTATTGAATCAAGGTATCCCTCTAGCGGGTAATTGAATAATTAGCTTTCAGTGGACAAAAACAATGATCTTTTTTTATGCAAGAAAGTTTGTTTACAAGTTTTTTTCTTTGATCTGAAAGGGAAAATCTTCCCAAGTAGGGGAATTTTAGACTGTTTTTTGGGGAAAAAAGGTAGTATGTTGGCTTGGGGAAGTAGCCGAATACCGGCTACAGCAAAGAAGGGTAAAAAGGCCCTGTAATGTGTAGCAAAATGAGCTAAAAAATAAAAAGTCTTAATACACTTTAAAGTGAAATTGATTTAAGAATCTAATTATCAATTCTCAACTATGTGCAAATGTCTTTAAAATCTTTTGCATATTCATCAGTGCTCATGTTGACCTATATATAAGACTTTCAAATTTCATGTGTTGAAATTGAAATCTATTACTTATTCAACTTGATACTGGAAAAGAATGAGTATAATGTTACTTTCATACTTACTTGTTCTAACAGTTCTGCAGGCGGGTCGTAGAAGTTGTGAAGGAGATAATCAAATATCAGCATGAGGCGGCTCAATGACACGGGCACAGTATCATGTAGGACCCTAAATTAACAGAAAAAAATCACAGTTACAGTCCAGGACAAACAAACATATTCACTTAACACAACCACTTAACCTGAATTTCAAAAATGAGCCGCGTCACAATAAACACTGAAGTTGCTCACCTGTATATAGGCCCACAGAGCGAGGCCAGTTTAAACCCCAGGGCTTTTATTTGAACAAAATTGGTAGACACCCATTAGAAGATGTTTCATGCTAAACATCTAAGGTCTTGCTTGTTGAGTTTTTAAAAAAAGATTTTTTAAGTTTTTACTATACACATATAGTTAAAAGCAATGACATCCCTAGGGCAGGCCAGTTTTGACCCCAGGGCTTTTATTTGAACAAACTTTGAAGACACTCACTAGAAGGTGTTTCATGCTTAATATCTAAACTCTAGCTATTTGTTTTTATTCAAAGAAGACTTTTAAGTTTTTGCTATACACATATAAGGAAAATTAATGTCCCCCGGGGCAGGGCCAATTTTGACCCTAGGGCTTTTATTTGAACAAACTTTGAAGACACTAACTGGAAGATGTTTCATGCTTAATATCTAAACTCAAGCTATTTGGGTTTTTTCAAAGAAGATTTTTTTAACAAGAGGGCCATGATGGCCCTGAGGTCGCTCACCTGTATAAAGGCCCCCAACCCCCACCCCCACCCAAACGTTGCAGGGCCAATTTAACCCAAGGGCTTTTATTTGCACAAACTTGGTAGACACCCATAAGAAGATGTTTCATGCTAAACATCTAAGCTCTAGCTCATTGGGCTTTTTAAAAGAAGATTTTTTTTAAGTTTTTACTATACACATATAGTTAAAAACAATGACACCCCTGGGGCCGGGCCAGTTTTGACCCCAGGGCTTTTATTTGAACAAACTTTGTAGACACTTACTAGAAGATGTTTCATGCTTAATATCTAAACTCTAGCTATTTGGGTTTTTTCAAAGAAGATTTAAAGTTTTTGCTAAACACATATAAAGAAAATCAATGACCCCTGGGGCGGGGCCAATTTTGACCCAAGGTCTTTTATTTGAACAAACTTTGTAGACACTCACTAAAAGATGTTTCATGCTTAATATCTTAACTCTAGCTATTTGGGTTTTTTCAAAGAAGATTTTTAAGTTTTTGCTATACACATATAAGGAAAATCAATGACCCCCGGGGCAGTGACAATTTTGACCCCAGGGCTTTTATTTGAACAAACTTGGTAGACACCTATTAGAACATGTTTGATGCTCAATATCTTAGCCATAGCTCTTTGAGTTCTTTAAAAGAAGATTTTTTTAGGTTTTTACTATATGCATATAGGGAAAATCAATGACCCCCCGGGGCGGGGCCAATTATGACCCCAGGGCTTTTATTTGAACAAACTTGGTAGACACCCATTAGAACATGTTTCATGCTAAATATCTTAGCTCTAGCTCTTTGGGTTCTTTAAAAGAAGATTTTTTAAGTTTTTACTATATGCATATAGGGAAATCAATGACCCCCTGGGGCCGGGCCAATTTTGACCCCAGGGCTTTTATTTGAACAAACTTGGTAGACACTCACTAGAAGATGTTTCATGCCAAATATCTAAGCTCTAGCTCTTTGAGTTCTTTAAAAGAAGATTTTTTAAGTTTTTACTATATGCATATAGGGAAAATCAATGACCCCCCGGGGCGGGGCCAATTTTGACCCCAGGGCTTTTATTTGAACAAACTTGGTAGACACCCATTAGAACATGTTTCATGCTAAATATCTTAGCTCTAGCTTTTTGGGTTCTTTAAAAGAAGATTTTTTAAGTTTTTACTATATGCATATAGGGAAAATCAATGACCCCCCGGGGCGGGGCCAATTTTGACCCCAGGGCTTTTATTTGAACAAACTTGGTAGACACTCACTAGAAGATGTTTCATGCCAAATATCTAAGCTCTAGCTCTTATGGTTTTTTAAAAGAAGATATTTAAAGTTTTTTCTATCGGTTGCCATGGCAACAAGAGTTCTGCATGGAATTAAATTCTTTGAACAATTTTTAAAGGTGACCACCAAAGGAACATTCCTGTGAAGTTTGGATGAAATTGGCTTAGTGGTTTATGAGGAGATGTCATTTAAAGTAAAAGTTTACGGACGGACGACGGACGGACGGACGGACGGACGCCGGACGAAAAGCGATCACAAAAGCTCACCCTGTCACTTTGTGACAGGTGAGCTAAAAAGCTTTTGCAATACACATATAAGGAAAATCAATGACCCCCGAGACAGGGCCAATTTTAACCCCAGGGCTCTTATTTGAACAAATTTGGTAGACACCCATTAGAACATCTTTCATGCTAAGTATCTTAGCTCTAGCTCTTTGGGTTCTCTAAAAGAAGTTTTTTTAAGTTTTTACAATATGCATATAGGGAAAATCAATGACCCCCTGGGGCGGGGCCAATTTTGACCCCAGGGCTTTTATTTGAACAAACTTGATAGACACTCACTAGAAGATGTTTCATGCCAAATATCTAAACTCTAGCTATTTGGGTTTTTTAAAAGAAGATATTTTAAGTTTTTTCTATCGGTTGCCATGGCAACAAGAGTTCTGCATGGAATTAAATTCTTTGAACATTTTTTAAAGGTGACCACCAAAGGAACATTCCTGTGAAGTTTGGATGAAATTGGCTCAGCGGTTTATGAGGAGATGTCATTTAAAGTAAAAGTTTACGGACGACGGACGGACGACGGGCGAAAAGCGATCACAAAAGCTCACCCTGTCACTTTGTGACAGGTGAGCTAAAAACCAACGTAATGCGTTTGCGACCAGCATGGATCCAGACCAGCCTGCGCATCCACGCAGTCTGATCAGGATCCATGCTGTTCGCTTACAAACCCTATTACAAGTAGAGAAACTGATAGCGAACAGCATGGATCCCGATCAGACTGCGCAGATGCCCAGGCTGGTCTGGATCCATGCTGGTCGCAAACACATTCGTTGGTTTTGTCGTGAGGCGGCTCAAATTAATAATGAATCATAATCTTTGCAATTAATCCACCTAAGAGGTTTCATGGATGACTAACCAGTAACTACCAATTTCTCTGCAAGTGACTGGCTACTTATCCTGCATGATCAGTAGTGTGAGACAAATGACCATTAAACTCATCATCTTATATCAATTGTCATGAAGAATGCCATGAAGAATTCACAATGCCAGTTTTGTTGCTTTGGTTTGGTTTTACGGCACATCAACAAAGTTTTGGTCATAAGGGGCCTAAACAGTGAAGATTGAGCAACCTCAGGTGTTGCAAACTAAAAGCAACACCAGGGGTCAAAACCATCTCATCTGCTGGAGCTAAGAGATACATAGATTCCAATAATTTCAACCCATTTAGTAGCCTCTTACGATCATGCAGGGTTAAACAATGGTTGCGATTCTGATGCCTCAACCCATAAAGGCAACCTCTCAGCCAAAAGAGGAACCACGCCAGAGGATCTTACCAGGGACCCCTGGATTAAACAGAAAATAAAGATATACTTACTTCTTATCCATGGCTTCCACCTGTATAATATTCTGTGCTAGTAGTAATAGAAGCTGTTTTTTCTGCATTAAGTGAAGACTGTGAAACAGAAACAACAACAACTGCATGTGCTCCACATTCACATCTGTAAATACATGGCAAAACTGTTTTATCATCATCATCATAATCATTATCATCATAAATTATCATCATCATCATTATCATTAATCATCATCATTACAAATAATCATCATCATCATCATCATTAATTATCATCATAATTATTATTAATCACCATCATCATCATTATTGTCATCATTATCATAACCATCATCATAAATCATCATTAAAATTATCATTATCACCATCATCATTGATCATTATCAAAATCATCATCATTAAGCAGCAAAAATCTAAGCTGATTTACATTTTCTTAAGCATGTTTTGCTTGTTTGTTTGTTTGGGTTTTACGTCACATCGACACAGTATAGGCCATATCGCGACGTTCCAGCTGTACTGGTGGAGGAAGACCTCAGGTGCCCTTCCGTGCATTATTTCAGGCACGAACGGGCACCTGAGTAGAACCACCTACGTTCCGTTAGCTAGCTGGATAGCTTCCTCACATGAAAAAATCCAAAGTTCCTGTCGGGATTCGAACCCACAGCGGTGAGGGGCAAGTGGTTTGAAGTCAACGACCTTAACCACTCAGCCACGGACGCCCATGTGTTGCTTGTATACATAATAGGTTCCAAATAAAACATTACTAAAGTAATATGACAACTTTCAAGCTTACCTGTAGACTATCAAGGTAAATTTGCGTACATTTATTCCGGTCTCTTAGCCGGAACAGTACGATGGCAAGTATTTCATAAGATTTAAACCCAAAGCAGTGAAATGACAAGTTTTATAAAGTCAGTCACCAAGGCAATTCATAATGTTGGAAATACGCCAACTTATAAAATTTATGATAAAATAAATAAAATATGTAAAAGCAATTCAATTAATATAATTAAAACATCATAAAGTTACCATCATTTGGGTCTGTTTTGTTGCCAGACGAGAGCACATTGTTGGTCAGGGTGTTCATAAATCTCGTCCATATGGTTATAATATTAGTCTCAGTCTGACTGACAAGTTGTTTCGCCTCTCGCTCCCTCTGCTGTCGGAGAAGAATGACTTCCGCTAGAACGGCAAGTGTTCTCGGGTACACAGTCAGTGGCCATGAGTCGCCCTCACTCGTGTTCACACCAAGATTTATCAAAAGGGTGTCCTACAAAAAATTTGAGAGTAAATTTTTTTCAAAGAATCATTGGATAAAATTCAAGAGAAAATGTTTCTCAGAATATTAGAACAAAAAATTATTTCATTATCATGACAGTTCAGATACTAATTAATCAAAATAAGCAGTTTGTTACACCCAAGAACCTTGAGGGAATGTAATTGCATGTTACACATAAGACCCATGAGGGAATGATATTTGTATGTTACATCAAAGAACCTTGAGGGAATGATATTTGTATGTTACACCAAAGAACCTTGAGGGAATGTAATTGCATGTTACACCTAAGAACCTTGAGGGAATGATATTTGCATATTACACCTAAGAACCTTGAGGGAATGATATTTGCATGTTACACCTAAGAACTTTGAGGAAATGATATTTGTATGTTACACCAAAGAACCTTGAGGGAATGATATTTGTATGTTACACCAAAGAAACTTGAGAGAATGATATTTGCATATTACACCTAAGAACCTTGAGGAAATGATATTTGTATGCTACACCAAAGAACCTTGAGGGAATGATATTTGTATGTTACACCAAAGAACCTTGAGAGAATGATATTTGCATATTACACCTAAGAACCTTGAGGGAATGATATTTGTATGTTACACCAAAGAACCTTGAGGGAATGATATTTGTATGTTACAACAAAGAACATTGAGGGAATGATATTTGTATGTTACACCACAGAACCTTGAGGGAATGATATTTGTATGTTACACCAAAGAACCTTGAGGGAATGATATTTGCATGTTACACCAAAGAACCTTGAGAGAATGATATTTGCATGTTACACCAAAGAACATTGAGAGAATGATATTTGCATATTACACCTAAGAACCTTGAGGAAATGATATTTGATTTCCTTATAAGAGGCTGCAAATGCGTTAAATCATATAAGGACATTCACAATAAGACAATATGGTAATCAAGTTTTTTTTTTAAATATAAAATTTATACAAAAATTAGAATTATCAATTTATCAATTATCTGGAAAAAAAATTAAAAAAAATTGCCTCTTCAAAAAAAACCAAAATGAGGGAAAATACACATGTCACATAATACAAGTTAGGATGTGAAATAAGTTTAAAAAGAAATGAACCGCGCCATGATAAAACCAATAAGTGCGTTTGCGACCAGCATGGCTCCAGACCAGCCTGAGCAGGATCCATGCTGTTAGCTTACCAACCCTATTACAAGTACAGAAACTGATAGCAAACAGCATGGATCCTGATCAGATGGTGCGGATGCGCAGGCTGGTCTGGATCCATGCTGGTAGCAAACGCACTTTGTTGGTTTTGTCATGGCGCGGCTCATTTAATACCTGTAGAGAATCACTTATACATCCTTTAGCTACTAGATTGTGATTGAACCTGGATAATGCCACGGATAACTTGTCAAATGTCTTGTCTGAAAAATATAAGAGAAAAAAATCCATATATCCTGATCTGTGTCATTAAAGATTTTGTGTATTGTGTTTTAAAAAGGTCTAGGTATGTAGACTTAACAGAGATTTCTTGTAATTTTTTTTCTTTCTAAATGCATACTGGGATCCTTCATATTTACCGGACACTGGTCTGGTGACTGATCCGATGACTTAAATCATGATTTCAATAGTGCTAAATGACTCAAATACACTTTGAACTCTAAGCGGGCTAAGATTGCACACAAAAATCATACCAGAACTGATCCTAGTTGATTCTTTATCCATGTCTTTGATGACAATAGCAAGATTGGCCATGTGTTCTTCAGTGAGAGAATCACGGAGGAATTTTTGAAGCACTTCATCACCAGTGCTGATAAAGTATGTGTTAAGGAACTGAAGTACCCCGGATGCCAGGCTTATATACTGAAATAGAGGAAACATTTTATTACATTTATTTAGATTAATAATATCTGCTATATGTCACAGTTTCGGATCGGAGTATCCATCCTGAGGGTTCCCCCCCCCCCATTGGGCATTAAGGAGGCTTGCTGAGGGACAGATATCAGATATTTCAATCTGAACCGCAAACAAATGCTTATGTCAGATATTCTTTATTGCATATTCTGCCATATTCTTTCATATTTAAAATGGTTTACCTCAATAAGATATTTGTTCATGGAAATTAATGTCATTTCATACATAACTATTTTCTTACAATGGCGTATGAATTAACAACTTAAATAACAATGGCGAAATGACGTCATCCTAAGCACATTGTCCCCTTCTTAAATGAACTGAAATAACGTCATTTTAACGTAATTCATTCATTAAATACGCTAAAATGACGATGTTGTATTGCATGTGACTCATCTGGCACCTCTCATGCCAGATGAAATTTCCGCTTGTGTAAAACTAACAGAAACGCCATCTGCAATGCAAGGATAATAATATGTCATATGTACGGTTCAGATAGGATTATATTCATCACCACTGTATCCGCCCCATTGGGTGGTAACAAGGTTTAGCAGGTATTTTTATCATATTTTAAATTCTTTTCCTAATAAAACAATTTTCATGGAAATTAATGTCATTTCTCACATGTTACTATTTTCTTACAATAGCACATGAATTTATAAGGTGAAATGATGACATCCAAAGCATGCATTTTCATTCTTAAACATGCTGATATGACATCATTTTAAAAGGACTCCACTGTGGTTTTTCCACATGATGGGACTGAAAATATTTTTTTCAGATAAATGTACCATTTGGTGTATGTTTAGACCACTAATCTTTGTGCAAAATTTCAGATCATTTGGGCACTTTGTTTTTCTAGAATAATTACTAATGATAGGAGTTTATCTCCTGTGTTATTAAATCATAAGAACCTATTTCTTCATACATTTTGCAATATCTTATCTAGACTGATAGATTAATCATTTGGCTTCATTTAGGATTCTTTTCGTTGGTAAAAAAACACCATTTTGCATAAAATATTTTTGAAAATCTCTCCTTAAGCTGAATTCAGTTTGAAAATTCAAGGGAAACCACCCACCCCTTTTATACCTAGGTTGGGTCTTTTGGCGACTAACCTTTGCCACCAGTACAGAGCCAGGCTAGCCTACACATCCATACAGTCTGCACCAAGTTCTTATACTGTTGTCTGAAGTTCATCTTATCTCAAAAAATGATAAATTGATTGACAATTCAAAAATTGATTTGTTCATTTATGTTTGTTTGTTTGGCTTTAACACTGATTTTTACACTAATTTTAGCACACGTTTTCGTCTTATCTTGATGGTCGGTTGATCAGTCTAAGTATCCAGTTTTCATGGAACTCTATCCACTAATTACTATTCTCACCTGATTTCTGAATCAGCTGTGAGAGACAAATGCTCATTAGACTCAATGCCCCAGATCAACTGTTACACAAAATTTTGCCACGCCCAACAAACGAACTAACCACACATGGATTACAATCCAGACATGAAGGAATCCCAGGTCCCTGTTGCTATTAATAGCATGTGGAAAGTCTACTGTAGGTGTAGGGATATATAAAAGTATGACAACTACTTTGCTATTGATAAAAAAATCTATGAGAGTTACTTACCCCATCTGGTTCTCTTTTATCAGGAATAAGTGTGTTCCCATCCCCTGCGCTAATTTTCCTCGATCTTTTTCCTCCACTTTCACCCTCAAACTTCTGAGGGAGGGATTGAGGTGGTTCAGCCTCTTTTGGCGATGAGGGGGACATTATTTCCTCCATCCACTGTCCTAAGATAGGCTCGTAATCGTCATCTGTAATACGGCAAGGAATCAATATAGTATTACCCTTATTTCTAACAAATCTTCATTTATAAAGCAGGTTGTGTGTCTGGCAAAACACTGGACAAATAAAGCCAAATTTTACTTCTCAGTTTGTTACTTATTCTATCTTAATGAAGCCCATCCAAGTTTAACAATTAAGGAAAGAATAACTCTTGGCCTGCCGAATTTCTAAAATGTACTTGTCCAGGCATCAAGTTTATAGAACTACAAAGATATGCAGGCTGGTGGCAAAGGCTAAAGTGTTAAGCTGCATGTATGCTGTAGAAAACAAGATTGCATTTGAGAAAAATGCTATGCCACCGCATGGTTCAAATTTCATAGCTGTGCATCAAAGGACAAGAAAGTAGGTCACATCATCAAAATCTAGATCAAAGTTCGATTTTACAACTAAAACTGTGCACATGGTCAAAATTTCATTGCTGTACACCAAAGGACAAGAAAGTAGGTCACTGTCTCCTTGGGCAAGGCATAATTTTGACCCAAGGGTTTAATAACAATCTTGATACAGGTCCACCAAACAACATTTCAAGTCAAATATCTAAGCTATAGCTTTCTCCCATTCATCAAACATTTGTTTTATTTTCTGTTTTTAATATGTGTACATAATAGAGGTGTAACGATTCATCGATGCATCGCGATCTGTCTTGTCCCCGATGTATGCATCGTAATGAAATTACAAATTCCAATATATTGCCATGCAATACATATTTCACCTCCCGATGTATCGATACAGCGGGAAGGTATCGCAATACACTAACAATATCTTCCAGGAATATAAGGACAAACGTTTTTTTTGAAAGACTGAAGAAAGAAAAATAGCTCGGATGAAAACAATAAACAAGCGCGACTATTATCATACCATCGTTGTCATCTCGTTTCCCCATGTCCGCAATCATTTAACGGTTACTGACCAAGTTTTATCAATTCCATGTAAATGGGCTGGTGTTCTTTGAACGTGTTTATAATAAAAACATAATTAGAGATCTGTGCGATTTCAAGAAAAAACAACCTACAAACATGAATTTTATTTTGTAGCACTTAAATGTCGCATTAAAATAGTGATGATGACAACATCCCCATGTGATATTCGTCACGTATTTATACTTTCATTTCCGTTGACATCATTTTCCCGTAAAAAAACAACAAAGCAAACAAACAGAAAACATGAAGACTGTAAAATATGTAGACGGGAAATTACAGTCAATCCTCCCTGGTCATATAAGTCACGAGTTTTGGGAAAAATTGTAGTTTTTGGGGAACCATGAGACAGTGTTGTATAATGTGGAAGACCGGACGTGGAGTGTTTGCAAAATCAAAATAAAATACTCTGGGGTTGAGCACAAATCTTTTGAGAAAACTGAGACTGAAACTTATAAACTGTCATTTTCACAGTTGTTGACCTAATTGTAGATCACTTGCTACTATTTTTTTCACAAGAAAATCTTTAGTGGTGTATTAAGACTGAAATTGTTAAAATGCCATATTTACAGTAGTGGACTTTAGTGTTAGAATAGCTAGTAGATATCAATTTGCTGTTATGGTTTAATTAAAAATACCTTTAATCCTCAAGTAATCAGAAAAGTAACTTGTTAAAAGATCAAAATCGGAAACCAAGTTATAACAACAAGTTAAAAGAGTTTATTTTTTTGTTATTGTAATAGTTTTATATTATATTCGTAATTATGCTGTAAACAAATGGCCAAATTTTTATATACTAAGTCTAAAAGTCAGTATCGTGATACGTATCGCATCGCAACATAAGAATCGCAATATGCATCGCATTTCTTCAAAGTATGCAATACATATCGTGAATCGCATCGTTTTGAAAAACAAATATCGTGATATGTATCGTGACAGAAAAAAATGGCAATGCACAGCCCTAGTACATAATGAGTATCACTGCCCCCAAACAGTGCCAATTTTTGACATTTGAACAACTTTGGTAGAGGACCTATAGATGATATTATATATCAAATATCAAAGCTCTATGTCTTGAACGTTCTGACAAAAATATATTTTTTTTTCACTATATGTACATAATGAAAATCAATGACCCCCGGGGCGGAACCAATTTTGACCCCAGGGCTATAATTTGAACAATCTTGCTAGAGGTTCACTACACAATGTTTCATGCAAAATATCTTAACTCTATCCTTTGTAAATTTAGAGAAGATGATTTTTTAAGTTTTAACTATATACATATAAGATAAACCTATGGCTCCCAGGGGCGGGGCTAATTTTGACACAAGAGGCAAAATTTGAACAACTTTGGTAGAGTACCTTTAGATGATATTATTTAACAAATATTAAAGCTCTAAGCCTTGTACCTTCAGACAATTAGATTTTTTTATTTTTTACTATATGTACATGTATATATTGAAATCAATGACCCCCAGGGCGGGGGCAATTTTGACCCCAGGGCTATAATTTGAACAATATTGCTAGAGGTTTACAACACAATGTTTCATGCAAGATATCTAACCTCTAGCATTTGTCAATTGCTAGAAGAATTTTTTTAAGTTTTTACTATATACATATCAGGAAAACCAATGACCCCTGGGGCGGGGCCGATTTTCACCCCAGGGCTATAATTTGAACAATCTGGGTAGAGGTCTACCAGACAATGCCTTATGCAAAATATCTAAGCTCTAGACCTTTTGGGTCTTTATGAGAAGGTGTTTTTAAGTTTTTACTATATGTACATATAGCGAAAATCAATGACCCCGGGGCGGGGCCGATTTTGACCCAAGGGCTATAATTTGAACAATCTTGGTAAGGTCTACCAGATGATGCTTATGCAAAATATATCTAAGCTCTAGGCCTTTTGGTTATTACAAGAAGGTATTTAAAGTTTTTTACTATATGTACATAGTGAAAATCAATGACCCCGGGGCGGGCAATTTTGACCCAGGGCTATAATTTTGAACAATCTTGTTAGAGGTCTACCAGACAATGCCTTATGCAAAATATCTAAGCTCTAGGCCTTTTGGGTCTTTACAAGAAGATTTTTTAAATTTATTCTTATAATACCTTTTGGTTGCCATGGCAACCAGATTTCTGCATGGAATGAAATTTTTTGAACAACTTTGGAAGCCCTTCACCCAAGGAACAATCCTGCCAAGTTTGGTTGAAATTGGACTAGTAGTTTTTCACAAGAAGATTTTTTAAGTTCACTATATAATCTATATAACACACACACACACACACACAAACACACAGGTGAATCGCTATATGCCACCGCATCGCAGATTGCGGTGGCATAAAAAAACATGTCTACGTCGTGTATATTTTCCCCAAAATAAGTGTCAACTTAGAAACAGCATTTGCAGACAAATGGAATTACTTTTGAAAACTATTCACTGGAGAAACAATACCCTAAAGTCAAATTAAAGCTCTAAAAACAAGAACCCTCCGAACTGAGCAAATACCATTGGCAAAGACAAAGGGCAAGGCAAATAAACTAGCAATACTGATTAGCCTTTTGTCATGAGTAGAGATATAGTTGCAGTCTGTATAATTTCATCACAAATGAGCATCTGAGTAGAACCACTAACGTTTGGTTCGCGAACTGAAATGCTTCCTCATATGGAAGAATCCAAAGTCACTGGCAGGATTCGAACCAACAGCCGTTTGAAGGGGCAAGTGGTTTAAAGTCAATGACCTTAACCTGCACTCTCCATTCCTAGATTATTTATTATTAGGAAAATTACAGTAATAGCGACCAGTGTACCGCCTGGGCACCTGGCACAGTCATGTAGTCCTATCAGACTGAAAAATAGTTTAAGACCAACAAAAAGATGCACAAAAAGCTCATTTAAGAAAATCATCAGGCTAAATAAACTCACCGTCTTCTTCTGAGCTTTCATCTGAGCTACTAAAATCATCTTCGTAGAATGTGTTGGAGTCGGAAGCACTACTGCTGCTCGTTTCTGATGTCTCTGACCCTTGCTTTAATCTCTTCATTAAACAAGCCTGAAAAAAAAACATGTTATTTTTACCTCAAGTTCATAAATAAGATATGTAATTTTTTACCTTAAGTTAGTAAAAAAATGTAATTTTTACCTTAAGTTCATAAAAAATACGTAATTTTTACCTTAAATTTATTACAAAAATACGTAATTTTTATCTTAAGCTCATAAAAAAAAATGTAATTTTTACCTAAAGTTCATAAATAAATACGTAATTTTTATCTTAAGTCCATAAAAAAAATGTAATTTTTACCTGAAATACGGAATTTTTAAATCACATACATCCTTTATAATACTACGGACACCCTGCTATCACAATCTTTATTTCTCTTCTGAAGAGAACTTGAATATTACTCTCTGTTTACAATAACTGATTTTACACTTGGCATCACATAGTCACTTATGTGTGCGACCAGAACTAATAACAGATAAACAACATGAATAAATTTTGACAATTATACTTTTATTAAAGTACTTCAAAACCTTTGTGGGGCGAAATTTTGGGCCTGCAGGACGGGCAAAACCCCATAAATTTTTTCCAGTCCCGGGGGGAGACTCTAACTGCCTTGTTACACTTGGGCAAGTTCAGTGACCCAGTTACAACCTGGTGGTCAGTCCCAAAAAGTTGAACACGCTTAAGTGGAACAGGTGTTAGCGGCCCTGCCAAAGATTTACTTGACTCCTGAGCAACGAGGGTTTCCCGGGACGTAGCCCTGCCCGGGGGCCCTCCCCCTCCATACGAAAGAGGTGGAGGGGGTGCCCCAACGTAACCCGGAGTGCACCCCACCTAATACATTAAACTAATACATACAATGAACCTGCATGCTTTCAAGCAAGTCAGGGCCAGGAGAAAAAGAGCCAGACAGTACCCGTAACCCCCTTTTTTTTCATGCCGTCTCTCCGGGCCGCTCCCCCAGATCGAAAATTGTACCCTTCTCTGCGCCTGTGGAATTTAAAACTGCAAAACAAACTGCAAGAAATTTAAATTTATAGTAGTCCTATAAATTCCTAATACTGTTTAATAACTTTTGACATATATCGCTGTCTGTTTTTTTTTTTTTTTTTTTGTTTTTTTTTTTTAAAGGTAACTTATGAAACAACGTAGAATGTAGAGGTTTTAATGTAACCACTGTAAAGATGAAGTTCAGGCATTCCTGAGTTTCCAAGGAGTAATCTTGACTTTTACTCCTGAACTTGAATGTTAACTAGCCTTACTTAACTGGAACTTGTATGACTAAATTGAGTTGAAGAATCCTTCCAAATATGTTTTGTAAAAATTACCCCACTATTGTAAAGTTTTTTAATTTAATTAGGATGTATTTTTTCCCATTCGAAACGGGAGCACACAGGTATTTAAAAAAGATCCTTTGTAAAAACAGTTTCAGTGCACACAAAAATCCTAAATTGGCAAAAAAAACTCCAAAACCCAGATTCTAAACCCAATATCCAGAGGGAGGTTGGAGGTTCTCGGGAAGCGGGCCCTGCTGAAAGGGACTTTTCAGAAAAAGAGCCCCTGAAAGAGAAAAAAAAGGGCCCGCAGAAATTGTTCTCAAAAAGGGGAGGGGGGGGGTGCGTTTTTAAAAAGGACATTTCTTTTTTTGGAAAAATTTCCCCGGGGATAATGTTTGCCCCCTTTGAAAAGTATTTTTTAGTATGTCAAAACCGTACTTTATTTTTCCCGGGAAATTAAACTGCACCAACCCACCCGTTGATGATGTGTTTAAGAAGGATTATCGAATACGAGATTCTGGATAATCCCTATTAAATCACATACATCCTTTATAATACTAACGGACAGACCCTGCTATCACAAATCTTTATTTCTCTTCTGAAGAGAAACTTGAATAATTTACTCTCTGTTTACAATAATGATTTTACACTTGGCATCAATAGTACTTATGTGTGGGGCGTACCCCAAGAACTAATAACAGATAAACAACATGATAATTTGACAATTATACTTTTATTAAGGTACTTCATTAACCTTGTGGCGGAAAAATTTTGGCTGCAGAACGGGCAAAAAACCCATAAATTTTATCCAGTCCCGGGGGAGAACACTAACTGCCTTTTTGTTACACTGGCAAGTAAAGTGACCCCAGGTTTACAACCTGGTGTCAGTCCCAAAAATTTACCACACGCTTAAGTGGACAGGTGTTTTAGCGGGCTGCCAAAGGCTTTTGGATTACATCTCACCCCCTGAGAAAACGAGGGCCCCGGGACGACCCTGCCCGGGGCCTCCCCTCCAACGTAGAGGTGGGGGGTGCCAACGTAACCCTGGAGTGCACCCCACCTTAATAATTAAACTAAACATACAATGAACCTGAAATTCCTTTAAAAGCAACAGGCCAGGAGAAAGACCCAGACATCCCCGAACCCCCCTTTTTCGTCCCCCCGGGCCCCGCCACGGGAAAAAAACCCATTTTTTTTTCCATTAAAAAAATTTTTCAAAAACAAAAATTGTAAAACTTTTTTTGGAAAGGTTTAAACTTATATCATTTTAAGAAAAAAAAACAGTATAATTTTAAGATAAATAAAATGTAACATTTTTAAAATTCTTTTCATCATAACATGTAATAAACATTCACAGTTTTTTATGATGTCTTTGGGGTTGGCTTTTGGTAATGTTAGTAAAGAATTTTTCCGGGGTGTACTGTTAATCAGAAAACGGGAAAAAAGCTTTTTCCAGTTTTTGATAAGAATGGAATTACCCAAGCTTGACAAGTGTGTTCCTTTCAGTATGGAATAATTTTTCCTCCTTAGCAAAAATATTTTTTATTGTCAATGATTGCCCTCCATTTTTAAGAAAAAAAGGATTTGTTTTCCCAATATTCATTTCTTGTTCGTTTTTTTTTCTATTTTTTTTTCCAGCCCCCAAGAGGTCCCATATCCAAAGTACCCCCTTTTGAAGGTTTTGATGCCCCAATTTTTAATTTTTTAGTTTTACAGAAAAGTGCTTGATATCTCGGGTTTTGAACACTGAATTTTTTTCTATAAAACTTTTTACCTGTGACTCCCTCTGATGTCAGATCATTGGACCCGGGCCCAATAAATTTAAATAAAAAATTGGGGTTTTTTGGCTTTTCCCAAAATTAACACGATCCAGATTTTTACCCAAAAACCTCAAAAAGGGAAAACCTTTCTGCATCCCTTCCACTTAACTGACATGTTATGTTTTTGGAAAAACCCAAAGTTGGGGTTTCACCCCAGCCTTCCAGTTTTTTAAAGCCCAGTAAACCCAAGGGAGGACCCCAAAAATCCAGAGACTTTTAAATGCCCTGAAAAAAAAATTTGGGGGACAGTTATTTTTTTTGGGTTGATGTTTGTAAAGAAGGAAAAAAAGGGAAAAATTATTGGGGGTTTAAACCCCTGATATAACGATAAAAACCTAAAGGATTTTCCAGCGCCCCCATCCCTTAATTCTGTGGGTGGGGCACCCAATACTGGGGAGGTATGTTGCTCCACCAATGCGAAAGCTATGTGATCTGACATGACGGGAGCACCCATAAAAATTGTAAAGCTTTTTTGTAAAAAAAAACCCAAAATTGGGATATTTTGTCAGGGGCTTGGTTTTAAGGGGAAAAACAGATTACCCCCTGTCGGCTGAAAGGGGACGGTTTTTAAGGTATTTTGATAGACTGTTAACGGGACAAGGGATCCCACCATTAGTTTTAAAATTTTGAAAATGTGACCGATAAAACCCAAGCTGATCTTTTTTTTGACCATCAAATTTTTTCAAAAAAGACTGTGTTTAGATAGTTTAAACCCACCCCACTAACTAACAACTTTTTTGGGGTTAGACGAAAAATAGGCCTGGTACTGGTAACTCACTGACTCTTAGCAAACCAAAGAATTTCCAAGGGGAAAAACCCGCAGTGAACATGACCTTTTTCATATTTGTTTTCACATAATATTTTTGAAAGTTTAAATTTATTTTATCAAGTAAGGTTTTTGGGGAAAAGGAGGGCCCCAAAAACATTAACAAATGCCTCCCTTTTAAGGGGGCGTAGGCCTCAATTTTCCCCTTAAAACACTAAAAAAGGATTTTGTGGGGGTCTGTTTGAGTACCCACTTTTATGGGCATAACCGATTTTCCCCCATATAAGTGAAATTGAAAAAGGCGGGCAGACCTTGCTGGGCGAAAAAGCCCAAAAAAAAGAAGTAAATCTTTAAAAAGGGGCTGGCCCCAAATGGGCTGGGAAATTGATAGTTAATTTTTTTGTTGTAAATTTTTGGGGAAAGCTTGTTGCAAAAAGGTTTTAAAAAAGGTAAAAAAATGCAAAACCATTGAAAAAAAAAAATTAATAAACTGGCAAGAATATCTAAAAAGTTCCACATGGGAGGAAAACTGTTTGGGGGTTGGGCCAAAAAAATGCCTCTGGGGCCCTTTTCCCGAATCTGGGCCCCCTTGAAAGAAAATCATCTGCTATACGTTTTTTCTAGAAGGGGTATAAGTGGGGTTTTAAAAGAGATATTTTGAGTGCATAACCAAAAATAATGTCTAACTAGATTTATAAATTTTCTCAGATTTACAGTTTTAGATGAAAATATTTTATACAGTTTTATTAATCTAAAGGGAATAAATTTTCTTTTTACGAAAAAATTTGACCAAGAAAAAATGGCCCGACAACTGGAAAAAAACCCCTAAAAAAGTATGTCTCTAAATGGGGGTCCTCCTATAACCCAATGTGAAGGGCCCTGAGCCCGTTTACCCAAAGGGGCCTTTCAAAAAGAAAACCAAAAACCCTCCTGTAAACACCCCTGAACTTCGGGAAAATATTTCAAGGTGTTGTCTGAAAAAACCAAATAGGGTCAGATATCAAAAGGTTTTTTTCCATTGTAAAGACGGAGGAAATGTAACAAAGACCAGGTCCCTTTTCGCAAAAATTGGGGAGAAACCCTTATCTTTTGAGAGGGTTTTTTTTACCCCCTATGGTTTCATCAATTTTGCCCCTTTTGCAGAAAAGCTCGCCCTGGGGCAATAACTCTGCAAGCAAAATTCAAGATTTCCTAGTAGGGACTGCATGTCCCTTTAGGGAAATTTTTTTTTGCAAATTTTTTGCTAAGATAATTTTTTTTCTAAGATCTCAGCTTTTCATTAGGGTAACCCGCATTTACATCGTACAATTCAAATTTTCCCCCCCCAGGTAAACCAAACATGTAGATGGAGCACAGTTTTTGTCAAGCGAAAATTTTTTTAAACCCAAATTTTTTTCAAGTAAATTTTCAAAAGATTGCAATGTATTCCAGGTTTAATATGATTTTGATGACTCCCAAATAGGAATCAAACTAAAAATAATGCAAGATGTTTTAGTTATGGGCTAAATTTGGGAACTAAACCCCCCAATTAAAAAAAAGCAAATTTTTTTCCCAAAAAGGGCCCCAGCTAAAATTTAAAAACCCAAAAGGGGAAACTTTTTCATAAAAATAGTAAGTAACTGGTTTTTCCTTTTTTTTCTGACCATTACTTTAAAAACCCAAGGGAGATCAAAGGGCTGCCTTTGGGGAAAAAGGGGAGAAGGGGAAATGCTGAAATTTACATCAGATTTTTCTAAGTAGGGCACCCTGACCTAATCTTTGGGAACCCAATTTTCTGCCGCTTGATCAATTTTTGAGTACGACAAGAGCAAAAGATCTTTAAACAATATAGTCATTAATAGATCTATTTCTGGGAAAAAGACAGGTGGGAATTTGACGGTAGTCACCGCCTTTTTTTGGGGAAATAAACAATGGGGGAAATTTGGGAATGTTGGGAAAAGGGATTTTTGAAAAAAGGGCCTGCTAACCCCCACCGAAATTGTATTTCTTTTTTAATTTTTTTTGTATGCAGGACCCCTGGGGGTTTTCCCCGGGAAATCCGTTAAATTTGGAGAGTCCCCTTTTGTACCCGGGGGGCCCCCGTATTGTAAAAGGGGAAAAAAATTTTTAAAATGGGCCCGTATAAGGCTTTTGCTCCCCAAAAAGGGTAAAGTTTCAAAGCTTTTTTGTAATTCAGGGGATATTTAATGGTGTAGCCATCTGAAAAAAAGGGGGTGAAGGGACTATTTAAACCCTGTGGGATACTGTCTGGCCCTGTTTTTCCCCCCGCAAAAGCCTGCAGAAAATGACTTACCTACAAGGGAGTAAAAAGGGCAATGACTACCAAAAATTGAAGTAATTAAAAAGAAAATGACTTTGGGGCTGGGGGGTACGTTTTTATTTAAAATTTAAATTTCAGGGGTCCGTAAATTTTAGATGTTTTTTTACCCATTATAGGGAGTACTCCCCGGTTTTACGCCCAAAAACAGGTACCTAGGTGAAATTTACCATTTTCATAGAGCAAACCCAAAATTCTAAATCAATGGTGCCCCCAAAACCTAAAAGGGTTGTTTTATTTGGGCCTGGCGGAAATTTTTCTCATATTTCCAAACCCGGAGGGCTGTCTTGTTGCTTTCTAAGCGTACATCCCCGGGGGTTTTTAACAGCTCCTGGGGTCTGTTTGGAAACCCTTTTCCCGGTAAAAAGCTAATAAAAAAGATGAATGCCGATGTCCCCTTGGGTTTAATAAAACATTTTTAAATTTTTACCCCCCTTTGGGTTTGTGACGCATTTTAAACCCCCTTCCCCCTTTTTTAAACTGGGAGTTCCCCCCAATTTTACCCTCTTCAGAAAAACTCCCTTTAAAACTGGCGGGAAAGACTTTTGAAGAAGTGCCCAAAGGGCGGTAAATTCTCCAGCCCAAAAATTTTTTTTTTTACTTTTAAAAGGAATATACTTCCTAAAAATATGAAAATTTTTATCAAAAGTTTTTCAGGATTTGAAAAGGGTTTTGGTTTGGGGAAATTTTTGAACCATTTCTGGGAAACAAAGGGTTGATAATCTAATGAGGGTGGCGAAAGGAAATGAAACATAACGGGCCCGGGGGACCCTTTTAATGGGATTCCCGCGCTTCTACAAACGCCGCCCCCTGACTGGCCCCTGTTAACCGGTGGGTTTTCCCCCAAACCCCCTTGGGGTTGGGCTGCTGCGTTTAGGCCTATTCTCCATTCGCATCTGTCGCCGCTCCTTTTCTTGGTTTTACTTTTTTGGCATTATTTTAAAAATTTTTTTTAAATTTTAAACTTTTTCGGTGGGTTTTTGAAGGACACTCTGTTTCGGAAAGTTCCCCGGATAACTGATTGCCTCCCTTTGGGAAGAGTATCTTAAAGTATGTCCCAAAATTTCCGTACTTTACTTTACGCGGGATTAAACTGGGCAACCCTAACCCAAACCGTTAGATGTGGTGTTTAAGAAGGATTATAGAATACGAGATTCTGGATAATCCCTATTATCTTAAGTTCATAAAAAATGTAATTTTTACCTAAAGTTCATAAATAAATACGTAATTTTTACCTTAAGTTCATTGAAAAAAAAAATGTAATTTTTACCTTAAGTTCACTGAAATCACCAAGATTTAAGATTTTAACGACAGCACTTTGGAAGAAAAACTAATCTGATGTAAGGTTTATTGAACATTCTGCCTAGTCAATATTATTTCAAGACAAGAGACAAAATTATAAGGACTTTATAGATTTTTTGACATGATTGGACTGGAAACATTTTTGTTGAGAGTTGATTACCATTTGATACAAGTCTTGACATATATTCTACTGTATTAATATTGTTACCTTCTTCAGGGCTGTGGGTACGAGAGTGAACATCAAGTCTGGTATATTGATGGCTGACATAAGCTTCTGTACACGTTTCCAGGCAGGCAGCGGTGCCAGTAGTGTCAAGTCTAAGCTCTTTCCAGTGGTTGTCTGTAAAAAAAAACGTTAACAAAAAATATTGTACATGTATTTAAACTCCAGATCTAGCAGGACAAAGTTGGCATAGATAATTAGAATTGGCTCAAGATATATAAAATTGGCTACAAATTTCATTGCTCCAAATACAGAAAAGTAGTCATCCATTTAGTGAATATATAAGACTTGTTCTAAAACAATAAATAAACAATGATATCCCAGGATGGGTAAATTTCTTAGGCATTCAGTCCTACAAAGAGAAAAAGTATGCACATTTATCTCCAACCAAAACATGATCAAAAAGCCTAAGAATTGGTATGTACTGTATAAGTGGATACTTCTCATGCCAAACAGTAAGCGAATTTAAAATTCCAGACAATGAGTGAGGAAATATTACATTGAGCTCAAAACGTACAACTCTCTGACAGAGGGGTAGCCAACTTTAAACTCTATCAGCATCTCCCCTATTAAAAGGATACCACTAAGGTTTTTTTGGCATCACCACACTGGAAATATTTTTCTGGGATTTGTAAATCATTTGATGTAGGTATGAACCAATAGCTTACTTATGTGCAAATTATCATATCATTCCTTTACCCTCTTTTTCTTGAATATTCATATTTATTGTGTAAATTGATCATAAAGTGAAGAGCATCACTATGCTTTTCACTCAAATCGGGCTAAAAATGTCACGAGATATCGATTTTCAATCAAATAATTAAATTCCATTTAATTTCGTATATTTCCTTATTATCCTTTTTTCAGATTCTCTCATTTTAAGTCCTTTATTTGATCTATGTAACTATTTCAATTTTAAGATTTTTTAGGCTTTTTTTGACCTCATTTGAGTTCCCTTAATTGCCTACATTTTTATGAATTTATCTTAAAATTGACTATGAAATTTAATAGACTATTGATATAAAGGCAAAGTTAAAAGATGATGAAGAATACCACTTACCTGCATACTGGTGGACTGAGAGGTACCGCTAAGACTGGGCATCACGCCCTCAGTTTGTAGATCGTCAAACAATCTGTGTAACAGCTGCACAGCCTGTAGTCCCAGTGCTACTGACAGCACACCTAACCCTTGACAAGAGCTGCAAGTAAAATGTATTATAAAATTTATAATTATATAAGATTAGTTTTAACTTTAAATATAATGTTTTTAAGGCTTTTTGAACTTAATGAAGTTCCTTTAATCTATTCCCTCTATTAATACCAACAATTTGTGTTAAAAAATATTTGATAAAACAATAAAACAAAATGAGCCGCGTCACGACAAAACCAACATAATGCGTTTGCGACCAGCATGAATCCAGACCAGCCTGCGCTTCCGCGCAGTCTGATCAGGATCCATGCTGTTTGTTATCAGTTTCTCCACTTGTTATAGGGTTTGTAAGCGAACAGCATGGATCCTGATCAGACTGCGCGGCTGCGCAGGCTGGTCTGGATCCATGCTGGTCGCAAACCCATTTTGTTGGTTTTGTCATGACACGACTCAAATGCACATACAGACATGTATCTGTCTATGATGGGAACGTTGTACCAAGCTGCATACCTCCAGATGAGCCAAAATATTTCAGGAAAATTAAACTTGAGAAAAATTAAAACAATTCAAGATGCAACTAATGCTTCACATGTGATGTGCAATCAATGACTGATTTTGCAGTATCTAACACCATATTTCTACTGCATGACTAATACTTTTGTATATTTTGACCTTTTTAGACATTTACTTGGATTGAATGTGCTGTTTGCAATGTGTGAAATTCATTTACAATATTTTCATTCTAAATACATTTTTAAATTTTCAAGAAAATTAGCATGAATCTGGAGGCATGCTGGTTTAATATAAACTTAAACAAAAAGAACTTGCACTTGCAAAAAACTTAACAATTTAGCAATCTAATCATGTAAGATAAGATGCCCCTAAAAAGATTCTTTATTTACCTACTCTAAGCAAATCTAAACCGACCAAATTCAGATAAAACATATTTCACAAGTTGATATGTTAAAACAAGTTATTCAAACAAATTTCATATTCCATTCATATTTACAGCAAAAACTATTTATCATTCTTCAAATCTATTGTTAAACATGGAAAATCTAGGTTGGCAGAGAGGAAAAACTCAAACCTTTTAGCTGAGCTTGGCCGCCCACCACTCTGTGACGACCTGGGCGACTGGGCTTCTGTGCCACTAGCACTGGATGGGCGGGACTTACTGTCCTTTCTTTCAAGGATCATTCCAGGGGTCAAGGTCAAAATACCCTGTAACCCTTGCAGTAATAGCCAGGATGCCAGTAGGCTCAAGTTCTGAGCAATCTAGTGAAAATGAACATTATCATCAGTTTTAAGCTAAGATAAACATGTGATAGATATATTAGATGCAAAAATAAAAAAAAAGAATAAAACAAAATTGATGCTATAAATGTATAAAAAAAACTTCATTCTACATGTTCTAAGATGTTTCATTTTTATTCAAATTTGCTCCACACCATTTCATTACTAAAGTTAGGGAGAAATCTTATATGTATTATTGCATGTTTATGCAAACACTATTTATATGATAATCAGGGCTTCCATTTTGAAGTCACATTATATAACAGGTAAAAAGGAAAAAGCATTATAATTTGGAAGTCACGAGTAAATGACACCTAAACTTCCAATAACGGAAGTCCTGAAAATGTCCAATATAAGGGAAAGACTGTTTACTCAGATGCAACATTTATTCAATAAACTGAATGCTGCCATACCAATAACTTTTCCACTGAATAAAGTACAACTGTACCTACTTTTTTATTTGTTTAAACAGAAATATATACAAATAAAAACATGTATCTATTTTTCTTGTTTTGAATGACAAAAATGCAACATTCATAATTCATTTGCTTTGTAAAGGGTGTTTTTTTTTCAAAATGTATGCAAGTTTAACGCTCAAAGTGCTAGAACCGAAAGCGTTAAGCCTTTGCCACCAGTGTAGTGCCAGGTCAGCCTGCCCAGGCTCTATACTGTTGGCAGCTCAATTTATGTATATTGATATTGAAATCCCTTTGAACTTTGAATGGACTGTTCCAAGTTCAAAGCTGCACAGATCCATTATAGAAATACAGCAGGTTATGGATTAACATATAAATGTGAAGTACAAAAGAAATCACTAATTTCTAAATATGTTTTTACTACAGAATAACCTCTTCAAAGCAACATCTTTTTAGGAGACAAAAATCTTTGATGTTCTTCAAAAGAAGACTTTATAATAGAGCTGTCATCAATAGAAACAATATCGATGTATCGTTGATATTTTTCTGTTGATCAATAATCTATACACATTTCAAAAAATTGATAATTTTGACTTATTAATTAAATGTCTAGAAATTATGAAAAATTTTACGCAAAACATAATTATACAGAAGCAGGTGCCCATGTCTAACATTTATGCTGTTGTTATATAGTGGAAATATTTCACAGCAATGATGACAAAAAAATATGGTCTGGAAAAAAATTCATGCAACTAAAGGGCTTTTCTAAACAAGACACTGAACAGAACATGTTTTTAAATCAGAAATCAATCAAACAGGCATGAAAGTAAATGACAAACAAGTAATTATGGGAATTATCGATATATTGGTGAATTGTTGATTTTTGTAATTCAATATGGATATATAGTTGATATGTTTTACACTGAATCAATGACAACACTACTTTATACGTCTTATTTGGAAATATTTGATAATGTTGTTTTTTGTTTAAGAGATTATTGCTCTGCAGCCATTGCTCTGTATAATTACAGCTTTTACATTACAATTGATTGTAAACTTTATAAATACATGTATAAGTCAAATACATACATTTCCACCTGCTCTTGTTGAGTTATGAATGGCTTGTGACACATTGTGGTAAATCTCCAGCTGTAAATATTCAAATATAACATTCAAATAAACAATTTTCTTTTCTTTCTACACATTGGCAGGTAAAGGTCATAAGGTGAGTTTCCAGCTTTACTAGTGGAGGAAGACCTCAGGTTTGTGTCCCTCCACATATTATTTCAGGCAAAAGCAGGCACCTGAGTAGAACCACAGAAATTCTGTAAGCTAGCTGGACAGCCTCCTGAGAAAAGTTCAGTTAAAGAACAAGAGGGCCATGATGGCCCTGAGGTCGCTCACCTGTATAAAGGCCCCCCCACCCCCGGGCCAATTTTTACCCAAGGGCTTTTATTTGTTTATTTGAACAGACTTGGTAGACACCCATAAGAAGATGTTTCATGCTAAACATCTAAGTTCTAGCTCATTGGCTTTTTTAAAAGAAGATTTTTAAAGTTTTTACTATACACATATAGTTAAAAACAATGACACCCCTGGGGCGGGGCCAGTTTTGACCCCCGGGCTTTTATTTGAACAAACTTTGTAGATATTTACTTAAAGATGTTTCATGCTTAATATCTAAACTCTAGCTATTTGGGTTTTTTCAAAGAAGATTTTTATGTTTTTGCTATACACATATAAGGAAAATCAATGACCCCCCCCGGGCGGGGCCAGTTTTGACCCCCAGGGCTTTTATCTGAACATACTTGGTAGACACCCATTAGAACATGTTTCATGCTAAATATCTTAGCCCTAGCTCTTTGGGTTCTTTAAAAGAAGTTTTTTTAAGTTTTTACTATATGCATAAAGGGAAAATCAATGACCCCCTGGGGCGGGGCCAATTTTGACCCCAGGGCTTTTATTTGAACAAACTTGGTAGACACTCATTAGAAGATGTTTCATGCTAAATATCTTAGCTCTAGCTCTTTGGGTTCTTTAAAAGAAGATTTTTTAAGTTTTTACTATATGCATATAGGGAAAATCAATGACCCCCCGGGGTGGGGCCAATTTTGACCCCAGGGCTTTAATTTGAACAAACTTGGTAGACACTCACTAGAAGATGTTTCATGCTTAATATCTTAGCTCTAGCTCTTTGGGTTCTTTAAAAGAAGATTTTTTAAGTTTTTACTATATGCATACAGGGAAAATCAATGACCCCCTTGGGTGGGGCCAATTTTGACCCCAGGGCTTTTATTTGAACAAACTTGGTAGACATTCACTAGAAGATGTTTCATGCTTAATATCTAAGCTCTAGCTCTTACGGTTCTTTAAAAGAAGATTTTTTAAGTTTTTACTATATGCATATAGGGAAAATCAATGACCCCACAGGGCGGGGCCAATTTTGACCCCAGGGCTTTTATTTGAACACACTTGGTAGACACTCACTAGAAGATGTTTCATGCCAAATATCTTAGCTCTAGCTCTTTGGGTTCTTTAAAAGAAGATTTTTTAAGTTTTTACTATATGCATATAGGGAAAATCAATGACCCCCTGGGGCGGGGCCAATTTTGACCCCAGGGCTTTTATTTGAACAACTTGGTAGACACTCACTAGAAGATGTTTCATGCCAAATATCTAAGCTCTAGCTCTTAGGGTTGTTTAAAAGAAGATATTTAAAGATTTTTCTTTCGGTTGCCATGGCAACCAGAGTTCTGCATGGAATTAAATTCTTTGAACAATTTTTAAAGGTGACCACCAAAGGAACATTCCTGTGAAGTTTGGATGAAATTGGCTCTGTGGTTTATGAGGAGATGTCATTTAAAGCAAAAGTTTACGGACGGACGCCGGACGGACGCCGGATGAAAAGCGATCACAAAAGCTCACCCTGTCACTTTGTGACAGGTGAGCTAACTTTAAAAGAAGATTTTTTAAGTTTTTACTATATGCATATAGGGAAAATCAATGACCCCCTGGGGCGAGGCCAATTTTGACCCCAAGGCTTTTATTTGAACAAACTTGGTAGACACTCACTAGAAGATGTTTCATGCCAAATATCTAAGCTCTAGCTCTTAGGGTTGTTTAAAAGAAGATATTTAAAGATTTTTCTTTCGGTTGCCATGGCAACCAGAGTTCTGCATGGAATTAAATTCCTTGAACAATTTTTTAAGGTGACCACCAATGGAACATTCCTGTGAAGTTTGGATGAAATTGGCTCAGTGGTTTATGAGGAGGTGTCATTTAAAGCAAAAGTTTACGGACGGACGACGGACGGACGCTGGACGAAAAGCGATCACAAAAGCTCACCCTGTCACTTTGTGACAGGTGAGCTAATAAAAAAGCTGTATTAGGACTCATATGCCTACAGCCAACATGGGCATGTGGTTTTGAAATCAACAACCGTAACCACCTGGTCAAGGACACCTAATGACATTTTTCAGGTGCTCAGCTGAACATATTTGAAAGCATAGCTTCTTCAGTTTGCACATGCTTCCTCAACAATATTCATTAATTTCTTAAGTTGCAAAACTGGCCCTTGTGGCATGTATTTCGAAACATTTTAATCATTTTCCTACTTCTGAAATAAAGGAAGGAGCTAGGCCTATTATGCTATTATCAGTAACAAAAATGTTAAATACTTTTCTAAAAATATTTTAGACAACACCAAAACTGAGATACAGTCAAATTTGTATTAAGCGACTATTTAAGGAAAATACCCAAAATTGGTCGCTTCGCTTAATACAATGGTCTCTTACGACAAAGCATGAGAAAAAGGAAAAAATTTAATCATGTCGATATCTTTCCTTAGCCGTGTGGGAGTTTTTCTACTTCATTTATATACATTTATAATATATAATAATTGTAAATTAAAGTGGTCGCTGCAGACAAAAGTCACTGAATGCACATAGTAAGACCGTACTTCAATAATTTGTAACCTACCTATGTGTCTAATGTAACGATAAACTGTTTCAATTAATTAAAGATCTGAGGAGATACACTTACTGTTTTATGTACAATATTTATTCCATAATTGTCTATATCTTCTTCTTTTGAGGCTGGCGTTGTTTTCGTAGGTGTACCACTTGCCAGACTCATGATCGTATTTGTCGTTGCCACGGTAACAGCCGCATACAGACATCCCATTGTGACAGTAATGATCTTTTCCAGTCTCTTCACGGTCAAGGGCTCGAGTATCGGCAGTGAAAACACTCGCCATACTATTGATATATCATTCAACAACAACTGAAAACTAAACAATCACAAATATTTAACAAACAAAAGTTAAATACATTTGTAGTCATCATTGAAATGAAATTAAATGGTATATTCTGTAAGAGTTGTTTTGGTCTTTTTTTAATGTTTTTTTTTTTAATTTTTGGCTTGCAAGAAAGTGCCTGCTGATCTTGGCTAGTACTTAGTATTTTGGTGAGTTTTTCATGGATTTTACATTGTACCAACACAGCATAGGTCATATGGCGACTTGCCAGTTTTACTGGTGAAGGAAAACCTCAGGTGTCTTTCTGTCCTTTTCACGCACAAATGGGCAACTGAGTAGAACCACTGATATTCCGAAAGCTATCTGGATAACTTCCCACATGAAAGAATCCGAAGATGCGCGGCTAAAACCTACAGCGTTGAAAGGCATATGGTTTGAACTCAACGACCCTAACCACTTGGCGACAGACGTTCCCTGTAATTACGTACAAACTGGTTAAAAAAGGCTAAAATCTGCATCAGCTGCCATAGGCTTAAACCTGATAAAGAGAATTTCAGCAGTCACTTGAAACAATACGTGATTCTGACTTGCCGCACAAAAAAATGTTACTTAGAAAACAATCTTACCAGTTCCTGGTTGTCAAGGCATCAGACAAGGTAGCTGGCATCACGAAAGCCGAACCGGAAATGGCGTCCTTGTATCTTTGTATGTATCGGTTCAAGAACGTCAATTCAAAACAAACATCCAGCAAAATATTGCCTCCATTAAGCTGTGCCAGGCATGCAAGGTTTCTTATGGCAAATAAATTCTGAAATTTTTCATATATATTTTTTGTGAATTTTAAACGCCTAAGGTAGTTTAAACCAGTTTTTCTTTTCACTTTAGTACACTTGACAATGTTTTTTGTTTGGTATTCAGAACATTTTCTAAATTGTCATAATTTTTTGTAACATAAATCTGGAGGCACGACCTTTAACACCTCATTACCTTCATTTCTTCGGAATTGTCTGTAATATGTACAATGGTTACATCACCGTCCACTGTAATAGTCTCGGCCGGGGCCGTTTCAGTTTTTGTTGATATAGGTGGCGCTGGTGACACTATCTCGTCAAATACTGACGTCATCTGATCAAATAAGTTCACTTCAGATTCTAATCTGGCTCTCTTTACTTCTTTAGGAGTCTCTTCACTTGCCTCAGCTATGAAATGATTTTTTTATTATTTAACATCGTCTAACATCACGAACAATTAAACATATCAAAGACATAACACAAAGGATTTTAATGTAGCTTAAAACATCTCACTCTGTATAGGATTCAATCTGACCTTGATCGCCCCTGACATATTTCCGATAGAGTGCCAAAATACACATGCTCTGCTGCATTAGGTAGCCTGTGCAAACAGTATCAAACCATTGAAACCTGTCTAACCCAACATAAAAGTATGGACAGTTAAAGTTTAGGTACATGTATCTTGATACTTTAACTTAAATCGGATTATCCTTAAAACTAAGTTTGACAAAACAAGACAAAACAATAAAAAAAAACATTTAACCATAGATATAATAATTCTTTATTTCGCTTATGAAACTGTAAGTTGTAATCAAAGAACCCCCAACATTCGCTGAAGTACAAGTGATGATTGATAATCCAACAAGAGCGATCAGTGATCACATGTGTCGCCTCATGATGGCCAATTTCATGTTGGGACAAGTTTTGTGACAGACGGACAGTGCACAACTAGACTATACTAATCATTCCTGTAAAGTTTGGATGAAATTGCATTAGTAGTTTATGAGGAGTAGTCTGGACAAGCTTTTGTGTATCTGGCAACACACAGAAAAAAACACCTTTTTATCAAAGGGCCATAACTCGGCCAAAAATCATTCAACCGGAAAACCTGTGCAATATGCGCAAGGACATGAGCTACAGATCAATCCTGTAAAGTTTCATTGAAATTGCATTAGTGGTATAAGAGAAGTAGTCAGGACAAACTTTAAAAATAAAAATATTTAAAGGGCCATAACTCTGACAAAAATCATTGAACCGGAAAATGCTGACAATATGCACAACTAGACTTGGTACTGATCATTCCTGCAAAGTTTTGATGAAATTGCATTAGTAGTTTATGAGGAGTAGTCTGGACAAGCTTTTGTGTATCTGGCAACACACAGAAAAAAACACCTTTTTATCAAAGGGCCATAACTCGGCCAAAATTCATTCAACCGGAAAACCCGTGCAACACGCGCAGGGACTTGAGCTACAGATCAATCCTGTAAAGTTTCATTGAAATTGCATTAGTGGTATAAGAGAAGTAGTCCGGACAAACTTTAAAAATAAAATTATTCAAAGGGCCATTACTCTGACAAAAATCATTGAACCGGAAAATGCTGACAATATGCACAACTAAACTTGGTACTGATCATTCCTGCAAAGTTTGGATGAAATTGCACTAGTCGTTTATGAGGAGTAGTTCGGACAAGTTTTATGACGGACGGACAGACGGACGACGGAGAAGTGATCCCTATATGTCGCCACTACTCCATAGAGGCGACACAAAAATGATAAGTCCATCCTATTTCTCAGGGGTAGGGGAACCTGTCACATCAAACTGGTGCATAAAATTGTAAGAGGCAAATATGACATACCATTTTCTGTGTCTCTAACATTAGGTGGGAACTGTGCTGATTTCAACATAGCATTGAATGTGACAACGTCTGACTTTGGCAGGCATCCAAGTCCTATACAAAGACCTTTGATCAAGATCATCAAGTATTTCTAAAAATAAAATATAACATCATCATTGATACACTATATCTAAAAATAATTAAATATAAATATAAAATTAAGTACATTCTTACCAAATACATGTATCTATATACTGGTCTATATGACAATATGTACATGTATAAATAAAGATGCTTTGAAAAATAGACTGTAAATTGTAATAATTATCCGTCCCCAGGCAAAATTAAGCGTACACGGAATCCTTGCTTTCAAATATATGAGTCCAGCCGTAATAAACATGTGTACTGGAACGCCGAAAGAAGTGTCACCGAGAACCCTATCAGTAAAATTCTTTAATTAGGAATGTGAATTTACTTTGGCTACATAACCCACGCACAAAGGCCTGGTATATAATTGTATACTTACTGCAGATATGGTACAGCTGTCAGTTTGATTTTGAAGTCTCTGTAGCAGGAATTCCAGCAGAACCTTGCAAGCTCCAGTGATACTGGATAAATGAGGTGCTGCCACTGTAATACATGTGATAGTTTTAACATTGTTTTTTTATACTCATGTTTCTATTCTAGGATTCGAAAAGCAGGCGGAATTTTTATTGGAAAGTGAGAATTTATTACATTTGTTGATCTCTTTCCTTCTTTCTCTATGTAAAATTTTCCCCCTGCCGGGGAATTCTCAAAAATATGAGTGAATCGCCCCAGCCCCCTGCTACAATAGACACTATTATTATGAATTAATTTTGAGAAGTCAAGATTTTAGCTGATTTGTTGAGTTTTCTTTCTCGAACTTGCGTCTTATGTTATGAAGAAATATAAAGTTCTGTATTAAAACTAGGATCATCCCAGGTATTTGATTGGTCAGAAACTTTAATTTTATAAATTCTTGTAATGATAAGGGGAGGGGGGGGGGGGGGGGTCTTAAAGTAGTCCAGGGCTCATCCGGAAGGGCGATTCAGGCGATAACTTCGCCGTGTATATTTCCATTTCGCTCTCCCAATTGATCAAAGAGAAGTCAACATCGCCGATAAAATCTTAATTCCCAAGGAGTAATTACTTGGCGATGTAAAGAGCAGAGATTGTATCCGCCCATATGACGACTGCTAATTATCATTATCCAATCAGAGCGTCGCTTTATACTACCCGTCTACCTGTATACTAAGCGATAGACCGCCTACTCTAATCAGTAAATAAATCGAGCATCGGCCCGAAACGGGTTTAATTGTGTGACAGTTTTGTGAGTTTAATACCGGATAATGCGATAATTATAGATTGTTTTTTCCCGATTATCTGAACACGTGCAAATCTTCCCTAATTGATATACACGCGGTGTTTAACCCGAGTTAAGGTGATGTGCAATGGGTTTTTCACGGCTATCACAAAACTGTTAGTCAATTTAAAATAATTAATTTCATTCATGATTAGCGACTGGATTAAAAACTTAATCATATTTTGAATGATTTCAGTCCGTTAAAATCAATTAAAAATTGTTGTCGCTCACGTCATGGCTACGAAATGCCCAAAACTAGCAGTAAAAGAAAGTTACTGATTCTGATACATCTACGCGAAAATTTAAGAAAGCCAATTCGCAAAAATTTTACGATTGGTATGTTGTAGACAATGAGAGTGTTTGGCATTGTTATCTTTGTAGAAATGCCAAATTTGACACATCTTACGCACGTGGGCACGACATCCCGGAAAAACTACGAATAATGATCGGCATGCATATCATGTGTACATGTATATAACAACAAAATTTGTCAGGAAAGAAGTGTTCTTATTGTTTTAATATAGATATGTGTTTTAATGTCAAAAATATGACGCTCAGATTAAGATTTATCACTATTGTAAATATCAAAAAGCTTTATTTATAAAGATATTACGAGTTTAACATTTCATGAAAATAAAGGGAGGTAATTAGAAATTTCTTTTCTATAATTTCTCAGTCGCATTTTTCAATAAGAAATGAATGTATATAATTTTAGTGATCAAATATAATGTGCACAAATGTTTGCAGTAAATATTTTACATATTCTTCCATGTTTGAAAATTGTTTTATAAGCATAATTATATGCACATAAATGTGGCATAACAACATGTAAGGTCTTTAAAAAAGTTCTGTATTTAGAACAGATTAGGCAGATATTGTTAATCAATATCCAATGTAACTTTATATTGAAAGTAATAATGTAAAATTAATCTGGGACATAAGATACAGAATTAATTTATTCATCATAATTTTTCTTACACATTATTATCAATAAATCTACATGAAAATACATAAACAAATATGTAGAGGAAGCTTATAAATAGCTGATAAATAGATTGTGTTTATATTATAGTTAAAGGATGTATAGCTATGCATGTTAATGCATACACATTGGGTTGTTTCCCTTCTCCCTATTTTTCGCGAGGAAGTCACTTCTCCCTAAAATTTCCACCCAGGATGAGCCCTGAAGTATACAGACAAAATTGAAATTGACAAGAAAAAAGCTACACTGTCAGAAGTTTAATGTTATTTATACACTTACCTTCCCCAGCACTGGCACTAAGGTAGTGGGCTGCCAAGGCAACAAATGAAGAGTAGAATGGTTCATACACATCTTCATGTTTGAGTATATCTTTTTCACTGAAAACAAGATTCACTAATAAATAAACAAGAAAACTACATGTATGCCTTAGTCTGCTGGAACCACAAGTAACTTGTAACTCTGTATCAAGTAAAGAACCAGACTAATTATTTCAATTTAGTCCTCAATTCATTTTGACCAGGCTCTATACTGTTATTGGTACTATCTCATTTTTTATATACAAATCCCATGACTTTAAATGGACCGTTACAAATTAAAAGCAGAGCAAAACCATTAATTACGCAAATTCAGTCAGTAAGTAAGCGGATAAACCTAAATGGAAAATAATGTCTTTCTTAATATGCTATTAAAAGACTTAATTGAGCTGTATGTAATAATGTCCATTTAATTTGGAGGTAAGTGATAAACCAAACAGCACACAGGAAGACCCCGAAACCTTATTCAAGGCCGGATGATGCACACCACAACATAACTTTGCAATTACAAGTGCCTTTTCATTGCTTTTTAACAGCTAACGCTACAAATGTACATTGAGATATTATGCAACATGTTTAATATAAATGTTCAACATGTTAATGATGTTTATAAATCATTAACAGTCAATGAATTCAAGATTTTGAATTCACTAGCCCGAATTCCAGTTTTGAATTTATTCTACCATATACTTAACTAAATTTTCTTAAAATTTTCACTGGCCCAAACTAATTATCACTGGCCATGGGCCACCGTGCCAGTGCTAAATTCGATGACTGCATTAATGGTTAGTTAATTCACTAAAGCTTTTTGCTGATATTGAGTGTTTGTTGGATAATTATGGGATGTCAGGGAGATTACAAATGATGCAATCAGGGCTTCCATTAAGTTTCAAAATTTGGAAGTCAGAGACTGCTAAATCTCTAACTCTGGAAGTCACATTATATACATCTATCTATCTATCTTCTGTTAATGTCAAACCCCTCCTGGGGACATGTCTGCTCATCAAAAATCACAAGAAAGTTAAAAGGAGTTGTTTATAGAGGATAAAAGAATAATTAAAAAAGTTTAGGGGCTGGAAAACTAGGAAGAGACATGTTCGATGCAAGCTATGGCTGCACTGAACAGCTCTGGGGTTAGGGAGTAGGGCAACTGCAGGGGGTAGGTGGTTCCAGTGGTATACCGTCCTAGGAAAGAATGAGACTTTATAATAGTCTGAAGTTGCTGTGAATAACTTAAAACACAAGGGATGGCCATGGCATGATATTCAGGACAGAGGTCTCAAATATTCTTCTAAAGGGATAGCAACCAGACCAGGGTGAATCTTATAGAGAAGGGATAACCTATCATCTGTACGTCTGAGTTCCAGTTTTCAAAGGTTAAGGGAGTGAAGCATGTCTGTAACGCTAGAGGTCTGACCATAGTCTAGCTTAAATCCATCGGGCTGCTCTTTGTCTGACACTTTTGATTTGATCTATTTGAGTTTTGGTGTGGGGAGATCATACTTCAGAACCATATTCAAGCTGGGGTCCGACTAACGTCTGGTAGGGTAATCATGCGGTAATGTAGATATAAAGGAAGGAAAAGCATTACATTTTGGGTTTCACAAGCCAAAATAAAGGAGTAAATGACCCCAAAACTTCCATTAACAGAAGCTTTGGCAATTATACTTCAATGTTATGTGCTCCATGCAATAATAGGCATGCTAGACCCTGTGATATTGACCTGGTCCAGGTCCTGGGCATAATTTTGTTTTTATTATAATATGTGACATTTTCCCACAAATCATAGGACTCCTTCATTATTTTGGGGGAGGATTATAATCAGCAAACAATGACATTCAAGAAATCAACTTAATCTATATAGCAATGTTTTTGATTTTCTGAAAAAAAAATAGATGTACCCCACCCACTAATTATTTGATGAAAATGAAAGTTACGGCGCAGAAAATCGATAAATGATTGTAAAATCAAAAAATATCATAAAATATCTATTAAGTCTCACCTTGCTATAACTGCGTTACTAAACTCTAGAAGGAAATCTTTGTTAAAAGATGAATATGAAGCCGACAAAAGGGGTTTAATGTTGACTGACCAGGAAATTCCTGGGCTCGTCGCCATTTTTGGATCCTAATTAATCGGAAAGTACCGAAAAGAAAAGTAATCACCACTAAGAGTAGGAAAGAACCATTAAATACAGCTAAGCAGGGTCTTTCAAATAGAAATCATTTGAAAGACCATGAGATAAGTGACCTCAAGCATGTATGTTATATGGTGAACTTAGAGTTACTCCGATATCTTTGCAACTCTCAACTTTCAACTTAAAACTAGGCCAGGTTGGGCACGAAACATAAACAACAAGCAAAATGCAGCAGCAGGACAAAGATAACTGTAAACATAATCGGGTATATTCTACATATTATACAATGCATAATGAGATAAGATGCAGCCATTTAAACCGCAAAATAGTACTGACCAGGTACAAATTGTTGCGATAGAATATCTTGAATCTTTTTATAATGATACTGTACATAGATTTGTTGAAGACGTTATGCAGATCTAAAACAAATTTAAGGAGATTAATTTGGAAGGTGGATAAGTTTTATGGAAAAAAACACAGTTTTAAATATTTCTTAAATTAGTACTGTACTGTTTATAAAGTAACTGTATGCATATATCATTAGATAAACAAAATATATAATTATTTACATGTCAGCAAAAGTTTATCTAAAACAGCTCATGATTTTTCTAACAAAAACACATAGTTTACAAAGCATATTATAGTCAGAAATGTTAAACAACTTGTTGAAATTCCATGTGTTTGCAAATAAAAAGTAGAATTATGAACTACTGGTGTCAGCTCTTGAATGGTAAGATAATGAGATTTGTAATATTTTATATAAGACTGCATACTCTGTATATGTGAGATATAGAACTGAATTACCGCTGCATAAACAAATTATTGGTTAAGTCAATCTACTGTATACCTAGTCCGCTTAATTTCAAACCCTTGTTAAAGACAAGTTCATCCAAAACTGGAACAGTGATGTTCAATCTTTAAGCAAATGTTTAAACTACGTTTATATAAATTATTGCTTGCATTCGAAGATTATTTTTACGTACTTCCTTGGCATCTGTCTTCAGCTGTGTTAAAAATTAGATGTATGAATCATAAAATGCCAATTGGGAAAGGTAAATTCCTAATATAGAGAGAAACTTACGTATATGTACTTTATGTGAGTCAAACCAACTGGGTGACGATTTTCACTATCTCTTTTATTGTTCACATTTCGTTAATAGTAGACGTAAATTTTTTAAACCGTATCATTATAGGTATCCTAATGCTTTGAAGTTTGAAGATCTTATGAATAGTAAAAACAAATTACATTAAAAAAAACAACTTTACTTTATTTTGTTTAGAAATAATTACAACATGCAAGTACTGAGTATAATGTTGTTTTATTAGTCTCCTAGAAATTTTGTTAATGAAGCATAAATTAAGAATCTAGTCATATCTTTATTTTATTTTACGGGTACAATATACATTAGAATCCCTACTTAAGACCATCCGGAATTAAGACCGCCTCAGTATTAAGGCCATTTTTTAAAAGTACGGTATTTTCTTTTCTTTATATCAATCGTTACATGATCCAGAATTAAGACCACCTCGCTTATCCACTTTTAAGACAACCAGATTAAGTCCCAATTCTTTGTTTTGTTCTTTTTTTATCCCACTATTGAGACCACTGATTTAAAGTCAACACCTATCTAGATGGTAAGATCTTAGATTTGTTATGTTGTTATTATCTGTCTGAATGCTCTGAAGCATGACACTTGATTTCACAAGGTGCCAAACCACCTTACATCATTGGGATATTGTATGAAATAAGGTGAAAAAGTAAATTTTAGAGTGGTTGAATGATGCTTTAAGCATGTTGATTATGTGAAGAATTAATTTCTTACTTGATGGGTGAAATATGTACATCATATAATGATTGATATTGAAATCAGACCAAATAGAATTTGATATTTAATTCTTTCTTCCCATCAGCTGTTAAATTATAACGTACTTTTATATTGTATTTGTAGGTTAAGATACATATTGTTTGTTCATACAAAATGACTAAAATAGACCATGGTAAATTGTATGTAAGCAATGATAAGAATATTCACAATTAAGACCACCCCGTAATTAAGACCACTTTTGTCCAGTTAATTGAGGGTAATTGTCACTCATTCTCCAGTTTATAATGTTTATTATAATGCATATTTTTCATGTATATTTTTGTATGTATATCTGTTCTGTGTTCCGGTTGTTACATGTTCACAATTTTGTATTTTATGGCACATGTTCTTATGAACCATGGCAGTATTAAATAAATCTGGAAATCTTGAGCAATCGATTGATTTAGAAATATTTGTATTACTGAAAAGTTATTTCAACAAAATAATAAGAATAAAATAATATATACTCGTATATATATAAAATAATATAAATAGAGGATTTACATTTCTTTCTTATCATATTTCACTCTTGGCTATCGATGAAAATAAATCTCGTATTTATAAACGAAAATAAATTGAATGTTTTCTTTATCATATACTTGTTTATCTTTTTTTTACCCCTTACTCATTCAATAGAATTCATAATTGTACTCAACAATGTATGACAACCTCATAGTATTGAATAGATAATAGTGTTTACTGAAAATGTTTATCAAGATCTACATCCTATTTATACTGTATTATGATGTTATCATACATTATTTAGTACAATACTGAATTCTTCTGGACGACAACACAGAACGAGACGCAAGCTTCAAGCACAATATTCATTTAATATGGACATTTTTGGACAAGGAAGAGTAATAAAAACGAGGCTAAGAGGAACAATATGGGGACTCTTTAAAGGTTTTATAATGTTTAATTAATAAGGATAGCTTTTCAATTTCCCTTTGTTATAACCTACTACCAAAAAGCATTTTGTATGCTAGATTCTAACTGGTCTTCTAATTTTCACATTAAACATATCCAACTTTTTTAATATAAGGTGTCCTCGGTGCGGAATAAGACCCAGCCCGTTGTAGTAAAAATAGGTCTTTTAAATTTTGCAATGGTTCATTTCAAATCATCCCTGCTTAGACTGTTTACATTTTACAAAAAGTGTCATTTCTGAGTACTAGTATCTTAAATATTGTTTCTTTTGTATATATTTGCAGGACTTCATTTCTGGGTTGAAGGTTTCAGGAATACTATGCACCGGAATACAGCCTAGTTGTTATTTGGATTGTTTTATATTGATCACACAAATTCAAAGCTCCAGAAAAAGTCCTTATGTATTATTATCTTATTATAATTTAGGGCTTATATATTATTGTTTTTGTTGTGCTGACTTTAGTTGGATAGCATTGTTGTTAAAATTTATAGCGAGCAAATGCCTGTACCAGATAAGCTGTGTCCAGAATTTAGTCTTACATGTGACGAATTTCCTATATAGAGGATAAATAGGGCGAAAATTCAGTGGGCCGACTCCTACATCTTCATATGATTTCAGCAAAATCATTCTTCCGTGACTGCCGAAACGTTCTAAAAGTGCAACATTGATTTAATTTTCTGCAAAAGGAATCATTTCAATTGTATATAATTGTTTTACGTGAGCAACACTGAAAAAACAACAACAAAAAACCACCGCTGAAGCGTAAAATGATTCGCTTGCAATACGCCATCATCATCATAATCATCATCTTCTTCAGTAAACGCCTCACTCTTTATAGAGCATTATCACGATGAAACTAAAACTATGTACATGCGCAGCAATTGGTTTCCTCTTTACAGATAAAAATTGTCTATTTACATCTTCTTAAAAACTAGTAAAAACTGGCAATGTGTCTAGTTGGTGGTAGTGTGTTTCATCAGCGCCGACTTGAACCCCTCCAAGGTTGATTTCTCAATAACTTGTATGGGTAGGCGATTCCAGAGGATGATGGTGGCCGGGAAGAAGCTGTTCTGGTACACAGATTTCTTACATGTGAGCTGGCTGAGTTGTTGTGGGTTGCCTCTTGATGTTCTTGCATTACATAGCGGGGGATCTGGTGTGATTGGTGATCATGCTTGATCTTGTAGAGCACGGTGACTCTTGCCATGTCCTGTCCCTTCTGTAGAGTGGTCCAGTGTAGTGAGCGACGCTGCTCTGGCGTGAGTAGTCATTCTTAACAAATCGTGCTGCTCTTCTTTGGACCATCTCTAGTTGGTTGATGTGGCTGTCAGCAGCAGATGACCATACAGAGGAGGCATTCTCGACGCTTGGCCGTACGTAGGTGTTGTAGGCTTTGGCTTTGGCATCTGGTGGGCTTGACCGGATGTTTCGGCGCAGGAAAGCTAGGGTTGAGTTGGCTTTTTCCGTTATGTTGTCGATGTGGCATTTCAATGATAGGTCTGGTGTGATGGTAACTCCAAGGATTATCAATTCTTAATAATTTTATTCATCATCATCATCATCATCATCATCATCATCATCATCATTATTATTGTTATTATTAAAAACTGCAGGTTTTATTATAATTACCATTTGGTATACATGTATATATATCTAATGTACCCGAGTACGTATTCATTTTAGTCTGATTTACTTTGTTTTGTATTATTCATATGTGCATATAAAATTTTTTCTATTGCAAGCACCTTATATGTTGAAAGGAATGTACATAAGTCAAATCCAATCCATGAAATCTTTCAATGTGTTTGTATATGCTTACTGTATATGTTTATGTTGAACAAATTTAAATAAATATTATTTAAACTAATGTACCAGAGTCCCAGGAATTCCAAAATGCAAAAGTACAAAACGCATTTGTCCTTGTAAATGTTGAAGAAGAATTTAGTTTACAAAACAGGAATTCTTGGTGGGATCTTGTGATAAGTAAAGGCGTGACTTGAATCAGATGTTAACAGATCAACAAACGTCTACAATCTACATTCACAGAGAATGGGGTCAAGTTATTTGTTGTTCTTATCTGTGATGTCATAGAGTCCTTTGTTCCAATTATTGATATACTGTACAGAAAAAGAACTGCCGGCCCTGATATAAAAGTATATTCATATGTGGCAATAAACATTTTAGTTTTTCTAAGTGCCTTTTCTGTTCTAGTGTATGGGACTAAAATACATTCAAGAATCCCACGGAAAAATGCTCTCATACTTAAGTTTAGTTTATACAAATTTATTTTAGTTCGATTTTGTTAGAAGCTATGAGCTTATTGAACACTCTCGAATCCGTTCCTGAAACCAACCAGTACTGAGCAATGAATGTAAATTTCTTTCTTAAGGAAACAACGGCTTGCCCCTGTCAGGGTTTGAACCCACGCGGACAGCAATCCTTAGATTACTAACGTCCAACGCTTTAACCATTCGATCACGCCGCCAAACGTCTAATCTACATTCAATTGAAATCGTACTTTTTGTCCGTCATTTCGTGTATAGTTTTCGCAGGTCCAGTACTGGAGGCTTTTTGCGATTCTATCAAGTCAGTAACTGATGCGTACTAAATTTGAAAGTCTCACTCTGTAATTGTCTTACATGAAAGCGTTTAATTTTTCGAGTGGTATAGTACATGTCAGTGTGTTTAGAGCATAGAACGTTATAAAGACTAATAAAAATGAATGGATGTATTTCTATATTAGTGACAGGTATGTTAATCTCATATCAATCCAATAACAATCCAACATTAATCCAATATTGCTTAATCTGAAAATAATGACTCCTGAATTACAAAATAACACATTGAATTTGTTTAAAGTTGTCGCCTGATTTCTTTGTACTTTAAGATTGACAATCAAATATCAACTGTTCATAAAGTAAAGTAAACAATATACATTGTCCATTTATAAACATTAAATTGGAAATATTGAAAAATCAAAGTACTCACGGTACTTGTAGTTATGCCTTATTTGAAATAATGTGGATGATACGATTTCGACGCGCTATTATAGTAGAGCATTCGCTAGAACAAAATACACAAATGTACAAACAAAAACGTTTTACTGGAATAAGCTTTGAAACAATAAATTAAGTACAAAATTTCTGCAAACGCTGACGTTTTTGCTTTTTAATGAATTATGATGACAAACATCATTCTGTTTTAGAAACGAAAGCTTCTAAAGCTGCAAACCGTATTTTGTAGTCATTATCACATGTCCGCCTCTTGCCCCTACATTCGAGTTGAAAGTAGTACCACCTGTATTATTATGAATTTACAAAAGGCTTGAAGCGCTTTGATACTTGCATGAAAATATATAATTAATTTTTTTCAGCAGATCAAAAACTTATTTGGACTTTGCTAATCATCGAGTTTTTTTCGAATGCATGTCACGAGACAAAAGACTAGAAACTAAATCACTGGCTTTGACCATGACCTTCGGCGTAACCTTTGGCCTTTGCATCGGTGTTTTGTTGATTAGGTTCTTGAAATGATATCATGACACAAATAATGACTAAGTAGATTTATACATAGTAATCTTGCAACTCCGTTTAACGTAGTTTAATGCCTTTCTTTTTGCAATGATATATAATGCAAGATTTGGAATGTATTCTAAATTTGCTTTATATAGAACACTTTTGCTCGGATGCGTTGTAAAATTAAGCTTAGATCTGCGACCACTATGTTTATGAATATATCACTTAGCATTTAAACTTACGACCAAACAATATTTTTTGACATTTTGACAGAACTTTGTTGCTTCAAGTACAGTAAGGATTTGATTTGATTTGGACTCCAAAAATGGAAACAAGACTCGAGGGGGTACGATATGCATTTGATATAGATATTTTGGACTTTGGACATGAAAGAGAAACTATACGGGGTATGATATGCATTTGATATGGTTTTTAGACTCTGAAAATGGAAACGAGGCTAAAGTGATATGTGATTTCTATTGCAACATCACGTGGTTCAAACGCAGAAGGCTAATTGGTTATATCTTATAAGGTGTGAAGTAATCATAATTATATGATGTTCATAATAGTTTCCCATATTTTTTATTGTGTTTCAGTGTGTTTTGGCATTGTTTATCAGGCGTCTTCTGAGTCAATATGTTTCAACTGCAAGCACCTAACAGATCCAGACGCTTGTAAAAATTTCCAACCATGTGGAGCGGCCGAGGTAATCCGAATCTTGTCACTTTAATACAATGCATAAACATTACGAAAGCACAAAATCATATTAAAATTAAGTGTACAAATAATAAAAAAAGGAAAGAAATGCAATTGTTCGTAGCTTTCAGACCAACAGTTTTTTGGCAAATTTGCCATAGCATTGGGGGAATGCTCTTAAAAGATACAATCGAGAAACGTTAAGTACGTACGTATGAGAAAAAAAAACGCTCAAATATGCAAGTATAGGAATGTTTGAAATGTTTGTTTTTTGCTTCACGTATAGAAACGATTAAATCAGATAAGAAAAGGAAAAAGCTTAGGTGAAAGGAATTAACTTAATGTTTATATTTTCATTAAGATTCCGTTGAAGTATACGACGGTCAAATTATTTAACTCAAAGGCACGTAAAATAAATAAAAAACATATTTTATTATTTTATTTGAAATATTATGTAAAAAGAAATCACAACAACAGTAAATGCATAGACCAATCAGAGTATTTTTTTATTAAAATTCCGTTGTAGTATATTGTTTTGAATGTCCGACGGTCAAATCATTTAAGTCAAGGGCACGTAAAAGAGTAGAAGCATTGTTAACTAACTTGAAATATTATGTAAATTGAAATCACAACAACAGTAAATGTCTAGACCAATCAGATGCACATGATGGTGTCTATGAAATATGTAATGTTTCTAAAATTGGATTGATTGGCGTGTAATGATAACTATCTTGCATTTGATTGTGTTAAAGATTATGCATGTTGTAATTAAGGTTGTTACCACATTTAAGTGAAATTTTATATATGATACAATTATGCTTCTAAAACAATTTGCAAAAATCGAAGAATATGTAAAATATGTACAGCAAATATTTGTCCCCATATGTAATAATTAAATTATATGCCTTCATTTCTTATTGAAAAATCTGACTTAGATTTTATAGAAAAATAAATTTCTAATTACCTCCCTTTATTAACATGAAATGTAAATTCGGTAATATCTTTACAAATAATGCTTTTTGGAACTTACAATAATGATAAATCTTCATTTGAGCATTATATTTATGATATAGAACCATAAAAAAATCGAGTTACAGGATCCGTAATACATAAAAATCAAAACATATCATATTATTACTTTTATAGCGCTGTTTTAAAGAGGTAGTCGAGACAGATAATGGAACAGCCGAATATAACTGGGGCTGCGCTTCAAAGCAGGTAGTACTTACTCCCCTGAATTTTTTCCTTTTATAAGGGACTTGTAAATTATGAACTTAAAGGAATTCCACTGAAGTCCATAAGCCTTAAAAAATAAACATTGAATTTCTTACATAGATCAACTGGAGCACTTAAAACGGAAAGATATGCAAAAGATATTTAAAAAATATACTAAGAATAAATTGAAAATCATATTTTTGTGCTATTCTTAGCCCAGTTTCAGTAAAAAGCGTAACAATACGTAACATTATTGGATCATTTTTCAGAAATAATAAAATCAGTATGAAAAAAGAGTGACAGAATTATCTGAAAGTTTACAATTACATGTCAATTATTGATAAAGACTTACATCAAATGAAACATTAATGTCAAAAATATTTCCAGGACCGTCATGTTTGAAAAAACCTCAGTGGAGTCCCTTTAAAACAGTCGATTTTTTTAGGAAATTCGAGTTAAAATTCTTAACAATGATCAAGTCAGTTTGATTAACGTTGCTTTTTTATGTTAAATGTCAGTGTATCTGTTAGTTTAAACATATTTAATCAATATCGATTGTAACCCAGGGTTGATAAGCTGGCATCTTGCAAGCGGTCCACATGCAATACAGAATCGCATCTTCTCGACCGTTTCCGTGAAACTTCGGAATAATAGGTGAAATGTTCCGGTTGTTCCGGGGGTATGTTATTTGCTGCATGTAGCTTAGGGTTATGAAGAAGCTAATTTTAATCAGATTGATAATATGTTAAAACAATATACGTCATCATATTTATTTTAGCTGTGTACACTCGAGAACAACATAGCTGGCAGAAGGAAACGTCTAAGTGTTGAAAGATGTTACGAATGTTGTGATGGAAACTTCTGCAATTTTGGACCATGTCAACAAGGTTTGTTATTTCTGCAATTTTGAACCATGACAAATAGGTTTGTTATTTTTGCAATTTTGGACCATGCCAATTTTGTTATTTTTGCAATTTTGGACCATGCCAATTTTGTTATTTTTGCAATTTTGAACCATGTCAACTAGGTTTGTTATTTCTGCAATTTTGAACCATGACAAATAGGTTTGTTATTTTTGCAATTTTGGACCATGTCAACTAGGTTTGTTATTTCTGCAATTTTGGACCATGCCAACTAGGTTTGTTATTTCTGCAATTTTGAACCATGTCAACTAGGTTTGTTATTTCTGCAATTTTGAACCATGCCAACTAGGTTTGTTATTTTTGCAATTTTGGACCATGTCAACTAGGTTTGTTATTTCTGCAATTTTGGACCATGTCAACTAGGTTTGTTATTTCTGCAATTTTGGACCATGTCAACTAGGTTTGTTATTTCTGCAATTTTGGACCATGTCAACTAGGTTTGTTATTTCTGCAATTTTGGACCATGCCAACTAGGTTTGTTATTTCTGCAATTTTGGACCATGTCAACTAGGTTTGTTATTTCTGCAATTTTGGACCATGTCAACTAGGTTTGTTATTTCTGCAATTTTGGACCATGCCAATTTTGTTATTTTTGCAATTTTGGACCATGTCAACTAGGTTTGTTATTTCTGCAATTTTGGACCATGGCAACTAAGTTTGTTATTTCTGCAATTTTGAACCATGCCAATTTTGTTATTTTTGCAATTTTGGACCATGTCAACTAGGTTTGTTATTTCTGCAATTTTGGACCATGTCAACTAGGTTTGTTATTTCTGCAATTTTGGACCATGTCAACTAGGTTTGTTATTTTTGCAATTTTGGTATATTTTCTGCAATTTTAGGTCGTCTTTCGTTTTGACTCAGTATTCACTTTAAGTCACTTTAAGTTTAAATATAGATATTTTAGTAATGATTTATTTGGTTGGGATGTAGTTGTAACTAATTTCGGTGAAATACAAATAAATTAATATTCACTATAAAATTGGAGTGGTTGGTTGGTTGGTTGGGTTTAACGTCGCACCAATAAAGTATTATGATATTTATCAATTTTAAGATACTAGTTTAGTTTTTATGACGGGTAAACTGAAAAGCTTTCTTTGCTGATATTTGGTTGACATAAGTTTCCGAGTCAAATTAGATATCAGTTACTTGATATATTAAGTTGACATTGAATGTTCAGTTGTTATTAAAATTTAAGTTGTTTTTGATTTTTCAGTTATTATTGAATGTTAAGTTGTTATTGAATGTTCTGTTATAATCGAATATGGAAAGTTGTTATTGAATGTTTAGTTGTTGTTGAATTTTCAGTTGTTATTGAATGCTTTTTTATTACTGTTCAGCTGTTCTTTAATGTTCAGTTGTTATTGAATGTTTAAGTTGTTATTGAGTGCTAAAGTGCTAAATAATAAATTGATGTTATTTTGAAATATTTAGTATATTAAATACGCATTATGATTGTATAAAATATACTTTTGTTGATATAAGATAAAGCAGGTTTTAATAATATTTGTTGAATGCACTTATTTTTTAAGTCTTAAATATGTCACGTGATATTTTCAGACTATTGTTCCCAGGTAAAATGTCTACAAGGTGCTTCCTGCACGAACACTGCACTCAGAGCTGTTTGTAACTGTCCAGTGGGATATACTGGAGCCGTCTGTGAAACAGGTTGGCTGCTAAGGGTTCAAATCCCATATTTTTACATATCGTCATGTAACCAATATCGCGTCAGCCAGTCATATTTAAATAGAACTCAAAGGAAAGTTCCAAAACTTAATCTAGTTCTACGCAAATTTATATAAATTTTCTACATAATTTCAAAATATTTAAAGATTTCTACTTCTCTAGGTTTTGATTTGGAAATGTATTTGTTAATTTTAATGAAATTTAATGAATTTGAACTTTTTAATTGTACTAGTAGATTGAGAGATACGAAAGAAAGCGGCATGACAGAGTACACTTATATCTAAACAAGAATGGCCCTGTATTCCTACCTGGACCACTGTTTGTTGTTCTCAGTGATTTACAGAATATTATTGACGTATTATTAAACAAAAATTTTAAATGTTAAATATGAATCAGTTTGATTTCACAGTCTGATTTACAGAGTGAAATTTATTTTTCTTTGATATATAGAAATTGACGAATGCGCGAGCAACCCATGTCAACATGGCGCCACCTGCACAGATTTCGTCGGCAAATACAAGTGCACGTGCCTGCCTGGTTACACGGGAGTCAACTGTGAAACAGGTTATACATTGGTGTTTGCTTTACTCAAGATATACAGATAGATGAGGTTAAAGGCACATTAAATTCTACAAATTAATTCCTACCTCGTTCTGTAGGTGGAGCAAACATGCGTTTTGTACTATTGTAACAATGGATTTAGAAAATTTGAGAGCCTATATAACTTTAAAAATGTAGGGTTGAATGCGACAAAGTTTGTTATAGAAAATGCAAAATGTAAAAAATACAGTACAGTTCAGTTCAGTTCAGTTCAGTGCAGGGCAGGGCAGGGCAGGGCAGTACTGTACAGTACAATACAATACAATACAGTACAATAAAATACAATTTTCGATACTTAGTAAAAAATACATATGTAACAACAGGCAATTGACAATTAATATCAATATTGAACATATGTGGGTACATTTAAACACATTTAGTAAGAACAGACATGCAAAATATTTTAAAACAACAATTTTGTAACCATAACATGTCTAATTTTACAAATTGTTTGACAAAAACCAAAGTGGTATTTTGACTTCCATAAAATACTTAATCACTATAACTATACTAATTGCAAAAGATGGCTCAGTTTTATTGGAAGAGTAATTATTTGGAAACTGTTTCAAGAAAAAAGAAAACCTTCAATAAAATATAAAATAATATCATTATTGAAAGTTTTGAAAGAGCTTTTAAGTTAAGAAACAAAAACAACTATTATTCAAGTTATTTTACAAATACGTATTCTTAAAGGACACTTTGGATATCATGCTGTTCGAAACAAAATAACCTTTAAATCCGACACTCTGGAAATCATCTCCAAAGGCACATTTTCAAAAGCCTTATTTCTACATGAAAGCAAATATGTATGACAGTTTTGTTTTACTTACTCTAAATAAAACTTAAACTGAGAAATACTGTATTGCTTTCCCGCCAATTTCGTACTAAATCGGTTATTTCCGGAACATTATTGGTTTCAAAATATTTGGTATTAGATTACATACAATCACCCAGTCCTGATTGATATGCACTTAATTCAGTTTATAAATGGTTAAGATTCATTGAATATCGGAAATTGTGAATAATAACGTTCCGGAAAAGACCGATTTATTACGACATTGGCCGATATTAGATTTTTTTGGCGGGAAAGTATTACAGTAAGACTATCTTCAGTTAGTTGTTATTGAGCGCACAGCAGTTTGCTACATAACATCTTTCATTTTTGTTCTGGCATAAACTGGAAAATACTATGTTATTTCTTATTTTCTTCCATATGTGGCCTTTGCGTTTTATTTCTTTACACAGATATTGACGAGTGCGCTGTTATGCCGTGTAAAAATGGAGCCACGTGTGTTGATCTAGTGAATGACTTCTCGTGCACGTGCGTACCTGGATACACAGGGAAATTGTGTCAAACTGGTAAAGTTTTATTTATTTGGTTTCACAATTTAAATTTATGAACAGCATTACCGCAGAAACAGTTGATTAAAACATTATAATAATTCTACAAATACTTTCAGTAAATGTGATTGAAAAAATACAATACAATTCAATACAATACAACACAAAAGAGCTTTAGTTAATCCACTCTTACACAACGATGACCTTTTCTGTTGTTGATATCAGTGAATTTTTTCTGTCGTTGATATCAGTGATTTTTTCTGTCGTAAATATCAATGAATCCTTTCTGTTGTAGATATCAATGATATTTTCTGTCGTAGATATCAATGAGATTTTTCTATTGAAGATATCAATGAATATTTTCTGTCGTAGATATCAATGAATCTTTTCTGTTGTAGATATCAATGATTTTTTTCTGTTGTAAATATCAATGAATCCTTTCTGTTGTAGATATCAATGATATTTTCTGTCGTAGATATCAATGAGATTTTTCTATTGAATATATCAATTAATCTTTTCTGTCGTAGATATCAATGAATCTTTTCTGTTGTAGATAACAATGAATCTTTTCTGTCGTAAATATCAATGAATCTCTTCTGTCGTAAATATCAATGAATCCTTTCTGTTGTAGATATCAATGATATTTTCTGTCGTAGATATCAATGAGATTTTTCTATTGAAGATATCAATGAATCTTTTCTGTTGTAGAAGTCAGTGATCTTTTCTGTTGTAGATAGCAATGAATCTCTTCTGTCGTAAATATCAATGAATCCTTTCTGTTGTAGATATCAATGATATATTCTGTTGTAGAAGTCAATGATCTTTTTTGTCGTAGATTTCAATGAGACTTTTCTTTAGAAGATATCAATGAATCTTTTTTTGTAGATATCAATGAATGCGAAACAAACCAATGTCAGTACAATTCGACATGCGTAGACCTTGTCAATGGATTCAGGTGCAGTTGCCCGGCTGGTATAACTGGAGATTTGTGCGAAATAAGTTAGACTCTTTTTTATTTAACTCATATACATAATACAAAACATTATTTTACTTATATACATAATACAAAACAGACATAGTCTAGAGTAATAGAATAACCTTAATCTCTGTAAAGAAGAAGTAAACAAATTGTTATCAGAAGTCACAGATCGTCACCTTAGAAGAGAACGTGAAGAATAAATAAAAAATAAAAAATAAAGATAATTCATGTTTAATGAGTGTTTGTTTAATCTAACAATATAACAAAAAAAGTTTTGAGAAATAAAAATGAGGCATTATATGGGCTTTTAACTAAATTATTGTATGTGATGGATAAACACAATAATTGTCTTGTTCTGGTCTGTTTTGTGTTTTAGATATAGACGAGTGCGCGAATGTCACGTGCCAGAATGAAGGCGTTTGTAATGACTATATCAACAAGTTTGAGTGTAAATGTCCCATGGGATTCAATGGAACATATTGTGAAAATTGTACGTAAATACATCACTCACTTCTATCAAAAATATCCTTAACGATAAAACATATATCAGTTTTGCTTTTTTGTTATTTCCTAAGGTTGTGTACTGATAAGTTGCCAGAGAATGTTTCTGTGTAGGGAATACAGATTTTAATGTTATTATAATATATTAAAGATAAAGGTTCCATTGACACCATTTCTACGTATACTACTTGTTTATGCATGAACAATTCAAAATTCAAATCTTGTCCCAATACGCAACATGATTTTTTTATAAGCTGAAAAATATTTTCAATTGATCTTTTGCTTAGGTATACTGTTTAATTTCAAATTACATTGTTTCGACTTGCAAACCTCATTGTTAACGGTGTATTAATCCCACATCAATGAATATATGTACATATTTGGATAATACATTAATCTGAATTTTGTATTCTATTTTTCATTTCATCAATTTCGAAGTAACTATTATTATTATTATAGAAACATGACTTATGATTTCTGCATTTATACTGTGTCTGCAAGCATTGAAACATTTACTGGATTTCGATTCGCTATCAGAGCATTATTCTCCGATATGCAGAAACATGTGATTTTATAGTTAAGATAAAAAGCAACAACAAAAAACAATAACAAAAAAGAAACAACAGAAGGTGCAGCTGCAGCACCTTTAAACCAAAACACAAACTCCACCGCCTCGGCTACGACGACCACCACCAACAAGGAAAAGGACCAGCTGCAATAAAGTATTGAATTATGTAAATACGAGTATGAACTCATGCTCAAAAATTGGCATTGTTTCAATATTTTGCCTGCGTTGAGTATTTCATGAACACTTTGTTCAAGCCCTATTGTCTTTTTTTGTAGCGCTCGGACGCGTGTGTTATAATTGTGAAGGAGTTGCAGATGACCCTACCCGTTGCGCTAACAGGACATTATGTGGTCCTGGTGAGGTAAGTACATGTACGTCTATATGGCAAATTACATTCAACTAGATCAGTGTATAAGTCCCCAGTACCTGCTGTGATTGGTTTAGTTTTGTGCAATTAAAAACAATATCTGTCTTTTTGATGGTTAATATTTCAGTATTTAAAGCTGAGTACTTAGTTTATACTAATTGATTTTAGTACGATTGCGTTGGAAGCTATTAGCTTCTTGAAACAATCCTTAATCTGTTCCTGAAAACAACCAGTACTAAGCAATAAGTGTAAATTTTCTTGCTCAAGGAAACAACGACTTGTCCCTGATGAGGTTTGAACCTACGCAGCCAACAATACTTAAATTACTAGTCCGGCGTGTTGACCACTAGGTCTCGCTGCCACAAAGTACTTAGCTATAGCTATTTAGTTTATCGTCATCAATATAAATATACATGACAGTTCAACATAAACGTAAATAAACATTACATTATATAGAAGTAAAAGACCACTTGTTAGAAGAATATTATATATATATATATATTTTTTATCTATTCTTTTTTGTGGAATACATATATCGGATAAAAAGAACCAGGGGATCCACAACTCTTATTTCTCTGCCGTTTAGTATGACATGACATCTTAAAACGTATAACGCAACGATTATAATATATATTTATAATATTTGAAAAAGATGAAACATTATTTCCATTCCCTTAGCAATGTTATTCTGAGCACGAACTTGACGCACCTGGCGTGTTCACCTATAACCTTGGCTGTGTACCTTCCAAGCTGTGCTCCTATCTCGAGAACAAAAACTTCAGGCGCCGTGATATCCGTCCGGTTCAACTGTGTTACGAATGCTGCGACATAAATGGATGTAATCACCACGCATGCGCCGATTATAACTAATAAATTTCACCAAAATGTATTAATTTTGAATAAAAAAGTTGCAAGCTAATAATTTACTTGTTTTTGTTCTCTCTTTATTTGATTCAATGTTTTTAATTTATTCTTTTTTGCTTACAATTCACCAGTGCTTACCGAACAACTATCCTAGGGCCACGTTGTATATCTACAAGTTGCTAAGCAGCCGTTAGTCGAATTGGTTAGTTGCATAGAACAGTACATTATAGAAAAGTGCAGAGGAATTCTTTTAACACATTTGCCAATTAATGTAATATTAATCAAGCCTTTTAAGTTATAAACTTGCACTTGGCCAAAGTCAGACAAAATCAATAATTCCACATTCAGTTTTGGTAATTACGATTAGTATTTACTATTTTTAAGTTAAAGTGTCAATCTGGGATCTTTCTATACAGGGGAAAAATGGAACTCTTTTTCACTTTTGAAAATTATTCAAGTGTATTGTAAATTGACAGGAATCCTTCAGGATGAAGATACACATAAAAAGAATCAACAGATAAAGTTATGGAATAGCTGTAGTAATATATATATCCTTTGTAAAAGAAATCCAATTTGAATAGAAATACCATCCGGATTTTTACCCCCCCCCCCCCCCCAAAAAAAAAAAACAACTCCCATCGGAAATTTCACATTGCCTTTTCTCCAGTTTTTTTTCAAGTAACTAAAATATCCAAATATTTCCCAAACTACACCACTTTTTTGGTTTCATTACTTTTGCTTTTTTTTGCATTTGAAAATAAAGCTAAAATTGTAAGAATGTAAGCAATATACGTAATTGATAACAATTATTCTATTGAGTTATCAATAATTGTGCGACGCTATGGTAATAAATACAGTGTATTGCATTGCATGCTCAAAACCATAAATTATTTTAACTGCCAGATGAATTGTAGATGGTATCAGATTTAAATTATTTTAACTGCCAGATTAATTGTAGATGATATCAGATTTTATATATCAAAGAACACATTTAACAATTGAATAAAAGCGGACACATTGACTTGACTTTGGCCTAAATAATGGGCAGAAAAGACATGAAGCAATTTTAAAAACATGTTTATGGATGTTTATAAGTAGTTTTTTAAGTTTAGAAATTGTGTGAACAATCATTAAAATGACCAAGAAACAGGGATTAAATCTCGTTTTCATAGTTTAAGTCCAACGATTTGATTTCTATAATTACATTTAATAAACATGAAAATAAATAAATAAATAAAAATTGAAAAATATGTTAATTCTACAACATGTATTGGTAGTCACTTGATTTCATCATCTGAACAACAATTTAATAAACATGTTAATATTTTGCAATTTGTATAATATTTTAATAACATCTGACAACAAAAGAACTGAGACCAGGACCGATTGAAGAACGAAAATCATGACCGATAACAGAACAACTGGCAAAAAACGAACAAAGACGACGACCGATAACAGAAACCAATAACGAACACCAAAACCCTAGAGTAGTCAGAGACAGGTGCCTTTAATTAATGTATATTTGCATGCACACGTTTAAACCCCCTCACAAATACATACGCTGTGCAAATATAAGTAGGAATCTGAGTAGCCACTCTATATCCTTGCATAGAGTGCCAGAGAAAATACATGAAAGCTCTATATCTAGCAGAAAGGGCAGGGAAGAGTGTATGTAGTGTTCGCTGCGTAAACCCTAAATATAGGTCTCTTATGTTTAAATGCCTTAAAATTTCAGTACTATCTTTAGTATTACTTAGCTTATAGAAAAATGTCCGCCATCTTGGATTTTTCGGCTATATTGGATTGTTTTGTTTTCTATTCTGTTTTGGTGTCTAATTTGTTTTTACCTAAACATGCTTTGTGACAAATTTCAGGCTCTTCCTTTCCTTAAAAGTTTTAATTGATATATCATCCATTTATGATAAAGGAATTTGGCGGTCATTTTAATGGGCATTTTAAATGGCCATTTCAATGGTTACAAAATGCCTCTAGCATCTTATAGGGAGCCAAATTCTCAAAATCAGTCTATTAGTTGTTCTTGAATTTTCAGTTGTTATTTAATGCTTATTTGTTATTGAATGTTCAACTATTATTGAATGTTCAGTTGTTATTTAATGTTTAAGTTGTTATTAAGTGCTAAGGTTTCATAAAAAATAAATTGATGTGTCTTTGTAATATCTAGTATATTAAATAAACAATATGATTGTATAAAATATACTTTTGTATATATAAGATAAAGCAGGTTTTAATAATATTTGTTGAATGCACTTATTTTTTTAAGTCTTAGATATGTCACGTGATTTTTTTCAGACTCTTGTTCCCAGGTAAAATGTCTACAAGGTGCTTCGTGCACGAACACTGCACTCAAAGCTGTTTGTAACTGTCCAGTGGGATATACTGGAACAGTCTGTGAAACAGGTTGGCTGCTAAGGGTTCAAATCCCATATCTTTTACATATAATCATGAAACCAATATCGCGTCAGCCAGTCATATTTAAACAGAATTCAAAGGAAAGTTACAAAACTTAATCTAGATTCTCTAGTTCTACATACATTTATATAAATTTGTACATAATTTCAAAATATTTATAGATTTTTGTAATTAAGATTTCTACTTCTCTCGTTTTTGATTTAGAAATGTATTTGTTAATTTTAATGAATTTAATGAATTTGAAGTTTTTAATAGTACTAGTAGATTGAGAGCTCCGAAAGAAAATGTCGTGACAGAGAACACTAATAATTGAGCCACGACATGACAAAACCAACAAAATGGGTTTGCGATCAGCATGGATCAAGACCAGCCTGCGCATCGTCGCAGTCTGATCAGGATCCATGCTGTTCGCTTACAAACCCCATAACAAATAGAGAAACTGATAGCGAACAGCAAGGATACTGATCAGACTGCGCGGATGCGCAGGCTGGTCTGGATCCATGCTGGTCGCAAACCCATTATGTTGGTTTTATCGTTCAATTATGTAAACAAGAATGGCCTTTTATTCCTACCTGGACCACTGTTTGTTGTTCTCAGTGATTTACAAAATATCATTGACGTATTATTAAACACAAATTTTAAATCTTAAATATGAATCAGTTTGAGTTCACAGTCTGATTTACATAGTGAAAATTATTTTTCTTTGATACCTAGAAATTGACGAATGCGCGAGCAACCCCTGTCAACATGGCGCCACCTGCACAGATTTCGTCGGCAAATACAAGTGCACGTGCCTGCCTGGTTACACAGGAGTCAACTGCGAAACAGGTTATACATTTGTGTTTGGTTTACTCAAGATATAAAGATAAATGAGGTTAAGAGGATCATTAAATCCTACAAATTAATTCCTATCTCGTTCTGTAGGTGGAGCAAACATGCGTTTTGTACTGTTGTTACAATAGATTTAGAAAATTTGAGAGCCTATAACTTAAAAAATGTAGTGCTGAATGCGACAAAGTTTGTAATAAAAAATGTAAACAGTACAGTACAGCGCAGTGCAGTGTAGGACAATGCAGTGCAGTACAGTGCAGTACAGTACAAAACAATACAATAAAATATAATTTTCTCTACTTAGTAAAAAATACATATGTAACAACAGACAATTGACAAATAACATCAATATTGAACATACGTGGGTACATTCAAATACATTTAGTAAGAACAGATATGCAAACTATTCTAAAAGCAACAATTTGGTAAGGACAACGTGTCTAATTTTACAAATCAATAGCTTTCATGAGGGAAACAATGTGGTATTTTGACTTCCATAAAAGTACTTAATCACTATAACTATACTTATTGCAAAAGATGGCTCAGTTTTATTGCTAAACAGTAATTATTTGGAAACTGTAACAAGAAAAAAGAAAACCTTTAAGAAATATAAAATGATATCATTATAAAAACAATTATTATTCAAGTTATATATATATTCTTAAGGGGATAGATCTACCTTGGATATCTTACGAGAAGGCAAACATACTTCTGCTTATGTTGTTCTTTAAAGCTGACTATCCGGAAATCATCTCTAAAAGCACATTTTCAAAAGCTAAATTTCTGAATGAAAGCAAGAAATATGTACGGCAGTTTAATTTTACATAGTCTAAATGAAACCTACACTAGGAAATACTGTAACAGTAATATTTTCCTGCCAAAAACTTCTAACATCGGCCAATATCGTAGTAAATCGGTTATTTCCGGAACGTTATTTTTTTTCAAAATCTTTGGTATTAGATTATATACAATCACCCAGTCCTTATTGATATGCACCTAATTCAGGTTATTTATTGAATACCGGAAATTGTGAAAAATAACGTTCCGAAAAAGACCGATTTATTACGACCTTGGCCGATGTTAAATTTTTTTAAGCGGGAAAGTATTACAGTAAGACTATCTTCAGTTAGTTCACAGAAGATTGACATTCTATCAATAATTGAAAAATATAAGCAAATAATTAAAATATATTTATAGTATAAAGGGGTACATTTGACATTAGCATGTCAATTTCCTGTGGTTAGTTGTTCTTGATTGCACATCAGTTTGCTATTATAACATCTTTCATTTTTGTTCTGCTGGCGTTAACCGGAAAATAATATGTTATTTCTTATTTGCTTCCATATGTGGTCTTTGTGGTTTATTTCTTTACACAGATATTGACGAGTGCGCTGTAATGCCGTGTAAAAATGGAGCCACGTGTGTTGATCTAGTGAATGACTTCTCGTGCACGTGCGTACCTGGATACACAGGGAATTTGTGTCAAACTGGTAAAGTTTTATTTATTTGGTTTCATAATGTACATTTATGAAGAGCATTACCGCAGAAACAATTGATTAAAACATTATAATAATTCTACAAATACTGTCAGTAAATGTGTTTGAAACAATACAATACAAAAGAGCTTTAGTTAATCCACTCTTACATAACGATGACCTTTTCAGTCGTAGATATCAATAATTTTTTTCTGTCGTTGATATCAATTATTTTTTATGTCGAAGATATCAATGGTATTTTCTGTTGTAGATATCAATGGTATTTTCTGTTGTAGATAACAATGATATTTTCTTTTGTAGATATCAATAATTCTTTCTGTTGTAGATATCACTGAGACTTTTCTGTTGTAGAAATTAATGAATCTTTTCTGTCGTAGATATCAATTAATCTTTTCTGTTGTAATTTCATGACTCTTTAAATTTCTGTCGTTGTTATCAATGAATATTTTCTGTCGTAGATATCAATGAAACCTTTCTGTCGTAGATATCAATGAATCTTTTCTGTCGTAGATATCAATGAATCTTTTCTGTTGTAGATTTCAATGAGACTTTTCTGTTGAATATATCAATGAATATGAATCTTTTCTGTTGTAGACATCAATGAATGCCAAACAAACCAATGTCAGTACAATTCGACATGCGTAGACCTTATCAATGGATTCAGGTGCAGTTGCCCGGCTGGTATAACTGGAGATTTGTGCGAAATAAGTTAGACTCTTTTTTATTTAACTCATATACATAATACAAAACATTATTTTACTTATATACATAATAAAAAAACAGACATAGTCTAGAGTAAAAAAAATTTGTTTTGTATCTAAGTAAGCATGATGTCTGTAAAGAAGAAGTAAACAAATTGTTATCAGAAGTCACAGATCGTCACCTTAGTAGAGTAAGTGAAGAATAAATAAATAAAGATAATTCATATATGTCGCAAATTAGTGTTTGTTCAAACTAACAATATAACACAAAAAAAAGTTTTTAGAAATTAAAATGAGGCATTATGGGCTTTTAACTAAATTATTGTATGTGATGAATAAACAAACTAATTGTCTTGTTCTGTTCTGTTTTGTATTTTAGATATTGACGAGTGCGCGAATGTCACGTGCCAGAATGGTGGCATTTGTAAAGACTACATCAACAGGTTTGAGTGTAAATGTCCTATGGGATTCAATGGAACATATTGTGAAAATTGTACGTAAACATATCACTCACTTCTATCAAACATATTCTTAACGATAAAACATATATCATATATTACTATTTTGTTGCTTCCTAAGGTTGTGTACTGATAAGTTGCCAGACAATGTTTCTGTGTAGGGAATAAAGATTTTAATGACATTATGATATATTAAAGAAAAATGTTCCCTGGACACCGTTTCTGTGTTATATTTGTTTATGCACGAACAATTCAAAATTCAAAATCTTGTTCCAATACGCAACATATAAGCTGAAAAATATTTTCAATTGATCTTTTGCTTAGGTTTATGGTTTAATTTCAAATTAAATTGTTTCGGCTTGCAAGCCTCATTGTTAACGGTGTATTAATCCCACATCAATGAATATATGTACATATTTGGATAATACATTAATCTGAATTTTGTATTCTATTTTCATTTCATTAATTTCGAAGTAACTATTATTATTATTATAGAAACATGACTCATGATTTCTGCATTTATACTGTGTCTGCAAGCATTGAAACATTTACTGGATTTCGATTCGCTATCAGAGCATTCTTCTCCGATATGCAGAAACATGCGATTTTATAGTTAAGATAAAAAACAACAACAAAAAACAAGAACAAAGAAGAAACAACAGCAGCTGCAGCACCTTTAAGCCAAACCACAAACTCCACCGCCTCGGCTACTGCGACCACCACCAACAAGGAAAAGGACTAGCTGCCATAAAAGTATTGAATTGTGTAAATACGAGTGTGAACTCATACTCAAAAATTGGCATTATTTCAACATTTTGCCTGCGTTGAGTATTTCATGAACACTTTGTTCAAGCCCTTTTGTCTTTTTTGTAGCGCTCGGTCGCGTGTGTTATAATTGTGAAGGTGTTGCTGATGACCCTACCCGTTGTGCTAACAGGACATTATGTGGTCCTGGTGAGGTAAGTATGTCTATATTGCAAATCACATTCAACTAGATCAGTGTATCAGTCCCCAGTTCCTGCTTTGATTGGTTTAGTTTTGTGCAATTAAGAACAGTATCTGTCTTTTTGATTGTTAATATTTCAGTGTTTAAAGCTGAGTAAAGTACTTAGTTTATACTAATTGATTTTAGTACGATTGCGTTGGAAGCTATTTGCTTCTTGAAACAATCCTTAATCTGTTCCTGAAAACAACCAGTACTAAGCAATAAGTGTAAAATTTCTTGGAACAACGGCTTGCTTCTGATGGGATCTAAACGCGGCCTAAATTTCTTAGATTACTTGTCCGACAAGTCAACCATTAGGCCTCGCCGACACTAAGTACATAGCTAGACATTTGCTTTATCGTCAAAAGTATATACATTTATTCAACATAAACGTAAATAAACAATACATTCTCTGGAGTAACTGACCACTTGTAAGAAAAATATATATCTTCTTAATATGTATTTTATGTATTCTTGTTTGTGGAATAATTATGTCGGATAAAAAGAACCAAGGGATCAACAACCTTTATTTCTCTCCTGTTTATTATCACGTGACATCTTAAAACGTATAACGCAACGATTATGATATTTTAAAAATGAAACATTCTTTCCATTCCCTTAGCAATGTTATTCTGAGCACGAACTTGACGCACCTGGCGTGTTCACCTACAACCTTGGCTGTGTACCGTCCAAACTGTGCTCCTATCTTGAGAACAAAAACTTCAGGCGACGTGATATCCGTCCGGTTCAACTTTGTTACGAATGCTGCGACATAAATGGATGTAATCACCACGCTTGTGCTGATTATAACTGATAAATTTCACCAAAATGTATTAATTTTGAATAAAAAAGTTGCAAGCTAATAATTTACTTGTTTTGTTCTCTCATCATTTGTTACAATATGTTTTTAATTTATTCTTTTTTGCTTACAGTTCACCAGTGCTTACCTTGCAACTATACTAAGGCCACGTTGCTAAGCAGCCGTTAGTCGACTCGGTCAGTTGCATAGAACTGTATATTAGGACTTCTGTTTTACACATTTGCCAAATAATGTAGTGATAATGAAGCCCTATTAGTTATAAACTTGTACTTGGGCAAAATTTACACAAAATTAATAATTCCGCACTCAGTTTTGGTTATTGTGAATAGTATTTACTAGTATAAGTTCAAGCGATGTTTCAACAGTCAGTCAGGGATCTTTCTCGTCAGGCGAAGAACAGGACTCCATTTTTCACTTTTGAAAATAATTAAAGTGCATTATAAATTGACAGTAATCCAACAGGAATTACGATAATCATTAAAAGAATCAACAGATAAAGTTATGGCATAACTGTAGTAACATTTGTCAACATAAGAGAAATCCCATGGGGATAGAAATACCATCCGGAGATAAACCCCCGAAACAACCAAAACATCTCCCATTGGAAATTTCACATTGCCTTTTCTCAACTAAAATATCACAAACATTGACCAAACTACACCTCTTATATGGCTAAATTACTTTTGCATTATTTTACATTTGAAAATAAAGCTTAAATTGTAAGACTGTAAGCAATATTCGTAATGGATAACAATTATTCTATTGCGTTATTAGTAATTGTGCAACGCTATTGTAATAAATATTGTATTGCCTGCGTCAAAAGTATAAATTATTTTAACTGCCAGATGAATTATAGATGATATCAGATTTTATATATCAAAGGACATATTAAACAATTGAATAAAAGCGGACGCATATACTTGACGTTGGCCTTAATAATGGGCAGAAAAGAAAGAATAAAATCATGAAACAATTTTGAAGATATTTTCATGGATGTTAATTGAGATGTTATGTAAATTTTGAAGGTTAGAAATTGCGATTGCAATCTATTGAAAGTTTCAAGAAACAGGGATTGAATTTCGTTTTCATAGTTTAAGCCCACCGATTTAATTCCTATAATGTCATTTATTACATTTCATAAACATGGAAAAAAATATAAAGTTAAATAGAAATAGAATTTATGTTTATCTTACAATTAATATGTATTAACAGTCATTAATTTCATAATCTGAACAACAATTAAATAAACATGTGAATATTTTGCAAAATATTAATACATAATATTTTACTTCATTATTGCAAATGAAATAACAAAGTTCTGTCAAACTGTCAAAAATAAATAAATAAATAAATAAATAAATAAATAAATAAATAAAGTAAAAGTAAAAATAAAAAAATTAAGGGGCTGTGTACAGATCAATTCTGATTTTTTTGTGGATATTCATGTTGTTACAACAGAAGCTCCAACTATTCTTTCTTTTATTCAAATAAAAGTGTGAAGTTATACATTGTATAAACTTTATCATAATAAATTGTAACACACATTAGACGTATAATAATTAAACTGCAGTTTGGTTTCGTAACAAACACACGCACCCACACATGCACACGCACGTATGCAAACAATAAAATGTGGTCAATAAAAAGATAAATATGGACTACGTTGCACGTGTACAATGTTTCCGAAGCAAAACAAAATAAATTATCGAAAAATCTAGCAAGCGATTTGTTAATTGTCCAACGTGGTAAGGACGTGGTAAGGACACATTACAAAAAATCCCTTCATACAAATGTCGGTGAAAGACCCTGCCAATAACACTACTTTTTAAATGGTATATGAATTTACCAAATGTCTTATTCATACTTCCATTATAGTACTTTGTTCTGATTGGTTGACTGATTAAACCCATATTAAGGTTATATTCAATGTGCACAAATACATTGCAAATTTAAACTTTAACTCTTGATCATTAACAATGGATGGTTAGAATCAGATCAAAGGCATATGTTCTTAATTCAATATGGTTTAAAATGTAAATTGTGCTACGTGCCGAACTCTTGCGTAAATAAGTTACACACGTGTTGGAAAAGTATAAATATCCAAGTCTCTTTACTGGCCTGCTTATCTTTCAGAAAGCAGTTATGGAAGCTACTTTTGTATGCCTTATATTCATTCTTTTTTTGAATATAAATATTTTAGATGGAGAGACTTTGGCATTGAAGGTACTTTTGATGTTATTATTTGAAGAAAAAAAATGTATGTTATTGATTGCATTTTAAGATTATGTTACAATCGATCATGCCGATTACTCGATAAAACTACAGCATAAAATACTAGCCACACTTGTAATATAACTGTTTCAGAAGCACATTGAGTTTGTTTAGAAGATGAATGTACCTTAATCCGTGCATTAAAATTTCAGGTGAATGAGGACACTTTTATAACTATAGGGCTAAATGAATTCCAAGGGATTCTTGCATAAAAGCTGCGCACAAAAGAAATGTGCACGTGCTATTTTGCATGTCTTTCCGAATGTAGCTGACAACAATGACTGCCCCGGTCGTTTCATTATCAGAACTTAACATGACATCGCATTTTAAATTTTCTGTATTAAGTAAATAACGAAACGCGGGATTACCACACCAGACGTTAGCCTGACTCCCGGCATATATTGTATATTAGAATATTCAATGGATTTGTGTCTGACGTCAAATTGTTTTAAGCTGAGAATGACCTGTGCATGTGCAAAGAGGGTACCATTGTAGCAGATTTTGAAAAAAGATACAATTATGAATATGCTGGTCCGAAATGTTTTAGAATGATTTCTTTAACTTTTTCTCAATCTGTTACTAAGATCTTCATGGAATGTTAGGTGTTATATTATTTATATAGATTTTCGAATATTTGTATATCGTTTAAAGATTGAAGAAATCTTGCATTTGGCTTTTGATCAAACAATTTTAAAAAATCGTGTTTTTGTCTGAAATTACTGTTACGACTATATTTTTATTGAACTGATTACACTTCATGCAATCACTGATTTTTAAATTCCGTCCTATCATTGTGTTAAGAATTCCACCAATAATTACAATGACATGGTTTTTGATTGAAAATATCTGTTTTCAGGATGATCAATGTCTTTTAAAGTTTCCGTAGCTTAAACAAAGCACTGTTGGTTGTCATGACCCTGTTTGTGAGCAAGTAGGGACATCTAATCTTGACGTATACTTTTATTTAAGAAATGAGCAAATGTAATTTATTTCGTTTTGTGCAATAACAAATGTTGGAAACTTTGTCCTGTGAGCGCAGGCTTTTAATGAGCCATCATACTTCTTCAGACATTTATTACGAATGGTGAAGTTGAACTTATATCAGAAACGTTTAAATACAACCTATAATACAACAATAAACTTCACAAATTCTACTCAGTTAAAAATGAAAACTTGTGTGGTTTCTTACGGCAAAATTTCATTTCATTTCAAAGTTTGAGCATAACATGTGTTATACAACGTCATTGATGATTGGGATTTGATATCTTTTTAGGCATTAATCTCGCGTAATGATTGCGATATAAAGCAGCTATTACAAACTCCTGAAGAAAACATTACAGTACGGTGTGATGCGCTTGAAAAGTTTGGAAGGTATATTGCTCCGAATCGAACATTTTGCCAAGTGACAAGAAATGAAACTGTTTTTCAGTACCATTGCGTGGAGGGATCCTGGAAAATTTCAAAAGGAACAGGTTTTTTATTTCTTTTTTATTTTCTCTTACAATTTTTGCTTTCATTACCTTCGTAGGAATATTTTACGTGAACGGTCAATTTGCAGCTTAAATACATTAGCAATAACTCGTTTAATGCACAATTGATTTCGGAGTGTCATTTATAATATCATCTTTCGGCGTGAACAATTAATTTTAATTCCAAAAATTTGTTATTTAAGGTCAAATTTTTCTTACATGAATTATACAAGACCACCGCAATACTCTACTCATAGGTTCATAAATATTAAAGTTGCGGTTAGATATCGATTGATTTCACCGGCAAACTCCTGTTAGTGTAATTCATATGCCCATGTCACGCGTATATGATGCATATGAAGAATACATAGCAACAAGAGAATGGGTCTGCAAGGGCGTTAGAAGATAAATAGATGATGAATTCTTATGATGGAATTATATGAAGTACTATGTAAATGTTAACATAAAAAATAATACGATATGTCATTGTCATATACATGCCATTTTTAAACTTATGTTCTCATATTTGGCAATGATTTCTCATTTACAGAACACCACAGATAAAATTATTTAAATAAATGGATTTCATAAATATACGATATGTCATTGTTACCTACATACCATTTTTTGAATGTATGTTCTCATAATTATTTGGTAATGATTTCTCATTTACAGACCACCACCTACGACCAAAACGATTTTTCTGGTTAATTGCACTATTCGTCGCAGCTGTGATAGTTGCAACTCCTGTAGTGATTTACTGTTCTACCACGTTGAGATGTAAAAAAGAAAGTAAGTTTAAAAAGTAATAAATTATTAGAGTACTGCATTTTACAATGCCGATTTTAGTGGATGCAGGGCCTCGGATCGTTTATTTATCTCATTCAGACGATATTCTCCCGTATAACACGTCGCCGGCAATTCTTATAACTAATAGTAGACAAAGTGTTTAATACAAACATAGTTCGAGAATTTTATTTGCATTACTATAACACATTACAACATTATTATAATCGACCATATAAACCTTTAAACATACATAATTAATAATATAATGTTCAATATCGAACCCTCTGAGTACCTTAAATGTATATATTATACCATAATAAATATAAAATCTTTAGAATTGTTAAAGTTGTGTAGAAATTTATATTTGGTAAAATCATCACTTAGAAAACAATAGTTTTCAAAACGATTCAAATTGAATGCACAATGAAAGCGTTAATTTCGTTATACAAGAGGTATCTTCGCAAACGCTTAGAGCACCAACATACACTGTATGTCCTCCACCTGGAATCCAATCACTGTATATAGCTGACAGAAAACGGAAGACTGTTCAAGTTACATGGGCGGATCCTATTGCAACAGACGACAGAGAAGTTATTTCGTAAGTTACTTATGTTATAAGATAAAATGTTTCCTGCGGTGAGAATTTTTTTGAATCTTTGAGAATAGCTGACCCTTGTTGGAAATGATTGCATTCAGCGTTTCGTCACTTTTATCATATTCTTGAAATCTTAAAACATATATTATAATGCTAGTTCGAAATATAGGCTCCCCTTTCTTAGAATTAAGAGTGACACAGTTGTTCCAAAATATTAAACCAGTGCCTATGTGTGAGGCATGTAATAAAACTTTAAAGATATGTAACAAAGTTGTAAAAATATCAAAATGCTTCACTGGAGTTTGATTTTGATACGTATATAATTTTGTTTTGCCGGAGTTTTTAATTTGCATTTTTTTAAACAAAAAGGGATAAGAATCATATGATACACGTGAATGATATAAAGAATTTTGAAACATAAGGTTATATGATTTGAAAATAGGAAACAAATATCAAATGTTTTCAAGTTCTTCCTCTTGTTTCTATTGCATATCTTGGCTGACAACTTGAAAAATGTTCATGCAATTTTGCTGTTTTTAATGCTTCCAAGTGATCACTTTTTTCCACATATTTGTTATACCCCCCTTTAAAGAAGTGGGGGTATATTGCTTTGCATTTGTCTGTCACATTGACTTTTGGATAAAAACGGTTTCTGATCAATAACTAAAGAACGGTTAGGCCTAGGAACTTCAAACTTGGTATGATGATTGGTCATGACCAGTAGATGACCACTATTGATTTCGCGGTCAAGGGGTCAAAGGTCAAGGTCCCATTGTCCTTGTAGGTAAAAACGGTTTCCGATCAATAACTAAAGAACCCTTAGGCCTAGGAACTTCCAACTTGGTGTGATGTTTGCTAATAACAAGGAAATAACCCCCATTGATTTTGGGGTCAAGGGGTCAAAGGTCAAGGTCACATTGACCTTGTAGGCAAATATAATTTCTGATAAAAAAATAAAGAACGCTTTGGCCTAGGAACTTCAAACTTTGTATGATTTTTGGTCATGACCAGTAGATGATTCCCTATTGATTTTGGGGTCAAGTGGTTAACACATTTCAAAGTCTTATGTAATATAACAAATTGGTTGTCATTAAGGAGGCCAACAAGATTCTTAACATTTATGCATACATTATTTGGTAAGATTTGTGATAACTTTGTCATAGAATTGCTGGACAAAACCTTTACAGTCACAATTATCTAGTGACTAGTCATGACTAGTAGATAAAAATTCCTATTGATGTTTTGGTCACTAGGTCAAAAGGTAGTCATAATAACCTGACCACACATGTTTTACAATTATATCTTGTTATAGTTTATGTCGGTCAAGACGGACGTTACTTTGCCCTTAAAGCAGAACACATGCTGATATTTTGACACTTGTTAGATTTTGTTATAAGTGGTTCATTACAAATTATTTTTGAAATAACCAATCACGTACGGCTCACATGCCTCTCAATATACCAAAACAGGCCACGAGATGCCTAAAACTGATTGATTCCAATATCCTGCGGGCTTCTCGAATACTAGAAATTGTCTTTGACTACAAAATTATTCATAAAATCAGGAATTTCCGTTTTCAAACAATAAGAAAACATCTGACATTTCATAAGAAACGCCACTATGGTTATATTATATAAAGGAAGTGTTTAATACGATATTTTTTTACAATAGGTGAAAATATCGAAAAAGACAATGGAACACCCTTGCTCATCCGAAGCTTTGTAAAATAAAAATTAACTTCAAATTCTTTTCAATATCATAGGAATATACAAACTAGCGGTTTAAAGAGTGGTAATCAGTTTCCAGGGTTACCAAAAGAAGGATATCGACATTACATTGTATACGTAGCTAAAGATGGTCATAAACTAACAGACACATGCAGCTTTACTTTTTCTGTTAAATGTACGTGAGATGTTTATTCTTATCCGAATAAAACTTATTCCGTTTAAATGTTTCTAATTTTAAATCTATACAATTTTGAAAATTTATAATCATATGTTTTATCTGTTTAAGTAAGTAATATTTACTTTAATAGGCATTTTAACTGAATACGGGTCCAACATTTTAAATACAATTCAAACGAATAACTTGCCTTTATAAATGTATTCTGACAAGTGTGGAATATGTATCTTCTGCCAAATACTTTTTTGTGAAATGAAAATTGATGGATCAATCGGTGTTTCATTTTAGACTTGACATGTAATGAGCCAGCTACGCCGAGATATGGGCGGAAAGTGTCGTGTCCGGATGGTTATATATACGGTGGAGAATGCATGTTCGAATGCTTTGATGGATACGAAATGGTTGGTAGTAACAAAGCTACATGCCAGCAGAATGAGACCTGGGATAATGCACCAACGTGTAAAAGTATTGTACATCTGTTGTTTCCATATTCAAATATTAATACAAGCATTGCACATTTTCAAGAAAAGATATATTTGAAAAAGCCTTCTTATACTACTTTTTCATATATCATATCATTTTTACACAATTTGACAGTTTAAACAGAAGACAATTGTGATGTAGCATAAGTATTCTTTTGCATTGTAATATTTATTTTCATCTATCTAATCGGCTTCCAAAATATATACTATTGATAGAGCCCGTCAATGAAAATTTACATTATTGTAGAAGTTAAATGCAACCCTCCATTTACCACTACTAATGGCATCATAGCCTGTGATGATACCAATTATGAATTTGATGATGACTGTCTTATAACGTGTAAAGATGGATTCAAGCTGAACGGACCATCAAAAATGACATGCATGGCGGATAAGACATGGTCGGTAGACAGCAAAGAAGTCAGTTGCATTGGTACGGAAACGTATGCTTATTTTTTGTCATATAGAACATTTCAAACGCCTTTCAAAAGGTTTATTTATAAACATATTAATTTTATGTCTAATTTGTATATCAACTGACAGTTCGGTGTTTGCACATTTGCTGACATAAACGAATATATGGTCACTTTGAGGTTTACGTTAAAACGTACGAATATATACATAATAAAGGATTTCAATTTAAGTACACGTCTTTAAATAAGTAATTTTGTTATATAAAATTATGACGAAAATATGAACTTTGACTCACTATGTTTAGAATGTTTAATTGTCTTGTTTAAGAAGGAATCACAAAAGCTTTGCAATGTGAATTTGATGTTTTTTTCCTGTTGTTTCATAATTATGCTTCAGATGATGATCCACCTGTGATTTCTTGCCAGACCATTCAGGTATTTTACGCTGATCGTAGTAGTTTTAACACCTCGGTAACTTGGATAGTTCCACATGCTTCAGACAATGTGGATGAAAATCCTTCCATATTGCAAACATCTGGTCCTAGACAAGGAGATTCTATGCCAGAAGGTTTTCATTCTGTGAAATATAAAACAATTGACATTGCTGGTAACTCCTTCCCAGCCCTATCTGAATGCACTATTGTTATAGAAGTAAAAGATAAAATGCTCATCAAATTCCCTATCCTACATTGTTGATGAAAGTAATTTTTTATTTTTTTTATTTTTGCATCAAAGCATTTTGTCAACTTTGTTTTTGCACGATACAAAACCGATGGAACGACATTATGTTTATCTTACACGGCTTTAGTTTAGGACACATTAGGACTTTAACAGGATAAATTATCAAATATTTTGTTTCCAGGTTAGAATTTGTCGAAGAAATTCAGATGGTTATAAACGTTTATTTCTTTATAATTACATACCTTTCATTATCGCACCGAAATCATTTCATTAAATTTCGGAAGGATTATTAAACAAATGATTTTCTTGGTACGTTTAATATGACACAGAACACGTTTAACACAAAATTTAGTAGGTCCTTTGCATATCAGGATATATTACTTGTAACATTATCGACCATGCCGTTCTTTTATATTCAGTAATTAAATGTATCACCGGTCCTACTGATGCTTTATTCAACTCCCGTTTTATGATGTACAACTGCAGCGATACCTCATTTTATAATGGTGTTTCCTGTTTACTCTACTGTGATCTAAACCTTCCATTAAATGGCACGAATCTTATGACTTGTGAACGAGATGGTGATTCTGACAAAGGGAAATGGAATTGGGGATCTGAATATCAACCGTTCTGTGAAGGTTTGTGCACTCCCTTTGCCCTCAGTACCAATTATATCATACAACAAAACACAATATATGATTAATAAATTTCAATATGTTCAATAAATACGATTTACATGTTCTAACTAATCAATGCAATGAAACTGTAAAATAAATCATGATCATGACTTTGAATTTCAAGTCAACATTTTGTCGCATTAAGATAAGTGCAATATTAAAACATTTTAATATTATGCAATATACAATATAATATCCGAATATATTAACCATGAGGTTTTGCAAACATTTTCCGGTGGTTGTTTGTAATATTTTCCACTGCGGTCTGGAGCCCGCAGTGTATTTGACTGCAATTGAATTTTTTGAGTCAGTGAGGGGAGCGTGACCTGTTTTTGGTACAGGAAGGGTAAGTTGTAAATAAGCTTTACTTGATTGGTGAATCAATCTTGTATTATACGTGATTGTTTAATTTTTCAAATATGTTTTCTAATAAACCATTTATAAAACACATAAAAAATGACACACATGCTCAATAACAAAAGTCTGATGAATTAATATTTACATGTATATGTTTTTGTTGAAGATGCGATACGTGTCGTATAAATTCTTTGTCGTTCAAGATTACAATTTTGTACTACAGAGACACTCCGAAAGAAATAATCCTCTTAGTATCCAATTCTGTTCATATTCTACGTACACTGGCTTATAATTGAAATCAGTAAGAAATGGAGTCGAATGCTAAATGAACCGCAAAAATACATAATTTAATGAGATATATGAACAAACTTCCAATGTTTTGTTTCATATACGTTATATTTTATTGGTATTATCATTTGATTCTTTTGCAATGCTATACAGTCGTGGAATGTCCGGCTTTAGATCCGCCTAAACACGGAAGTATTACGACAGATTCTATAAACGCTAGACCTCTACACGTGATGTCTTGCCAATCAGGCTATGATATACCGTCCGTCGGATCACAATTTCAAGGAAGACTTTCGTGTCAAGATAGCGGAAATTGGTTTCCATTTAACGCTTTCCCTGACTGCATAGGTAAGTAAATATGGCATGCAATGAAAATTGCCTTTCTATCTATATGTCAGTCGAACACAAAAGTAAGCGGACGTCATACAGTGTATCTTTGAAAAACTGAATTTGAACACCAGTGAGACTTGTCTATTCAAATTTTTTTTGGAAGTTTCCAAAATTCAGTGGTTCAGAATCATCTGAACCAGGACAAATATGAAAGTTTAGTTGTTTTATGCCCATGTTAGAGTAAGACATGGCAAGGAATATGAAGCTGGGGTAATTTTATAGAATAACATACTACATGAAATATTTATTTTCATACCACTCGATAAAAATAAATCCCGTATTTATAGACAAAATCTTGTATATCCTTTGTATATTCAGAGCGTAATGTATGGAATATTATTCCAATATAACAATTAGGTTATATGTTTTAAGAATCCATATATCCCTGGTTGAATCTGCCTATGGAATTGTACTATGACGGAGATTGCAATGACAATGACACAAAAACACAGATAAAAGAACAGGTTTTAGTCTACTTATCCGGTGTAAAAGCTGATGTCGACAGATCTATTTGTCCCGAGAGCAACACGTGCAAAATAGAAAATTTAGATGTCGTCTGCGGTGATACCTCTAGAAGAAAACGGGAATCTGCCTCTTCACACATTATTTTCAAACGAAATGCTTTCTGGTTTATAAGTTTCAATATTATGAAGATATTTGAAGAAGAAAATAACTCAACACAGGACGCTTACTTTGACATTTTAAGTGATCTGAACAGTATTGCAGATGATATAGAGCAAGATGCATTTGACGGAGTAATTTTAAACGCAGATGGTTTACCTTTACCAGCTGACGGCGTACAGAGGGGTACCGCAAATTTGTCTTGTGACCCTGGGTACAAGGTTGATACAGGAACATTTTCATGTAGTAAGTCTATAGAAAACCTATTGTCATTACAATCGTAATCCCTTTAACGATATTACGATTTTAGTATTGTCTCAGTTTCATGAAAAATTA